AGGGGTGCAGCCAGCTTTCAGTCGGGTGGGGGGAGCGATCTTGGCATAAGCAACCCAAAAATGTTTAAGATGAATTTTACAAAAATTGATGCAACTTCCTTCAAAATTGAGCTAGAAGCTTCAAGTCAAAAGCATTTTAACCCAATAATGACAACAAATTGAATGCATCAGTATTTTTTAAATAATTTTTTTGTTTTTCTAACCTGGGAAGCATAACTAAGAAAAAATTAGTTTTTGTTCTAGAGACAAGTGTCCATGAAACATTTTGGGTTAAGTGGTAATGATTTCGTGGTTGTAAAACCTATTTATAATATCATAACTTTAACAATCATGTAATTTTACACTGTCATTAACTTCAACTTAGTCTGTTTGTTATAATTCAATACTAAATAGGCCCCAGTGACATTCAAAAGCACGGCAGTGGCCCCATATGATCCGAAAAAGCATCCCAGTGCCCCAAAGTGGACCCCAAATGCATTCTAGTGGCCCCTGTGGCCCCCCTATGCATACTTGCAGCTCATACGACTCCCCCAATCATCCTAGTGGCCCTCAGATGCCCCAAAAAGCATCCCAATAGCCCCTAGATGCCCCCAAAAAGCATCATAGTGGCCCGTGTGGTCCTCAAAAGCATCATATAGTTGTCCCCAGTGGCCCCCAAAAACAAATTAGTGCTGCTATGAGGCCCTCAAAAGTATCCTAGTACCCCTCTGTGACTCATGACATCAACCCAGTGGCCCCCTGTGGTCCCAAAACATTGCCCCGAAAAGCATCTCAGTGGCCCCAAGTGGCCTCTAAAAGCACTCCAAAGGCCCCAAACTCATTTTAGAGGCCTCAAAAGCTTCTCAGTTGCCCCCCAATGACCCCCAAAAAGCATACTAGTGATGCCCAGTGGCCCAAAAAAGCATCCAAGTGGCCCCATTATGCCCCTTAAAAGCATCCTAGTGGCCCCCGAAAGCATCCTATTGACCCCTGTGGCCCAAAAAAAGCATCTCAGTGGCCTCTAAAAGCACTTCAATGGGCCCTAAAATCGTTCTAGTTGCCCCCAGTGGCCCCAAAAGCTTCCCATTTCCCCTCCAGTGGCCCCCACAAAGCATACTAGTGACACCCAGTGGCCCAAAAAGCATACAAGTGGCCCCACTACGCCCCCTATAAAGCATCCTAGTGGCCCCTGAAAGCATCCCATTGGCCCCCTGTGGTCCCAAAAAGCATCTCAGTGGCCCCAGGTGGCCTCTAAAAGCACTTCAATGGGCCCTAGAATCATTCTAGTGGCCCCCAGTCGTCCAAAAACCTTCCCATTTGCCGCCCCAGTGGCCCCCAAAAAGCATACTAGAGACACCCAGTGGCCCAAAAGCATCCAAGTGGCCCCATTATGCCCCCTAAAAGCAGCCTAGTGGCCCCCGAAAGCATCCTATTGGCCAACTGTGACCCCAAAAAGCATCTCAGTGGCCCCAGGTGGCCTCTAAAAGCACTCCAAAGGGCCTCTGTGGACCCCAAAATCATTTTAGTGGCCCCCAAAAAGCATACTAGTGACACCCAGTGGCCAAAAACGCATCCAAGGGCCCCATTATACCCCCTAAAAGCATCTAAGTAGCCCTTGAAAGCATCCTATTAGCCCCCGGTGGCCCCCAAAACCATACTAGTGGCCCGCAAGAGGCTGCCAGAAGCATGCAAATGGCTCCTCATGGCCATCAAAAGCACCCTGGTGGCCCCCTGTGACCCCTTAAAGCATCCCAGTGGCCCCCAAGTCCCAAACGTATTCCAGTGGACCCCCTTGGCCCCCAAATGCATCCTAGTAGACCCCTGTGGTCCCAAAAGAAATTTAAGTGGCCCCGATGGCATCAAAAACATGCAAGTGGCCCTCAATAGCATGGTAGTGGCCCCCTATGGCCTATGGACTGATATATCAATTTGAGGGACATTGGGCCCTTTCCTGTGAAAAAATTCAAAAGATGCCTGCAAAAAACAAAATGACCTTGAACTTTAGAGAAATCTACTATACTAGTATCTTCTTTTGTAAGAAATATAAAGTACTAATGATACAGTGCTGACATCTTCCAATATACTCAAAAAACGTGCCACATTCGGGACATAGACACTAATGGGTTAAATCTCTTATTGTTTATGGGTGTGGGGGGGGGGTTATGTTAATCCAATATGATGTTGCTATGGTAACCAGGTGAATATGCCAGGTGAATCAGAAAATGCATGGATAATGTAGATTAACTGACTGGCATACTCGTTTTGGTATCATAGTTGCTTTTGTGATTATTTTCTTAAAATAAGGTAGAATTGCTCAAAATTATTCCAAATTGGTACCTTGTCCTTTGACATTCACCATAAAATGAGGTCAAAACTGAAAACTATGATTGATTCTCTTTCTATTTCTTTACAAGTATGAATATCTAAGCGCAAATACCAAAGGGAAAGGACCAAACACTGTAAAGAAACCCAGCAAGATAACCAAACTTTAGCTTCCATTTGATGAAAATTTCATATACACCAGAGCTATCATGATAACAAAGATAGAAGCATAACTTTGGAAAAGTCTTGAAAAATGGGGACGGCATATTTACCTGGTTACCATAGCTAACATAGGCATAGCCAGGGGGTGAAATGAGTGCACCCCCTGTAACCAATAAAAAATAGAACCATTAGATAGAAGAAGAGTTTTAAAATGCATTTGACTCGAACCTTCTAGCTCAGTTTTGAAGGAAGTTGCATCAATTTTTGTCAAATTAAACAAAATCTTTAAAAAAAATTGTGTCGAAGCACCCCCCCCCTGACTGAGAGCTCGCTGCGCCCCTGATTAACAATTGCCCTTATGACATCTTAATATAACACAATCCAAATTAAATAATTTTCTATAGTTATTAGGTTATTTTCTGTCACCAAATTTTAAAAAGAATACATGACAGTCAAATGGTCAAAATGTAACATTTCCTAAAGAATTCTCTTGTTTACAGCGGATCGTTTTGCTACTTGCTGTTACCATAGCAACAGCATGAATTGGTCACTTTCATTACATTTATTCAATGTTTTATGACCATACATGTATGAATGTAATAAACTAATAAACTCAACTAAAATAAATTAACTAATTAACTAGTTAAAAGCATTACTGACCATTTTAAAAATAATCATTTCGCAGATTTATACATTATGATTAAAATAAAATACACAAAAATAAACAGTTATGACGTCATTATTAAGATGCAAATCACCCTATTTGCATATTTTATAAACTGTATGATTGCTTCATCTATTACCTTTCATTTGGTGCAAATTTCATCAAAATCTGAGCAATAATGACAAAGATATGGGCCAAACACTGAAAAGAGCCCCTAAAAGTGGGTGTGGCATATTTACTTTGTTACCATAGTAACGCTGCCGCGGATTCAGAATTGCCAACTTAATATATTTTGAGTGCGTTATCTATTACCTTCCATTTGATGTGAATCTCATCGAAATCTGAGCAATAATGAAGTAGATTAGGGCCAAACACTGAAAAGAGCCCCCAAAAGTGGGCGTGGCCCATTTACTTGGTTACCATAGCAACGCCGTCGCGGATTCAGAATTGCCAACATCATTTTTCTTGGTAAGTATCTCATATAGTTCATAAAAATATATGTCGCTTAGCTCGCCTCTAAAAAGGACACGGAGTTACCTTTGCTCCCATACTATAGTCGGAGAGGAAGTATACATGGAAACTTTCATCTTGAGAGGAAATTGACATGGAAAAAATGCTCAAAAGGGCGGTCTTTGGTGCGGTTCATAGGTATTAAGGGGTGTATTGGAGTGATACCCCGAGGTATATGTACAGTACTAGGTTACACTGGCGGATCTGGGGCCAGACCAGGGGCCCGCCCCCCTCCCCTTGGGTGGGCCCAGAAAAGAAATTGGGCCCAAAAAATTTTGAGCCAAAAAAGGCCTTAAGGCCCCAAAAAAGTGGGCCTTTTAGATTACTGATGAATGGACCTTCTAAGGCCTCGTATTTTTTAATTTTAGGCCAAATTTTGAAGAAAAATGGGCCTCAAAATTTCAAAATTTGGACCCCCTTTTTGGTTTTAGGGGCCCAAATTTTTTTCTCAGACCTTGTTGGTTCCCAGATCCGCCCCTGGTTTATATATACCCCAGGATAATTCACCAGCGGATCTCGGAAAATTCGTCTTTTTCCTTAATCACAGTTATTATCACACGCCCCCCCCCCTAGCACAAAATCCTGGATCCGCCCGTGGGATTAATGGCGGAGACATTTCTTTACAACGTTCGCTTTTTAGAGTATCACTCTAATCTTTCAGATCCCTTCTGAGAAAGTGTCTATGGGTGAAACATGGATGTTACGTATTGTTCATGGCGTAGAATAATGGAAATAGGAAATGAATCTCGGATCCAAGTACGTCATTAATGGTCGAAAATCAAAATATTGACAAATTTATATCCTTAAAGGCCGAAAGATTATGGGGCAAATATTGAAACGGTGGTTGTCAACATATTGTATTAGCTTTGATCTCTTAGAATCCGTTGAATCCTAAGCGATTGGAGTTGTTTAGATCACTTAACGAATGATATGAAATGATGAGGATTTGGGTTTTTTCAAAGTTTATAATGGCGCCCAATGGGAGATTTTAGCAAAATATCCCTAAAATCAAATCATTAAAAGGCCGAAAGATTTGTGGATGGATTTTGCTGTTTTATATATCAAAATGAACACTTCGTCGGGTCTAACAAGGATCCGTTGAATCCTAAGAAAATAAAAGATTTGCTAAAAAGTTATTAAGATTTACAATTTTGATGAAGACTGCTCTCCATTGAAATATTTGGACCATGAAATGTCAATTTACACGCATGCGTTGTGACGTTATTTCCATTATTCTACGCCATGTCCTTCACTATGTACGCAACTCAAAGATCATCGAAATACCAAAATAAACCAGAACTTGAATGAAATGTAATTTTGGTCGTTCGTATAAGTAATGTAAAACAAGTTTGGTTTGAGACTATAAATACAAAACAAAATGGCAGAAGGGTGAGAAAATAATTTTTTATTTCCTTATTTAGAATATATAACAACATTCTAACCACTAAATACTCTATACAAGATACCAGGTGATGCACATAAATATATATTCTCAATATTTTAGGAATTCCGATGATGGGTCTTGGTGGGGAGGATGGATACAAAGTGCAAAAGAAAAGGTAAATGAAATGTCCACGGATGGATTTTTTGTATGACATGTCACATAGACTTACTTCGGTCCAAAGCCTTCTCTATATTCCGGCTTTGAGGAGGAAGATTGAGCTGCCTTGTATTATAAATATTGTAAATCATTGTGTCACACGCACAGTAAATATGGCATAATAATATGAAATATACCTTTATGTATAGATTTGAAGAACACCAGCTCACATCCCCGTCTGAATCTATTGTTATATTTGATTTCTTTAAGCGAGAATAATTTCAAATGTTATTCACGTCCAGAACCGGAAGCCATTTTTAGCTACAGCGAGAAAATTTCACCATGTGTTGAAACTCCGAAATGAAATTTTGAAATATCTAAATCCAGACAAGCAACGCTTCATCCTAAATATGATTAATATTCTTAAAAATATTTATAAAATTTATTAAAAATGAGTTCTAGGTGCGTGTAGGTGCGTGTAGTACAGTACATACGAAATCAATGAAGTTTCTAGAGACTCGAGTAAACATAGACTATCTCACTCAATTGCAGTTTGCCCAAATCAGTGTTTTCGTTATTCTTCGAAACAAATACAAGTTGATTTGCGAAACTGCAACTGACCGTGCATAAGGTACACCAGAAGTAATTCACTCCCTAAAGGAGGATTCAGCTAAAATATACCTGTACTGTAGGTGTCCTATTACCTTCTTCTAAGGCCACTGTATCGTGGCCTTCCAGTACAGATATATTTCTGCATGAACAACTGGTCATGTCGTAATCATAAAATTTGAAATCATATGTCCGCCATTTTTCCACATCACAGTTTGAATTGCGAGCTTTGGTCTTATTACCTCACCAAAAATTCCAAAACACACATAAAGTGATCAGTGTATTAGTTCACATCTTCTGGATCGCTAACTTAGAATTTACAGCCAGTTACTAATGTCAGACGTTAACGACATTTCGTCCAGTTTTTGAACATCGCCATTTTTCTTGGAGCCATTTTGTTTTAATTTTAGACGAAATCCTGATGAAATCGTGTAATATCTCATCAAGGAGCCGGGCTGGGTCCGGTTTGATTAATGATTTATTTATCTGGCGATTTTTAAAATATTTAATAAATTTATGACACCCCGGCCAGCTTTTTTCAAATAGAGTTCACAGTATTCCAGATGAAATCCCCTCTAGCCAAGTATTGGCTAGAGACTCGAGTAAGTGTCCTACACTTTGGTGCGTAGGTCCAGGAACAGATGTAGAAACATTTAGTCTGAGTTCCATTAGAAAAAAACTAGGTTGAAAAAAAACAAAACAAAAATTTCTTATTGCATTTCATTTTTTCGCTAATTTTCAGTTTCGTTTCCAATTACATGTACTTCTCATTTCATGTAAAAAATAGAAGGAACTTACTTCGACATATAAGTGTTACCTGATGAATGGCACCCTCACGTGCCTTCCAAATGGAAGTAAACGAACTCCAATGTAACTACATCAGCTTATCTTTCCATCCGATCAACAGTTATACAAGAAATGTAAACGAACTGAAAATATTGCCAAAAATTTTCCACATACAGTGTAGCTTGTCATTTCCAGAAGTTATGATACGTTAATATATTACCAAACATGTGGGAAAATGAAATGTTTGTTCGATGCTCAGATGATCACATTTTATTTAGCTCTCGTAAAATGAACGAACAAACATTTCATTTTCACACATGTTCGGTAATATATTAACGTATCATAACTTCCGGAAATGACAAGGCAGTTGGAAAATTTTTGGAAGTTTTTTCAGTTCGTTTACATTTCTTGTATAACTGTACTTATTGTTGATCAGACGGAATTATAAGCTGATGGAGTTACATTGGAGTTCGTTTACTACCATTTGGAAGGCACGTGAGGGTGCCATTCATCAGGTAACACTTATATGCCGAAGTTAAGTTCTTGCTATTTTTAACATGAAATGAGGAGTACATCAACATTTCTAATGATTTAGGGTTTTATTGATAATAGAAGTCAAATCAATAATTTAGACGATTGCCGGCTAATCTTAAGTTTAGCTAGAATCTACAGCCATTCATAAAAGCCATTCAGTTCATTTTATATGAAACATTATCTCACACCATATTTAAACTGAAATTTAACTCAAGTTTTGGTAATCACATTAACTGACATTATTTGGTTTTTATTTAGGATAGCAAACCACTTGAGTCATAATTAAAATATCCAGAATAAGAGATTAAGTCTGGCCCCCTCAGATTTGTATTCTTTTTTTCTTGTTGATGGTCCTAAATAATGCAATGTATATTCGCATATCTGTGACTTTTAATGGTTTAAGTTGCTATTTACTACTTCATCTTCCTTTGAAATCAGATAAAACATACTGACAAGCGATCATCTTAGCAAAATTCATGATCAAACTTTTGGTTTCTGGATATCTACCTAATCTTCTTGGGGACTCAGAGTTGATTTTTATACATGATATTTTTACAGTCGGATTGTTGATTCTATAAAGTTCTTTGACCCTGTAAAATAAGCAATCAAAGGACTACTTTGCAATAGTTTATAGAACAATAACCCAGATGCAAGTAAGTAGTTACCAGTTTCATCACCAGGAGGCTAATTTTGGTCAGATAACTTGACAGGTATATAAAAAGGTTACATTAAACTTGAAGATTCATCAGTTCGATTGGATCAATTTTCATATAACCCTTATGTATCTAATAGTTAAACAAATGAAAATATGATTATGTCCAGTGAGACAAAATATTATCTGTCAAATAAAAGAAATTTCACTTTCTGTGATTTTATAACATATGGTCTAATGGGGAATCTCCACGACCTAGAAGTCACATTTTCAATTTTTGAAACCCCATTTCTACATGTTACTTTACATGTAGATTTCAAATATGATGTCACTTTGACTTAATGATGTAGGCCTAAATCAAGATTATTTCTACTTGCATCTGCTCTATTGAAACAGGTTATAATGAAAACACGCGCTACGCGCTAACGCGCCACGCGCCAATGCGCTAATAGAAAATGATCCTTCCCCAACGATGTGTGCGCATGTTTTAAGCGCATGTTTATGATTGGTCTATACCCTTGGCCCAGGGACATGTATAATTAGGGTTATGACTCCCTGGGAACTTGTCAAAACATTGACACTTCAAAGACTGTATAAATCCCCGCTAACCTGTCAATCAGACTTTGATGTGAACTTTGCGGCCGCAGGAAATAAACAAAGCCTCTCGAAAATTACACTTTTCAAGTTACGATTTCTCTAAAAATATAAGACCAATTAAGATGTTCTTCACGGGGTCAACCCAGTTGTCCGAAACCCAGTTGTCCGAAACCCAGTTTTCCGAAACCCAGTTGTCCGAAACCCAGTTCTCCGAAACCCAGTTTTCCGAAACCCAGTTGTCCGAAACCCAGTTCTCCGAAAATTAGAAGATCTTATTTGAAAAATACATTTTTTTAAACGAATCTCGTTGTCGCAACCTCTGCGAATCACAACATAACATTGGAATAACGTTGACATCATTGCAAAATTAGGCTAATTATGCTAAGTCAAGACGTTAATTGTTTAATGTTTAGCCTACTACGAAAGTTCATATACAGGTGATATAGATGTTCAAACAAACAAAGTTAAATTATGTTATTCTCATTGTAAAATGGCGTTTACACAACATACATAGATAGGGGTCTACAATTTTTAAACCAATTTTCTTTATGGCCCATGGGCCTTTTTTGAGAGGGAACAACATTTTTCCAATGGGTGATGAGCGTTCATAAAAAGAAAAATAGCTTTCCCAAGCCAGTGGGCATTTATTTAGTAAAGTTGACATGTACATCTTTTGAAACCAAAACTTATTCTTCATTTACGTACTCTGTTCGAGAAATAGAGATTAAATTAAAAGGATGAAGTGAGTACATGGCGAAAATGAAACTTCTTGCAAATGGGAGAACATCCATTTTGATACGAGGACAGCCCGCCTTCGTTTCCAGTTGATCCCAAGTGATAAAGTTAAGAATGTTTTGTTCCTTTACGATTTGATAAAATACAGAGACTAAGAAATTAAATGCGACGAAATATTTTGACAACGTAATATGTATACTGTTTTATTCTTAAAGTACTATGCGTAAACTTATTTTATCTGTTTCAAAATCATTCATTTTATTTTGCCTATATAAAAGAGATTGAAGAAGATAAGATAAACTGTTCCGTAATATATATTGTGTTTTGATAACCTTTTTTTAGAATCACAATGTAAAATAAATCCCCCGTTCCTGCCATTCTGGTAACGCGTGCAATGGATGCAATTCAAAGTGAGAGAGAGAGATCTATGAACATCAGAATGCGTCCATGCCATTAATTTGGCCAAATACATGGCATGAAACTGGCCTAAGCTTAGTACGTCTCCCCTTTCTCTGGTAAATTATGACTATATTTTTCGGAGTGATGGGTTTCGGACAAGTGGGTTTCGGACAACTGGGTTTCGGAGAACTGGGTTTCGGACAACTGGGTTTCGGACAACTGGGTTTCGGACAACTGGGGTGCACCCGTTCTTCACACCGTTAAAAAACAGAATTCAACTTCAATTTAGGAAATAATTCCAAAACTAAATGAACGTGTACTTTTCTCTGTATTTGACCTGAAAGAACATGAGTAACTTAGAATTAATAAATATTTACGGCCAATTACCGGACAATGATAAAACACGCTGGTCGGGTTTACATTACTTTTTAAATCGTCTCTTATTTAAAACTTTAATTCCAAATGAAATACAATCCTGTTTTCAACAATATTCCCGGTAAAATAGGTAATACAACATTCACTGGGACTGACGTAATTCAAAACTTTTTAAATCTAAAATCAAATTTTAGAAAAACGAAAGCAAACATGAAAGGGGGGTTCATAGGGGTCTTGGAAATCCATATACACTATTTTTCACAAGCCCCTCAGCATTTTTCACCCCTTTTACATGTATAACATACAGTGTATGCAATATTTTTCACATCTCCCTATATAGACGGTGAACCAACACGATCCTCAGAGACCCAGAGGGTGCATGAATGCACCTACTCCCTATAGTACTATATTTTACAAAAAGGTCGGGTAAATAATATATCTGTACGATAATTTTGATACCGTTGAGAAAAGTTTGGATAATATTCAGAAGGAAATAACATAATGCAAGAATCCACGTAGTACCAAATGTATAATCATACGGCAAATAGGCAGTACACAGCCCCGAAGCCAGGGGGGTTCGGAGGGTGACTTTGGAATTTTTGAAAAAGTGACCCCCCCCCCCCGGGAAATCCTGGTTACTGTCCTGGCATATGGCATATAGAGACTACTATATAGAGATATGGATTACCCCCATAAATGTGGGACTGATTTTTCAAATCACCCCCACAACCAGGCCCGTAGCCAGAGGGGGAGCTGGGGGAGCGGAGCTCCCCCTCTGGCCAGAGATTCTTTCAAAATCATGCAGTTTTTCACCATTTTTTCATGATTATTAGCCAAAATTGTGAAAAAGCTTCCCCTGGAAAAAAGCTGGCTATGGGCAAGCCCCCACAACTACTTGTGTATTGAAATCCCAAATTTATGGGGATAAGCTGGATCTGCAGTATTCGTTCAAACTGCCTTTAAATTTCATAATAGGCTTCTTTAATTCTTTTAAAACATATGTTTATTTAACTTATACGATGCCATATACGATAAATGTTGCCCCCTCTTTATGCGGCCATACACAATAAATTTTCACCCTCTTATACGATAACCCTATACACCCCCCCCCCCCCCATGAAAGCGAAAGAGAGTAACCGGGCACGAAAAGAAAAATATAAATGCGACGCCTGAATTATATATCCCACCGTTTGGTAAGTCATTTGAGATATAACTTCAAATACAAAGAGTAAAGATATATAAAACATCCATGACTTGATATTAAGAGGTAACATGCGACAAATAAACATTATATTAAGTCATTAGTCAAGTAGTCGGGCCCCCGGCTCAGATTTCGAAACGGGATTTTTCTCGCCGATGGATGGACCCAAATAATGCAATGAAATAGGGAGCATATTCGCATATCTGCGACCATTCATCTTGTAAGGTGCTACTTTCTATATTCCTTTTAAATCAGATAAAACGGCACTGACAATCGATAATCTTTGCACAGTTAACGATCAAACATTGGGCTTCTTCATACTTCTGCTTTCTGATGAGCCACCTAATCTCTTCACTCACTCGATTTTTATACATGTTCCTGGGCCTGTGGGACCGATCATTCTGAACAGTGCGTTAGTGCGCTAGCGCGTTAGCGCGTAGCGCGTGTTTTCATTATAACCATTGAAACATGTGTACATGGCCAAACTTTTCCATATTTCAGAGAGTAATGCAAAGCTTTGGCCTTTTGTAACTTAAGGAGTTTCAATGTTGAGGCGACACATAATGATATGATAGAAAACTCCAAAATAAACCAAAAGTACTTTACGGAATTAAACCAAAACTAAGTAAAGAAGATTGTATCATTTCTACTGATTTATAACTTATGGCATTATTTAGTCCCTACACCAGCCACTTACTTTTCTGTTCTGTTCTTCAAAGAAAAATAGCTTGGAGAGGAAATTGTACCATTTACCATATATACTTTTCTAGTCCCAAGCAGCAGTGGACTTTGTGAAGAAGGATCTTGTTGAATTTGGACAAGTCACAATCGAAGACACCGAGGTCTTGGTGAAAGAGAAGCTTACTGTGAGTACCATGAACTCATATATACGATCTAATATCTTTACTGTTTAAAAGATACAGATTCAATGTTTTTCATTGTGGAATCTTTCTTAAATGAATGCAAATATTATATTATGTAATAATATCAAGAGATACCTAAATGTCCCTATTTACTGATAGTGCCTCTGTTTGAACTAGAAAAAGAACCATGGCATGGCTTTTACCAAAATATTTTTCTTTTTCACTTTGTATACAGCAAGAGAATGCCAAAGTGGCTGGATCACGTGTGAAGGAGGGCTTTACCAAAGTGCTGGGTGGCATATCTAAGGCTCTGGTCATTGAGCCAGACGATGCTGGTCAAGCTATTAAGGTGGTTGTTCCAGACCATCAAGTCTATAGCAGAGCTAAGGTAGGCCTATTATACAGTGTATAGGACATACATCAATTTACAGGACATACAATTATATATTGCATATAGGCCTAGTTCCAGTTATTTTGGCTGCTATGTGTAAACATCTGATCAAGAGTAAACTTCAACTACAACCTGTTGACTAGCATTGGTCTGAACCACAGTCACAGGACAGCATAAACTTGTTTAAAGGTCACAACTATGCAGTGTAAAATGTGCATAATTAAACCTGCACATCGCTCCAAAACGCAATATGTTGACATATATTGTTTTTACATTTTTAAGCTCTAATATAAAGTTTATGTAAATAAAAATTGTTTTTTCTGCGTAATATCAAAGAACAATCATTTAGTTAAAAAAATAAAAAGGTGGATGCGGGATTCGAACCGGGCCTCCCGCGTGCTAACGTGAATTCTACCGCTACACCACCGTGTTATTATTATTATTAGCTCACATGGTGAGCTTTTGCAATCGCTCACTTGTCCGTCTGTCTGTCTGTCCGTCCGTCTGCCGTCTGTCCGTCAACAATAGTGGCACGTTTTAAAACCTCTGTCGATAGGATTCCTGTTTTAAGTTATTTCTGTTCAACATCAATACAGAAAACTCCCCTATGACTCCTGGTTCAAAAGCTCGCCTATTTTCAAAATGGCCGCCATTTTTGTCTCGCGAAATTCACTTTTGACTGGCACGTTTTAAAACCTCTGTCGATAGGATTCCTGTTTTAAGTTATTTCTGTTCAACATCAATACAGAAAACTCCCCTATGACTCCTGGCTCAAAAGCTCGCCTATTTTCAAAATGGCCGCCATTTTTGTCTCGCGAAATTCACTTTTGACCTATTTCCTAGCTTTACAAATAATTTCAAGTGTCATACATTGTAAAAATCCATGTCAATGTAAAGAGTTGATGTATGAAATAATTTTGTTACGAAAAATCAGCAAAAAATTATATCCATTTTTTTTATTTTCAGCCATTTTAGTTAACATTGATTTGTCCATTTGTCTCGCAAAATCCACTTTTGGACCATTTGCCTTAAACCCTCTGTCGATAGGATTCCTGTTTTAAGTTAATTTTGTTCAACATCAATACAAAAAACTCTCCTATGACTCTTGGTTCAAAAGCTCGCCTATTTTCAAAATGGTCACCATTCTTGTCTCGCAAAATTCACTTTTGGCCCATTTCCTAGCTTTACAAATAATTGCAGCTGTCCTGCATTGTAAAAAGCCATGTCACTGTAACAGGCCTGTCAACTGTCCCGCAATTTGCGTATTTGTCACGCATTTGCTGAAGAATTTGAAGTCACGCCAGTTATTTTTGTAATATCAAATACGCATTTTACTTGGTAATTGCCAAGCAAAAATATTTCTGTAGAAAAATTTCTAAAAAAGATCGTCTACACAGCAAAAATACGAACGCCGGAAAAAATGTACGCATGTTGTTCGGACTTTTCACGCGAATTACGTATATGTCACGCATTCCGTTCGAAATTTTTCGTACCTATGTCTTTGTAAAGAGTAGTTGTATGAAATAATTTTGTCACAAAAAGTCTGCAAAAAATTATACCCGTCTTTTTTATTTTCACTTTTGAGCAACACCATGTGAGCCCAGTACCCACGGTACTAATTTTTATGAATGGTGGAAGTAATTAAAAGCTACTTATTTTGAATGCTATGATTCGGAAGTGACGTCACGTTCTTCATTTAGAAACCTTTCCAAAATCATATCGTCGGCCCCGATCGAAGCAATTCAATGAAAAATCTTTGAAATGACACATTTATCGTAAGTATTTCTACACAAGATTTGCCCCATTTTTTCATCATTCTATAATCTTTCATTAAGCTCAAAATGATAAAGTTCACCCCCGAAACAACCCAAGATTGTGTTTTGGAGCGATGTGCAGGTTTAAAATAAGCATGTTTCACCGTGACTCAACCATTGCAATGATATTGTTAAGAGAAAATCACAAATACAAGGTGACACAAAATATAACCCTCTAGTTTTCTTCAATGTGTAGACAGGGTGTTCAATGAAGGATTCAGTGTTGTACTTTCAGAGTATCAATAATTATCCCACCGAACGAAGTTCGAGGGGGATATAGAGAAGCCTTCCGTCCGTTCATCCGTCCGTCCGTGTGTCCAGGCGATAACTCCAATACCGGTTGACGGATTTGGTTCAAATTTTATAGTCTTATGCCTTGTGAGTGTAGGACCTCTGCTTGAGAAGGAATTTTCAATATGGCCGCTCAATTCAAAATGGCCACCATTTTCGTAAAAAATGTAATCGTTGATAACTCAAATACAAGTAGAAGGATTTGGTTCAAATTTTATAAGCTGATGCCTAGGGATAAAGGAGTTTCGCACAAAAAGAGATTTTCAAAATGGCCACTTAATTTCAAAATGGAGGCCATTTTTCGTAAAAATATGTAATCTTTGATAACTCAAATACCAGTGAACGGATTTGGTTCAAATTTTATATGATGATGCTTAGGGACACAGTAGCTATGTTCGACAAAATTTTTTCAAGATGGCCGCTTAATTTAAAAATGGCAGCAATTTTTCGTAAAAAACATAATCTTTGATAACTCAAATACCAGTGAACAGATTTGGTTGAAATTTTATATGATTATGCCTAGGGACACAGTAGGTCTGTTCAAGAAATAATTTTCAAGATGGTGGCTAAATTTCAAGATGGCGGCCAATTTTCGTAAAAAACGTAATCTTTGATAACTCATATACCAGTGAACGGATTTGGTTCAAATTTTATATGATGATGCCTAGTTCACAATGGTATGAACTAACTTTGTGCCAAATTTCATGCTTCTATCACAAAGTGCACAAACATTTCAACATTTCCACAAGCTATAATAAGCATAATATGTTTTGTTCGGTGGGATTTGCTACTCCGTGGAGTTGCTGTCTTTCTAGTTTGGCTTTAGAATAACATTTTCCATCTAGGCATCCCCAAGATGTAAAATTGCTAAAAATTCAAAAAATTAAATTCCTTAATTGGGATTTTCCCCATTATTTGCCTTGACAGAAAGCATCATTTCTCTCAATGGAGAAGTAGATACTATGTAAGCACACCAGTAGTAGATACTATTTAAGCACACCAATAGTAGCTACTATGAATTAAAGCACACCAATAAGGCAATAATAGCTATGAATTAAAGCACATGGATAGTAGCTACTATGTAAGCACACCATTGTTTATAACATTGAACCTTCTATCTACACATGAAATTCATACAGATTCCATGAGAGAAAGCTATTTCAGTACTTTTGTATCAACCTCCATTTCCTTGTTCGGAGCTCTGTCATACCAGAGTTCTTGTTTTTTATGCAACTAGTTTCAAGTTTTGTATTTTTGATACTTAAAGTGCATGTCAAACACTATAATATGAGACCTATAGCACAATAAATTAGTATGTATGTAGTACTTCTAGTTCTACCATGTTTTATTTTTATAAGCAATCCACAGAGATGTATTTTCCAGGAAGAATACAGGTTTGGAACGGGCTAGATTGTTTGGTAGTCATAGGCAATGTTAAATTAGTGCATGTGTTTAGATTCAAGCCTGAAAATGTTATATTGATGATGTACTGTATATCAGTCAAAACTTGTATGTAACTGAGTCTCACATCTTTGAAATGGTGTATGTTTACATGCATTTGGCCTTCAAACCTTACAGAGGAAGTGGTTGCTAGAAATATTGGATAAGAGAGAGGTGTTTTACAAGAAGAGGTGTTTAACTTACAGAGGTGTTAAACTTAGTGTTATGTCATCATCTTATTTACCTTTGATGAAGTTATCATAAAATTTAAATCAAAGAATAAATTGTCCTGAATAATTATTTATTTGTTCTAATTTATATGCCAAATTGAATTGAAGACAATTTATGATCTGTCAATGTAGTCTTCAAACTGTATGAAATAAATCCAGACTAAAGCACTATGCCTCCACATTACAGGCAAGACTCCATGCCATTCAGGTTGACCCAGATACATACTGCATTGATCCTGATGGACAAAGGGCACAGTATCAAGAATGGAAGGAAACATTTGTGCTTGATGCTAACAAGGGCACCATTTCAGAGTTGCTTGTTACTAAGACTGAGATCAGGTCCCTCTACACACAGTTGGTGAGTTGTGCATCATGAATATAGCTCAGATTACTTGTTAAATAGCTACATGTATTAAGGAATCTCTTATAATTCAAGAGTTTATTGAGTATTGTAGATCAGTACAATGTACAGTGTGAGTGTGATGTGTACCATAATGCTATTACATCAGAATTTAGTATTTTTGTTTTTCCATGATTTTATGTCTTTTATAGCAGCTGGGTGTCAACTTGATGCCAGCCACTTTGTCTCTGCAACGAGATGCCTGTCTTCCAGAATGTAGATTTTGAATACAAATCACATATTTCAAATACATTAATCAGAGCTTGAGAATGTTGACTGCCTGAACTAGACACTGGTTTAAAAGCCAAAAAGTCTCCCTCCTACCAAAAGCTGGCAGAGCATCTTGTTGCAGAGACACTTTGGCTTATCATGAGACCAATTTCCCATCAATAAACCCAGAAGATAAATTATTAAATAACTAGAAAAAAAAGCAGTTATTGAAATGCATTATTATGTCAATATCGCATCTTGCATTGTAAAATTTAAGTCAGCTTATGATTAAAGCAATCATCATCAAGGGTATTGATTGCAAGTACATGCACATTGTTTTTAGGCTGCTCCTTCATTTATGCAAAATACTATTCAGAGGGCTTATATTGCATTGTTGAAAACTTTTTCCTACTAATTGATCACAAAACTGGGTAAAGCCTGTTGCCTGAAGATGATGTTATTTCTCTCAACCGATATTTATGTTTGTATTTCTTTATTTGGGACATTCAGTGAACTTGCATATATCATTTCACTAATCATATTATAAGTCTAAAACTTGCAAAACTAGTGGTACAACCTGTAGTGTTGGTGGTATATTCTTGTGCAGTTCATAGTAATTGTTGTGAATTACCAATTACAGTTTATATTGGCATGCTAAGTATTCATCTTACTCATTAGTTTTATCATAGAAGCATATACATGTACATGTACTTTAGGAGAATTGACTGTTCCTCATTTTAGTACCTCTCATGATATGCTTTTACTTCAGGAGCAATCTATAACAATATCTTACAATTAGACTACCTTAGTCTTTACCATTGAATACAGGCGTTTCCAAAAATGTATCTTTTGTTTATTCGAAGGTTCCATCCACTGTGTCCCACAAGGACTTCTGGCATCGATACTTTTACAAGGTTCAACAGTTCGAGAAAGATGAGGCACGTAAAAAGGAACTGGTAAAGAGAGCTGATGATGTAGAGACTGACCTGGGTTGGGATGATGGTGAGGGTTTGAATATGTTTTTAATCAATCTTACCTTAACATTTGTTGCCTGTCTAAATTTATTGAATGGCTAGATTTTCTGGCTTTATGAGTTGATATGGTTATTAGAGATTTTGTAAGTTTATGTTTCTCATATGATTCCTTTTTGCGATTTCTGCCATCACTCAAAACATGATATTATGAAGATTGGAATTTTAGTTTCAAAGAAAGCATTAACAATTTTTCTCCAGAGGATGATTGGGCAGATCTTGCTGATGGTTCCCCTGAGCACTCTCCCACAAGGATTAACCACAGGGAGCATTCTCCCCTAGAGTTGGGTGGAGTTGGCACTGTAACTAATACACATTCTGTGAAAGAGAATGAGGGTATGAACATTGATGAAATAACAAAAGTGAAAGTTGCAGTACCTCTAAATATGGACGAGAGTGACTCAGTTGATCTGATTGTCCCCTCATCATCTGAAAACTCAGAACACATTGGACCAAAAATTGATAAAAGTGACATTGAAAATGAACCAGAAAAAATTCCAGAAATTACTTCAGCCAAACAATCAGTTGACACTAAATCTATTTTGAAAATAGACACAGAGAATAAAGCTGAAATATCAGAACTAGTGCAATGCTCATCCAAGACAAATGATGTACCAAACAAAAGCGAACCAACTGACAACATTAAGCCTGTTGGGGCAAGCCAAGGAGAAAATGCAAAGGGTGATATCACTGTTGAAGTGAATAAGGATAACATTAAGGATGTGCAAACAACTGCAGATCTTCCTGTGGAGCCCCCTTCTGAAAGAGTCGAAGAGGTGGACAAAAAGAGGCCTATAGAAGAGCCTCTTACAGTTGCTGTTGACCAGCTGAAGATGAAAGATAAAGGAGATATGATTGTTGTGACAGATGGTGAGACACCATTGTCTGATGGCAGCAATGGGACCAGTAGCAGTAGCAATAAAGGTATGTATTCATAGCTTACAACTCAACATAACTGAGGAAGGGCAATTCAGTAATTTTGTATACAGCCATTTTGTAAAAGCCAAGTATTATATGCACCCAAATAATCCCAGAGACCATAAGAAAGAAATGGATCTATTATCCATTAGTACCTAAAGACAAGGGACAGCTAGAGCAAAATATACTTTCTTACGATTCTTCATTTTGTAAAATTACCAAAATGCATAATGCCATGCCATCTTGCACATAGGAAATGGTGATATAATATTTTTATCACACTTTTGTGCATTGACAGGCATCTTTCTGGGCATTTGTGTGTGGACATGTGCCACATAAGTCTTGATTTTCACCATACCATTACCAACCATTGAATTCCCTCTCTTCCAGAGTCCTCTAGTGTTGACGAGGATTGGGAGAAAGATTTTGATATTGAGCTGACAGAAGAGGAACTGAAACTGGCTTCAGAGGCAGCTAAGAAAATGAGTCTTGGAAAGATGGAAGATGTGGCAGATGAAGAGGTATCACATGTTCATATTATGGCATATCCATTTGTGCTCATTTTAATTAAAATGATGTCCATATGTCAACAGTTCTGGAAGAACAAAAATTATGTTGTTAAACTTTGATCTAAATGATGAGAACTTGAAAGTAAATCGTGCAATATTATGACCCCCAGGAATTGTTTTCCACTACCACTGTAATTAAAAATACATTCATGCTTTAGATGCAAAAACTTTGTACATTATGAAATGCTTGATGCTACTCTGATATGTCATTTTAGACAAAATGTTCATGGCTGAAACTTCTTAAATTATTATAAATGCATGGAAAAGGTTTACTGTACATAAAACTAATTTATCTGATATATACAAAGGTTTTGTATCGAAAATATGAATAAATTTTCCCCAAATAATATTGCACAGTGGTCATTAGATTGCTTGATTATTAGGGTTTATACCTATAGGAACTTTCAAAGATTTCAAAACCTTTAGTCCTATCTACAAATATTGCTACCTATAGATTATGACATCATAAAGCTAGCCAATCCTTTGGATTGGCAAAATGGATTGTATTTAGTGGAGAGGTCTATTTAATATTAAAATTGTATTGTATTGTGTTGCAGGAAGATGACTGGGAGAGCTGGGACTAGACATTAGAGACATCTATAAGCGTATATATTTCATTCTGGGATGACATCTATAGATGGTTGTATAGACTTATTTAATAGAACTGACTTCTACCAATGTTGTATGGACTAACATCTTGCAGAAACATGTGTACTTATATATCAGTTATGTACACATATTCAACATACAAATGACAAGACATATTTGGGACAACTGTGGTGGTGATGTGTACTGGAATATTGGATTGTAACAATACAATTTGAGTTATTTATACAACATAAGTTATTTAAATATATTGATAAACCATTACACTGTATACAGCAAGCAAAATCATGGGAGTTGTAATCAGCTTACAATTGGGTTCCTTAAATGAGATATTTTTCCTTACATATATTTTATAGTTCAGTTGTCATTAGTATACCTGTACTTTATTTGTGGAATATTATACAATTAAATGGTGGAAGGAATGAAAATATATTTGAATGGTGATTAAAAGTTATGTGCTGTTTAATTGAGAAACATCCATAGTTATTGACAGTTATGCAGTTTTAAGTGTTTTGCATTTGTGGTCCACCTGTTATTATTAGCTCACATGGTGAGCTTTTGCAATCACTCACTTGTCCGTCTGTCTGTCTGTCCGTCCGTCTGTCCGTCAACAATAGTGGCACGTTTTAAAACCTCTGTCGATAGGATTCCTGTTTTAAGTTATTTCTGTTCAACATCAATACAGAAAACTCCCCTAGGACTCCTGGTTCAAAAGCTCGCCTATTTTCAAAATGGCGGCCACTTTTGTCTCGCGAAATTCACTTTTGACCCATTTCCTAGCTTTACAAATATTTTCAGGTGTCCTACATTGTAAAAATCCATGTCAATGTAAAGGGTAGATATATGAAATAATTTTGTTACAAAAAATCAGCGAAAAATTGTATCCATTTTTTTATTTTCAGCCATTTTAGTTAACATTGATTTGTCTATCTGACTCGCGAAATCCACTTTCCATCAATAACAGTGGCACGTTTTAAAACCTCTGTCGATAGGATTCCTGTTTTAAGTTATTTCTGTTCAACATCAATACAGAAAACTCCCCTATGACTCGTGGTTCAAAAGCTCGCCTATTTTCAAAATGGCCGCCATTTTTGTCTCGCGAAATTCACTTTTGACCCATTTCCTAGCTTTACAAATAATTTCAAGTGTCCTACATTGTAAAAATCCATTTCAATGTAAAGAGTAGATGTATGTAATAATTTTGTTACGAAAAACCAGCGAAAAATTATATCCATTTTTTTATTTTCAGCCATTTTAGTTAACATTGATTTGTCCATCTGTCTCGCAAAATCCACTTTTGGACCATTTACCTTAAACCCTCTGTCGATAGGATTCACGTTTTAAGTTAATTTTGTTCAACATCAATACAAAAAACTCTCCTATGACTCTTGGTTCAAAAGCTCGCCTATTTTCAAAATGGTCGCCATTCTTGTTTCGCGAAATTCACTTTTTGCCCATTTCCTGGCTTTACAAATAATTTCAGCTGTCCTGCATTGTTAAAAGCCATGTCACTGTAAAGAGTAGTTGTATGAAATAATTTTGTTACAAAAAATCGGCAAAATATTATATCCGTTTTTTTATTTTCAGCCATTTTAGTTAACATTGATTTGTCCATCTGTCTCGCGTAATCCTCTTTTGGACCATTTGCTTAAAACCTCTGTCGATAGGATTCCAGTTCAAAAGCTTGCCTGATTTCAAAATGGTCGCCACTTTTGTCTCGCGAAATTCAATTTTGGCCCATTTCCTAGCTTTACAAATAATTTCAGGTGTCTTGCATTGCAAAAAGCCATGTCACTGTAAAGAGTAGTTGTATGAAATAATTTTTTTACAAATAATTGGCAAAAAATTATATCCGTTTTTTTTTCAGCCATTTTACTTAACATCGATTTGTCCATCTGTCTCTCAGTCAGTCCAAAATAGTGGCAAGTGGCTTGAAATAATTTTGTTACAAAAAATCAGCAAAAAAATTACATCCGTTTCTTTTTTATTTTCTGTCACCATGTGAGCCCAGTACCCACGGTACTAATTTTATTGAATGTTAAAACTCGAGCTATTGCTGCTCATAAAATTGAGCTGTACTCAGCTTACTTAATTGAAGACACTGAGCTAAAAGTGTGATCATTGAGCTAGATTGAGTGCAATTATTGAGCTATGTGGGTTTCAGATGCAACTGTAATCATTGAGCTAGATTTAGTGCAATTATTGAGCTATGTGGGGTTCAGACACACCTGTAATCATTGAGCTAGATTGAGTGCAACTATTGAGGTATGTGGGGTTCAGACACAACTGTAATCATTGAGCTAGATTGAGTTTAACTATTGAGCTATGTGAGGTTCAGACACAACTATAATCATTGAGCTAGATTGAGTGCAATTATTGAGCCATGTGGGATTCAGACACAACTGTAATCATTGAGCTAGATTGAGTGCAATTATTGAGCTATTGAGCTATATGGGGTTCAGACACAACTATAATCATTGAGCTAGATTAGTGCAATTATTGAGCTATTTGGGGTTCAGACACAACTATAATCATTGAGCTAGATTGAGTGCAATTATTGAGCTATTGAGCTGTATGGGGTTCAGACACAACTATAATCATTGAGCTAGATTAAGTGCAATTATTGAGCTTTGTGTAGTTCAGATGCAACTGTAATCATTAAGCTAGATTGAGTGCAACTATTGAGCTATGTGGGGTTCAGACACAACTGTAATCATTGAGCTAGATTGAGTGCAACTATTGAGCTATTTGGGGTTCAGACATAAACTATAATCATTGAGCTAGATTGAGTGCAACGATTGAGCTATTGAGCTATGTGGGGTTCAGACACAACTGTAATCATTGATCCAGATTGAGTGCAATTACTTTATTGAGCTATGTGGGGTTCAGACATCTTTGAATTTGAATTTATTTTTTGACATTCGTTGTATTGTAATCACTCAACATTACATTACGTGCAACCATTAGTGTGCAACCATTAGTTACATCGGTCGCAATTAATCACTTTCCTGCAAGCGTTGAGTTATATCATGTATTAATTCTTTGAGTTTATTTCAATACAGATTCAATACAAGTCCCCGGGGACAAGTCATTCGATCTGAAATAAAGGAACAGATAATTAAGGAAGTGGACGTCACTTTTTCAAGGCTACATATGCGGATATAATGCCAGTTAAAGTCTGGTAAAGTATCATGATTACACGACTTCAGATTGTAAATACTCCGATGTCAATTTGGTCAAGGTGATTCTTCAGGGGACCGCATCAAAATCATGTAATGGTTTTATGAAAGTATTTCAAAAAAGATTGTTCCCTCTCTTGGACATGTTGGATAAAGTATATAACTTTGAAATGAAATCGTCAATGAAATAGAGTACAATTAATGTACTCTGCTTTGATTTACCCTCTCACATTGTAAAATTACATGTATTTTCTTGGTGTTGTATTTTCTAAACTACCCTTATACTTCAATTTTGACTGGTCTACTGCAAAGGACAATTGCTCTTTTATTCTTATCTCTACTCAACTGACTTAATTTATATATTTTAATTGTGAAGGGGTGTCGTGATAAAGTAAATGGGGTTATCAGAGTCGTGTTGCACTAACCCATTAATATAAAATATAGCGGATGATAAATGTAAGGCTAAATGATTAGCAAAATCAAGTCGTTACAAAATACGTCATTAAGACTAAACAGCAAATGTGATGAACCATGAATTCTGGACTGCACATTTGAACTTTTTGATTCTGTGCCTTTTCATATTCTGATGTGCTAATTGCTTTATTTATTTATTTATTTATTTTACTTCATTGACACAATTGATAACAATATTAAAGATTCAGTTCAATCAGATTTGGAAACACAAGTAATGTGGAGGTCTTTTTCAAGGCTATTGGACTATTTTTCTTATCCGTCGGCGAAAGTCTGATGTTGGGGTATGGTTATTTGTTACCGCCCGGCAGTACGTACCCCAGTTTTGTGTGACGGATAAATTCGGGGGATAAATTCGGAAAGAAGAAAGCAATATGTTGGCAAATATTTTCCTTTCGTTGGTATTGGCTTATAATAATCCAGCATTTCCTTTTATGATATGTGTTTAAACAATTTTTTGAATGATAGTTTCCCCAAAAGGTTTCTGTTTGGAGAAATTGTTATAACATAATGCTGTTCATCAAATAGGCCATGCGATTGACATTTGTTCTCGTTTAATTCTTTGTTGGTAGAAAACTCGCCTATCTATACGAGGTCAGTAAGTTTAAAATCTGTACGAAATAAAACATAAGATAAACTGATTAATACATAGACAGTTCAGGAACTGAGTAATGAGTTTAATAAATGAGACACTAATCAAACTGTGGACTCGACCTCATCAGGTCAACCCCGTTCTTGAACACTTAACCGATCAGAGATCAATAAATTGCAACATATTACAAGTCAGACTACAAGTGTGACAGTTGAAAAAGTGTAAGGGACTTAACGTGTTGGAAATTGCAATCACTTATTGGACGCATCGCCATGGCTTTCCGAAGACTATGGCAACCAGCGCTCGTGGCCAGCGGCCGACGTGGTATGTACAAGGCGGCGACAAAAGATGTTCCAAAAGTTGAAATAACTTCAAAAATTGCGCTTCCCGACTCTACGGTTCGTAATGCCAGAACAATGAACTTTGCTGTCGGATTCAATTGGACTGATCACAAAAAGGGGGACATTGATTATTCCAGCTGTGATTTTTTGGCTATAGGGCACGACCGTAGAATCAACGAAGCCCAAGCTGAATTTATCCTTTCACAAATTGACGATGGTAAAGCTGCCTGGGGTAAGACAGCTGTATGGCCCCGTACGAAGGATTCCCCGATGGTCAAATTTCAGGAAGCGGCGGCTGAATGGCTTAACGCTGAAGCAGTTGTGTTGACAAAAAGTGGGATGGATGCCAATTGTGGTCTAATGGAAATCCTCCTCTCAAATAACGATATCCCTGTTTATCTTGATTTCCTTGCCCATAAGACATTTCGATATGGCATATCAGCAGCTAAGGGGGAGATGATCGTCTTCAAGCACAATAACTTAGAAGATCTAGAAGCCCAAATGGCAAAGCGTGGCCCAGGGTTCATAATCGTGGACAGTTTGTACAGTTCTCTTGGTACGATAGTACCGTTAAAAGACATTTGTGATCTTGCGGACAAATACGGATCAGCGTTAATTGTCGACGAATCCCACGGTCTTGGGGCACATGGAGATCTTGGGAACGGAATAGTGTGTCAGCAAGGACTAGAAGATAGGGTGCATTTTAGAACAGCCGGCCTCACCAAGGGTCTTGCCTCCACTGGTGGACTTTTCACGGGTACGAAAGAATTTATTAAGTTATTCCGCGGAAACACAACCAAATCGGTGTTTAGTTACGCAGTCCAGGATTACGAAGCAGTCCGCCTGTTGACAGCATTGAAGATCGTGAAAGGGGCAACGGATAGGCGTGAGTCCCTCCACAAGAAATTCACCTATTTAAAACAGAAGATGAGAGATATCGGCTACCATGGTTACTATCTTGACCAGCCAAGTCAAATATTCGGATTTTGCACTGGCGATTATGACAATACAGTTGGGTTGGACAGAGCCCTTAAATCTAAGGGCATATTCCCAACTGCATTCACATTTCCCGCTGCGCCAAGAGATCGTTCATTACTCAGATGGACTGTGACTGACCAAGTAACAATGGAACAATTGGACTATACACTCGGCGTGTTGAAACAATTTATTGATGATGGCACGGCAAAGCCATCAGAATGGCCTGACTATGAGAGACCATGTTATTAATTGCAATAGTGCCAAAGATCAATGAGAGCATCCAAAATCTCATAAATCAAATCATTAGAGATACCTTTGTAAAACATATTATTTTAGATTTAGTTTGTTATCTATCGTGTTGTAATTTTACATTTGGTGTGTAATTAATTAACTCAAATCACGTTTATCTCACAAGAATATTACAAGGCATCTTCAAAATGTCATTTTTATGAACTGTGTAAATACAACTCGGGTCATCGACTGACTTATAAAGTGTCTAAAGTGACAGTTTAAAACTGTCAAAAATGAAAAAGTGTGGATATTTATAAATTTAAAGATATATTTTTCAACAGTGTGGATGAGTCATTGTAAATATGCTGTATATAGCTGATATACGTTATATAGTTTGTACATTTTTATTTTGACTACAGAATAAAAAATATTATGGGCAGTCTAAAAGTTATAATTATTATTTCAGCTGTTCATCTCAAATGTTGACAAGAAGTCGGTTACTAAGGCAATTTTATGGTTGTAGTATATGGTCCATGTCGGGAGTTTTGGTAGATGATAGCACATTTGATAAAATGTTTTGAGATTCATTTCAAACAGGTTCACCAAAATCAAACTTATCCAAAGCTGACGAAGTTAAATAGGTAAACCTAGTCCTAAGACCCATCGTTTTTTCGCTTGCTTAAGAATTCGTGTACATATTTCCAACTGGGCGCTGACATTTCACTGTGTACATCCATTCTCAATAACTAGGCACAATTGATGTCGCCAGGCTCAGTCTTAGTATTAACATTACTGACATCAATTTTTCATGTGTTTACAAGTAGTATATATGACCCTCTACCAAGCACGTATGTAATATATGATTTCTAAGTTACACATATTTTATTATATGTACTCGAATATGCCTATTCATAATTTACGTGACTGTCGCCATATCAAAAATCAGGATTGTATGGTGTCATTGAAGAACTTTTTATACGTAACATCCCATATAAAGTGTTTTCTTATACACAAGATGATCCTAGCTTCTAGTCAAATGATAGAAACGATCATTTTGACATTTTCACCTTACCAAAAATATTCCCAAGCAAATGTCGCCAGTCTTTTTTTATGTTTACCCCCTTGTGCTATGAATTATATAAAGATGGTGAAAAAATAATGTATTCAATGTGCTATATATTTTTCTGGATTCAAATGTAAATACTTGTTAGAAAGTCGTACAAGTTGCTGTTGGAAACGTGAAGATTTGGGCATTAGAAAATTATAATCACAGCTTTTCATGAAGTTATAGATAAGAAAATCATTTACGTGATCAATGTTTCCACGGTCAATACGTAGTTGAGCATATTCATGTTATATCAACTAATTGTATGGTAGGGGTGTACCTGATTAATCACTATGTTCAACCAATTTAACTTTGTTTGAATACAATACAGCAGCGAGAGTGTCGTTTGCATCATTTACTATACCATCATTTTCGATACCTTGTGGTACGAAAATAACTATTACCATACTCCTAGCTCTGAATAAAGTTTATAACGAGGGAAATTTAAGCTCACATATTGGTTTGAATCTGAATCAAGAAAGTCTACCACTTTTTCGGAGTAAAACCACGCAATTTAAGGTATGTATTACACCCTATATAGTATCTCTCATGTGAAACGAATACATGTTGTTAATTTAATGTTAACTATGGCATAAACATTGTTAGAATAAATGTGAAAATGTACATAAAAACACGTTTCTATCATTGATTTTGTATTGAAGCTCTGGCCCTGTGTTTTTATTATATGATAACTTACGTTACCGATGGTAACGTAGTTGATGAACTCTGGTGCACACATTTGTTTGCCGTCAAAACTTTACCGGTATATTTATTTATCAACATGTACACTTTGTAGATGGGAGAGACTAGTGCAGAAATTCAAAAATACTATCATGAGAGGAAAAAACAAAATAGGTGGATCGTACATGGCCAAAGAACGTGTTCAATAATTTTATTGTCCCAATAGCTGCAATGTCATCTGAAAAGATAAAGAGGTCGTTTTAAGAATAAATAAATAGCCTAACAGCAAGAAAAAACAAAAGAAAAATCAGAAAAGATACTATTGGCAGCTAATGACCCCAGGGATGCCGAAATAATCATTGTGACACAAGCGGCTATGACAGTGTTTCATGATCAAGTAACACATTAAACATGAATTTTGCAAGAGGACAACAAAAACAGGACTGTGTACCCGACGGTTGTCACAGGCAAAGGGACATAGGCTACCTTGGTCAACGCAAATAAATCGTGTCAAAGCCGAACTGCACACAGGTTTATGGATATACAAGAAGATACAATAACACCTTTTAAAAGTGTTAATGTCAGAGACATGCATACTGACAGTGAAGATATTGGGGTACACGTTGGCGAATATGTCACTGCAGTTTATGATAACCGCTGATTTAAATATTTTTTGTAAGTGTAGAGACTAATGATAGGGAAATTATTTTAGGGAGAAGCAAAATGTGTCTTCTTCCTCTAAAAAGTGACATTATTTGTCTGAAAATCTCCAATACTAATATTTTATCTGAAATGGAGAAGCCAACCCCAAGGCTATTCGAACGGAGTCCTGAGATGCAAACTTGGTCCAGGATATATATGACAAAGCAAAGGTAATGGAGGAATAAGTTAAGTTTTTAGTAGTTATGTATCGTATGTTATCCCACGATTAATGTGTTATCAGTACAATAACAGCTATTGATATTTCTGATATTATTGAAATCAGTGTGATATTTTCCAGAAAATCGTTTATCAAACTCATATGCGTGTGATATCGTTTATCTCACGCATATCCGTGTGATATCACATTTGCATTTCGCGCCACAATATTGTTGGAAGTTAGGTCAGATAATTTATTCTCTTTTGAGAGAAATTGGAAATTGGATGAGAACATCACAAGGTGATTGTAATCATGGGATAAACCCAATATCACATAATTTCTCGTGATATCATTTTATCGCCTCGTAGATATCAATTATCAACACTCATTCGCTTCGCTCACTCGTGTTGATATTTCTTATCAACTCGGCGATAAAAATGATATCACTCAAAATGATGTGATATTCTGTATATATCAGGAGACACTTAGCGTTGCTTCTTCTTGACGATACTCACATATTTTATACTAAATAGTATTGATTCCGCCATTGTGAGTTTTGTATCATTTACGTTACAAAGGATTTTAGCATTTAAAATGTGTAAAGAAAGAAAAAGTAACTTTAAGCCTGCATTTTTTCTTTAAAACATGTAGCGCATGTTGCACTTAGTTAATTACATATGCGTTGCATACATAGTTGAGGTTGGTGTTCTCTTTAATGTAGCTATTTTAGAATTTAGTGACTTTCACCATCATTTACGTAACATGATTAGGCGTTGGACTATGTCTGTTTCAAGTGTTATTATTGCTTAAACTTCAGTGTAAACATGATATAAGAAACACCAGTTGATATTTTGCAATTATTCATAATGATATAACTGATTCTACGATGTTACTATTTTTGAATCATATACGTTACCAAGGGTGTCATGATATATAAATCTCAATTAAATCATGCCTCCTGTGTCAAACACCAAAACGTAGCTATCATTTTATTCTTCATACTATCCATCATCAGAAAAGAAAGCTAAATGTAACGTAGTTAGACTGATTTTCTTCAAAATTGAAATGACGTGTAGCACTTAGGATTTGTTCGTGAAAGGGAATAATAAGTTCATCTGTGATTTCCGTCTTCAATGTGAGTCTGTTTCAATTATATATCTTCAAAATTTCTGATATATGATTCATTATCAAGGCAAAATATATCCTTATTTTTAGATGCAAAAGTAAACATGAGAATATTGCTTTGGCTCAAAATACAGGTCTCTTTGTATGACACCCCACTATAACGTTAATGACAGAGACTTGCATTTTTAAGATAATATCATATGCGCTTCGACATGCAAATTTTTCATGAAGGAGTTTGAGATTGATGAAGATATTTGCGGTTTAGCTACTTGACATATATTCAAATAATAAAACATCAAATTGAAACCATTTAAACCAACTTCACTTTTGGTCCATTTCACTCATGGAAATGTGCCTAGTTATTGAGAATGGATGACTATAGTGTACTCTGCTACGAGATGGCTCCTTTTTTATCAACTTTGATGAACATCCTCCAGTTATACAAATATTTTCGGATTACTCTTGAATGCTTGATAAAAACATTTTTTTTAAAGAATGCAATTAATACCAAGATATCGAACTCCCGTGTCTAAAACCGAGACACTGCATAGGAGTTCGCCAAGATATGTGGACACAGAGACCTCTATTCAACTTAATTCAGTTCAATTCAATCTACTTGCAGGAATATCTATCTCACGATTCCTTCAATTTTATTTAATATTGAATGTATTTGGAAATGTATCATCGTATCAGAACGTAAAAGCTGTTTAGTAAGCAATACTTTTCCTGGTAGTCTACCCCGGTCAAATATATTTTCTATTACACAGCATATACAAACAATACTATGAATCTATATTTCAGGAAACTCCGTGGGCAACATTTGCTCGTTGGTCTGTATGATTGATAGCGTGACGTACCTTCAGGGTACTGAAGCTCCAGTGCGTATTGATGCTGTTCAGGGAGTGCCAATACGGCCCCCTGTGGTAGCCGGTGAACTTATCTTCAACAGGTCAATTTGTTCTTGGTGTTAAATCTCCTGCATTGGACACGTTAAATAACCGAGGTCTTCTGTTATAGACGCCAAACTGTAGTTTTTTCAAAAAACATAATTGTGTATATATACCATTTTGATAATTTTATTGCTTTTTATTCATACATTATTCCTATAACTACAAATGTAGTGATGTAAATTAAATGTTTTAAAAGACTGGATTTCACAATTTTTTTAAATGTCATACATTTATCTTTTTGGAAACATTCACATTACATGTATATTCCTTCCTTTGCTCGCACACTTAGAACAATTACAATATCCTGATATTTCATATAGGATAATCTTAACTATAAGCATATTCAATATTGCCAATACCTTAAAAATAACTTAGTAATCACCACTTTTAATAAGCATGTGTGCTTGTTGGAAAATAACCTATACCAAAAAAGCATAAGTATATACAATAGATAAACAATACGAATCAGCTACATAAAAGAGCATTCAAATGACTCAGATGCGAATAGGTAGTTACTAGTTTCACCACCAGGTGACTCATTTGGGCCAGATAGCATGGCGGGTATAGAAGAAAGTTCCCTTTAACCATGGGCTTTCAACTAATTGAAAGCCCATGCTTTAACTTAAATATTCATCAGTTCTAGCGGTTCAATTTTCATATCACCCTTATGTATCTAATAGTTATGCAAATTAAAATATGTCAAGTAAAAGAAAATAGTATCTGTCCAATACAAGAAAAGATATTTAACTTTTTGTGATTTTATAACATGGGGTCTATGAAGAATCTCCCCCAAGTAGAAGTCACATTTTCAAAAAAATAATAATTTTCGAAACCATTTTTGTAGATGAACTTTTACTTGTAAATTTTAAATATGGCATCACAATGGCCTGATGACTGGATTTTGAAGATTTAATGACGTAAATCAAGAATATATCTACTCGCATCTAGTCTATTAATATAGCGCAAATAACTTTCTATTGAAATAAATTGGCAAATGATTGTCAAAAAATATATGTTATAACATTAAAAAGCAGGCTGGTGAGGCCATAATCCAATTCTGCAAATAAAAATAAATAAATAATAGGTACCCCTCCATCTTTTTAATGCCTTTTATTTGGAGAAATGATTTTTTTATCAAAATAATTTTATTTATAGTCGGCTGCCTATATACACCAGTATACAACCTCTAGTATCTGACTGTCATGATTTGAAACAAAACTCATAGTGGCATAAGTGCCAATGAGGATTTGCTCCTGGCAACAGTTTGGCAAAACTGGTATGGGCAATGGACTTATTGCTTATCTGCATATTACTGGGGTTCATTAATAGAAATAGAAACTATACTATAATGAATTGGTCTCTTAGTATGACGTCACAATATCCATTGTTACAATTGGTTTAGAAATTCTGATAATGGATAACCCTATAAAGTTTTTATTAATGGTCCCCTGGTCAGCCAGTCCCCAGTACGTCAGTCTATTTACTTTAGCCATTATGTTTATCATGAGATTAATGTGCTTAAATGGCTCTGAATGTATCATTATTCATATCATAAAGTTTCACGTGTTCATAAAAAGCCAGGTGGTGGCATCTTATAGTTCCTCCCTGTGGGGTTAGGTGACGGCCCATATTGCATATTACTCGTATTGTTTTGTGACCCCCAGTTTGCTTGCTGGCCTTTCTGCCAATATGGCTGCTGATAGCGCATGTTTTGGTTTGGGAATGATGACTGCTTGAATGGTGCATACTGACGATTTCCCATATACTGTTGCCAAAGGGTTCCCTGGCCATGTGAGCTTTCCATATTACGGAAGCTTCCCATATTATGCTGATTTCCCATGTTTTGTTGGTTTCCTGTATCATGCTGCCTACCAAGCTTGTGTCCAAATTGTGATTGCTGGTATCCCATGTCATATGGGGGATTAGCAGGCAATTGTCCCATATTTTGAGTTGATGAGTGCTGTTGATATCCCATATTTTGGTGGGGTGAATTAGGCCTTTTATATCCTACATTTTGGAGGGGCGAATTAGGCCTCTGATATCCAATATTCTGGAGAGGTGAATTTGGCCTCTGATATACAATATTCTGGAGGGGTGAATTAGGCCTCTGATATCCAACATTCTGGAGAGGTGAATTTGGCCTCTGATATCCAACATTCTGGAGAGGTGACTTAGGCCTCTGATATCCAACATTCTGGAGGGGTGAATTAGGCCTCTGATATCCAACATTCTGAAGGGGTGATTTAGGTCTGCTATAGCCAAAATTTTGTGGTTGTTGATTTCTACTTTGGTTAATAATATTTGTCATTTGATGAACAGGAACTTTAGACTGCAGTCTAGGTTCTGTATGTCCAAAATTGGGAACAGGGGCATTTGGTCTGATTGAAATCTGAACAGGGTCATCAGGTCCCTTTGGATTTTGAACAGGGGAATCAGCTGGATTGTGTGAAGGGGAATCAGCATCCCCTGTAAATAATGGCATCTGTTTGTGACTACTTGGCATTGGTTCACATGCATTTTCATTTATCTCTTTGCTTGATGATTTATGTTCACCTATTTGGTTGCCCAAAAAGCCAGGACCAGAGAGCAACTGCTCACCAATTCCTCTATCGCTATCTCCCTGATTAGTGTCTGTCATCTGGATGCCATCACGGAAAAAGTTTCTGATATTGTCACTTCCACTGTTTCCACTAGCTTTTGGTATATTGGTAGGTATTATTGGGGGTATAACAGTAGGTATAATAGAAGGCTTTGCATACAAATCAGCTGTATTACCATCATCACTGGCCGAGTCAAGGTCATCAAGGTCACAAGACTCATCACTATCAGAGTTAATATCTTCAATATTCTGACAACCTGTGCTATACACTGTGTTAAGTGGTGCGTTGTCAGTGATATGGGGTCCAAGGGAACTAAGTTTTGAGCTTTGGAATGGGGATTGATAGTTCTGTTTGAAAACATCCTTAAGTTGATTCTTCTCAGTGGAGCTGTCATCTATCAATGCATTATTTTCTTTGAATGCAGCGTAAGATGTATGTGGCTTATCATCTGAGTGGGGTTTGTCGTAGGATGGAGAGTCACTAAATGGATGTATTTGTGGGGGTAAACTGTGTTGAGCAAAACCTGGTCGATTTTTCTGTTTCTCTTGCAGTTTTTGCTCAGCCTGTCTCAGCTCCTGTTGTTTTTTCATCAGCAGTTTTTCCTCCTGCAGTTTCTTTTCTTGCAGTTTCTTCTCTTGCTCCTGTTGCAGACTAAGCTCCATGGCAAGACGAATCATTTCCTCCTCCTCATTTTCATTGGTCGGTTCATAGCTACGATATGACTGCGGTCTTGAAGCCCACATGTTTTCTGTAGCATGTCGGGTAGTGTCTTCCTGGACAGTATAAGCATTGTATGTATGCTGGTCAGTATTGGACGGAATATTGCTAGGTCTGAGTGACTCAGACTGTGGTTGATATACATTTGAATAGTGTGCCTGTGTCTTTTGTAGCCGGGGTGGTATATTACTAGGCTGTCTATGTTGTGTATTCTGATACTGCATTGCCTGAACCTTGGTTTGCATAGGTTGATGGTTTGGTTGCGCTGTAAAAAAATGACCAATTGTAAATACTAGTCATAACATATTTTAGTTAGACAGAGAAATATACATTAAGACGTATATAATTCATATTTTTCTGGGTCAAATAAAAGAAAATCCATATACCAGTAGATGTAATGTTCAACCAATGAAAGGTTAGGATACGGCCACATTGACAATAGAACCGTAGCTACAGACTTCTGAATCCTTTATAATCTAAAATTCCCCCAAAAACTAATTTAGAAATGAGAGAGCACTGACACATATATGCAAGTACTAAGTAGTAAGTTGTTAGAATGCAATGCTAAAAATATTTATTCCCCCTAATACCTTTTTTCTTTGGTTTTTTATTTGTTTTTTGGCTTATGTTCTCTAGGCCCTCAAGGTCTGCCAATGTTGCAAATCTTGATCCTGTACCCAACTCAATATCCTTGTTGATTCTAGAAGCATTGGTGTTGTTGACTTTTGGTGCTGAGAGTGTAGGAGCAGCCTTCACCTTGGGTTGCCTCACCTTGGCTGAGGCAGGCTCTACAGATGGAGTATCCTTGACAGTGTTGCCATGGTTACTAGGACTTGAGTCACTCTCACTGTCCTCTGCATCTGAAATAAGAGATTCTCTTTAACTAGCAATGTTAACCAAAATGCAGGGTGATCAACAAGTAATGACACTTGAGCTCCCATTTGTCAAATTTAAAGGAATCTTGGTTATATTTTAAACATCTTTAAAATGTAATTGTTAGTATTATTCTTAACCATTCAATGCAAAGTAATGCAGAATCAATGGTATTTTCATTAGGCTTATTAATATACATCTCCAGATACTAGAATATTACTCCAGGTATATTTTACAATGATATCTCTTACCTTTCTCTTTCTCTTGGTTAATCCTGCTACGTGCCTCAGTTTCCGTTAGTTTAGAGCTACTCACAACAGGTATGTAGACGTTCCTATAACAAAACATTATCTCAGTTATCAATTATTACTCCCCTTTTCAAGAAATTAATTGTGTTCTTTAAATGAGCTCCTACACTCTTATAAGAGCATCTACACTCTTTGAATGAAATCCTTTGAAACAACAAAAACAGAAATACTACATCACATCAGATTGCAGTGACAGCATTTTTCCTCTATAACTGACTGACATTATGATTCATTCTGCACAGCTTAACAATAAAGCTCATATGTATTTTAGCAATAGGTTTATGGTAAGTTATCATAGCTAGTGTAATCATTGACATATGTAACATCCAACTTGAGGAAGTTGTCTTGTGTGGGGATATGTCATGATCATAAATCTATTTTTTAGTTATTTTCTGAACATTTTCAAACAACATTTTCTGAATTTCATATTTCTTCTCATTTTTCTCAAGAATCTTCCAGTTCAAGCTGATTTTTAATGCGAAATAGCTAACAAAGAAGTGAAGGTCTTGTTTTTTTTGATAAAGAAATACAGTATGTCAATACAATGAAACCTTACTTTTTCATGGACCTAAGTTCCTCCTCTTTTCTCCTCTCTTTTTCCTTTCTTTCGTCCTCTTTCCTTTGCTTCTCCTCCTGATCTCTCTTTAGCTGCTCAGTTATCTCTGCTGCCTCCTATAATTTCATTTAATAAAATAATCATTTAACATGTTAGTTACAAACTCAATCAAATATGATACAAAGCTTGATTTGCATTAATATTGAACCAAGAAAAAACTAAATCACAGAGAAAACAGCATTTGAAGTTCAGAGATCTTTCGTAGTGCATGCAATTTTTGACAACTTGCATGTTTTTAAATAACTCTTCGATTTAAAAGGTGGCGACACTTCTATAAAAATGAATGAATCATGTACTACAAACAACTTCGCCACCTTTCACTGACATTGGTAAAAACTTGATGTATAAAAACTTGACAGATCAAAAATATTTTTAATAATTTATTTTACTTTGATGTGACCCGTTTGAGCTCTTTTTGATGTCCAATGAAAGATAAAGTACTTGTCAATCCATTGGAAATACTAAGAAATTCAAAAGCAAATCTTTATTTTGATGTTGAAAATACTCATAGTGAGGCTTTAATTTCAAAACTGCATTTTGGAACACTCGCATGAACTTAATGATCACATTACAAAGGCTAAGCTATTAAATGGTTTAGTCAAATTACAGATTAATGTACCTTCTCTTTCTTCCTCTGCTCTGCTAATCTTTGCTTCTTTGTTAGTGGCTTCTTACCAGCTGGTGCTGCCTGTGGTTGTTGTTTACCAGAAGTTGAGGTGGTTCCCTAGAACAAATGCCCATCAAGATGTTATTAGAAACACTACTAATTACATTTCATAACACAAGACATAAACATGACAAAATCTCAAAACCTGACTTAATTGCAAATGATTACTAAATTGCAATTTCGGGTAATCAAGCACAAATGCTGACCATGCAATATGACAACGATATATCAAACCAATAAGATATTTTAAAAAAACTTTGAATAGGATTAATATAACATCATTTATGTACATGTACTTAAAGTTATGATTTATTCAAACAGATGCTAATAGCATTTGTGTTATGACCCATATATTGTAAAGAAAAACAATTGAAGTACAATTAAAATGTTTCATTTAAAATGCTTACCTTAGAGCTGTCTGTCTGTTTAGAAGAATATCTGGGAGGAGTAGCATTTTCCTTCTCCCTTTCATCTTCTTTCTGTTTCTGTGTGGTGTAAAAGGATGGTGTGTGTTTGGCCTTCTCATCATTGCCAGATCTAGGAACACCAATGTCATCAGTGTAGTTAATGTCATCACGGCTGTTTTGATTCTGATCTGAAAGAGAGAGATCTTTGCAATCAACTATTTCAGCGACATAAAATATGGTATAAAAGGGACAAATTCAACATAAATGTATCTAGTTTACTGGTTGCAAGTATAAGGTTATTTTAGGGTAGAGACGAGTTTCAAAAATACTCAATTGAGTCGGGTTTCGATCCAGGTGGTCCATGACTCTGATCAAGGTTGGGAACAGAGTTATTCATTAAAAAAGATTTGCTCATATTTTTTCATGCACACTTCAAGAATGACTGAAACGAAAAACATTTTTCGTAAATTTATTCAGATTCCTTCATTGCATACATGTATTCTTTCATGTAAAAATGTACAGACAGCATATTATTCAGATAATGTTGAATTCGCAGAAAGAATATATATTCAATGCAAAAGTAGAATGTTTATGTTATCGATCTTTTATTCTACTTGATTTCGTTTTTTATGCTGGTCACAAATATGGTGACAAAAACAATGTGTATAAATTTCTTGGTGGAGACATTTAGATAAATTGTTTTCTACCTGCATTTCTTTTGTTTTGCTTCTTCTGCCTCCTCTTCTCAGCTTTTTTCCTTCGTTTTTCCTCTACTTGGTTGGATTCATCATAGAAACTTGGTGGCTTCTCAAAGTTAGAGAACAAATTGCTACTAGCGCCAGGTCTGGTCCCTCTGTGTCTGTTGAAATTTCCCTCATGCATGAAACGCCGAAATGTGCAGTCAAAACAATCGCAGTCATCATCATCTCTTACCACATAGATACCAAATGGTGTCCGGATAATACGAGCTATAATCATGAATAGAACATGAATCAATAGTAGTCATGAATAAATTTGATGCTCTGAACTTCCATGTTTTCGCGACAGAATGAGCAATTATGAAAGCTGCTGAAATAATTATCATCGGTCAGTTGTGCATATTGAGAACATTGTAATTGTTTCATTTCCAATCCTGACCTCATTGTATTTGTTTGACCATTGTCAATGCCATTGCCATCCCTTCTTTTCTTTACCAAAGCCCAATAAACTTGATACGAGGAGAAACAATCTGTTATGTTCATTCATCAAAGTGATATGATGATATCACAAAATTACAAATGTGGTTTTAAATTCTTAATCCCCTTTGAAACTTTTATTTAGGTACAGTCACGTGACAGTGACAAAATATGCCGTAGTACACTTTTGATGTAATATGTCACTATTAACTTATTTTAAGCAAGGACTATGATGTAGGTTTGATGCAGGTTTTCAAAAATAAATTAGAGGAATACATAAAGGATTTCATGTTTGATTTCGCGTGTATTCGATTTCAAAGACATTTATTTTTCTAATTACCTTAAAAGATCTTCGAGCAGTGCTCGATTTTTTTCGTTGTAAGTCTACCCATACAATTGTTCGGTTGTTTTTTACACATTTCCTTTGATAATTTTCTCCCCTGACATCTCAGAGTGTCGAATATATTTATGAGAATGTGTTTCTCTAAACTACATAGTTTAAGACGGGTGAAGATTTAATAAATATTCATGCATTTGGTATAATTTAAAAAATCAGAAATGTACGTTGTCAACTCACAGTGTATGTTGTCCCTGTAATTGAAATTCATGAGTTATAATATTAAACATTGCAATGATTCAATTTCAAAATGCAAAAGGGTTTTATGCGTAACAAGTGATGTTCAACGAACATGCTCCTGTATCCCTAGTACAGATAAACACGTAAAAGTGATTTTTTCGTTGAATGCTATTTTATTTTATGAAAGTGTTAATATGGTGATTAATATGTGACCATGGCGTGTTATCTTCCGACCTCTTTGATCACTCGGCGTCGGTACGTTACGTTATGTTTAGTTGCACTTTTATGAATTTTAATAATCTTAAGGAGTTCATGGAGAGATCTATATATACTAGCTAATCCAAGATGACTTTCAACATTTATGCTACAGGGTGTCCCGAAAGTATGGGCCCCCTAGGCAGACATATACCAATGTCTCCATAGTATGTGTCATATATCATTTTAAAGCTCATCCAAAGTTACATTAATTTGCCGAGTATCATGGTTCAACTCACAAATGGAAAAAAGTTACAGGAATTTCAAAAGTTAGTGTTTGGTCAAAATTAAAGTCAGTTTTACACCAAAACAATAGTCGGTGTGTATGACACATACTATGGAGAAATTGGTATATGTCTGCCTAGGTGGGGGGGGGCATACTTTGGGACACTCTGTATATCTGGAAAGTGCAGAAGTTCAAAAGCCAGGTTATGGAACACAAAAAAGAAATAGTAACATTGAAATTCAATCATATCAATGACAATTTTATGGATTAACGGAAAAAATATAAGAGTAAATATATCTGATATGCCTATTGTGAATTGAGATCTGTAAGGCCAATGTGACAACATACATTTGAGTTGACAATCCAAAGTAAAAAGCGATTTTGCATTAACTCTGGATGTATATTTGTATACTTATCCTAAGTTGTGTTAGTCATAGTTTGGCTGTTATTTGCATAGCAAAACAAAAATTAGAGAGAATTTTGCGAAATTCAGTCAAGATTTAGAGATCCCTGACGTACTGGGTAGATCTATAACAAGATATTGAAGTTGCTGAGGATCATTTGAGGTAGATATGCATATTTGCAACTTAATTACAAATCGAATGCAACAACTACCCGATGATGAACTGACACAATATTGATCAAATCAATGCTAGTTCTTTCCTCGCTTCCTCATTCTAGAAAATGGCGATCTAAAATGGCGGAAATGACATAGTACATCAAAAGTGTACTACGGTATATTTTGTCCCTGTCACGTGACTGTACCTTGTCGATGGTTAGGCGTGATAGTTAAACTCAATCATACTTACTTCTCAATAAATTCAGCAGATCTCGGAATCGGAACTGAAATGAAAAGGTGACAATACATTTATGATTGAATTGAATTTTTAAATGGGGTACTTTCACCTGAGAATGAATTGATTCATTCTATGCTTTTTCTATTTATATAATATGTCAATGTACATGTGTACATATGACTGGTTGATTGATTGAAGGGCAATATATACTAATATCAATAAAATCTGTTTGTTAAGAAAATAAATTAAACAATGAAACAAAAATGATTATTGATTAACAAACTAAATGATGAGACGGTGTTTAAGATACCTAAACTTACAAAATCATCATCATCGTCATCATTGTCAAAACAGCTGGTGAAGTCAAATCCATCTTCGTCATCAGACACCTCCCCTAGAGGAAAGCAAATATAATCCATGTAGACTATCATGAAGTAACATCTTTGCTGTATTTGACTTTCAAGCTGACAACATAATTATATGAAAATTTAAGAATAAGTCCAATAAGAATTCGCTGTCCATTTTAGACTAGACATTTTAAGTGTTTATTGAAATTCCAATGACTTCAAGGTCAGGGAGAGTTCGAAGGACATTTTGGTTTTCCCTTGCTGCAGCTCCTCTGATGAGGGCAGTAAGAGATCATTTCATCCATTTTAACACAGGGATTTCAAGTTTTGAAGCTTCTTAGGATTTGAAGATTGGCAACAAAAATGTGTTATTAGGCTATAAACTAATCCCCTTTTAACCCTTTAGTACATTACAAACCTTTTCCATCGTTTGCAAGATGGTAACATAACTACTTATAATGAGAGTTTTGAGGGTCCAATCCTTCAATTTATTTTGACATTAGAATTCAACTTGTACTATCTGAGAATGTTCTTTTACATTCTTTAATTTCTACTGGACTATATGGCACTACCTTTACATGTTCTCTATTTATATTTAGGCAAGAATAAAGGATTTCATTTACCTTTCATGAGATACTGGTAAGCCTCACTCAACTTCTGGAACTTCTCTGTAGCTCCATCATCATCTAGATTCTACAATAAATTATTTCATTGTAAAAAATAAATTAATATTTTATATTAGTCTCAAATAACATAACAATGTCTCTGATCTTTTTCCAGTGTTCCTAATCCCTACCATGTGTCCAAGTTTAAAAGGGATACAGGCTACAGTGAAGTTGCAAATGGAGCAGGTTTTCTCTTTCTTTGTATATAGGGCTTTCTGGTAATAATACAAGTGGTAAACTGCTCGATGAATCTACAATCTAATCTGTATATGTAGAACACTTGCCATATTTGTAAAACCTAGTATACCTTCAGAAATATGGAAATTAAACAAACGTCCTTCATTTGCAACTTCACTGTAGCCTGTATTCCTTTTAAAGAAATACAGGCTTCAGTATGGGGGAATGGTATGGTGTAAATTCTTTGTGTAAATTACGTAAATTATGATTCTACATCTCAACTCATACTTTGATTTATAACTTTTTGGAAATATAATTCTTCAGAGTCTCTAAAAGGTAATTTCAGAAAATAATATCTCTCTCCTAAAAACATTTTTCAGAAAAAGTTGTAACATGGTAAACTGGAGGCGTGGAGAGGTCAATAATTGTGTTAAGTTTACCTTATCAGGATGGAGCTGTAATGCCAGTTTTCTGTAAGCCAACTTGATGTCATCTAAAAGTATAAAATATTTGTATATTGAGATCAATAAATAGTATGAGATTAACTTCATTTACATTGTACGTATATACAGCACTCTTTGTTGATTTCTTTTATCAAGAAATATCATGAATTTCACAAAATTCACATTTAACTTTTCATTCACAACCCCAGGAATAAAACATTGTTTTGAATGGAGGAGTACAGCTGAATTTATGATAAAAAATAAAGGCTACATGTACAGCACATGTATTTCTTTCTTAACCAGAAAAATCTTGCCATGTAAGTGACTGCATATCTTGATTGTGTTATCAGGTTTTGATTATCTGGTCAAAATGTAGTTCAATTACAAATTGTCTCAATAGTGATTCAAGCTTCGTTCAAATTTAAATGACACAAGCGGAAAAGTAAAATTTTTTAATTTTCTTATTTATTTATTTATTATCATATTCATGGTTTGTAACATGTTTTCTAATCATTTTCTGGGTGTTACTTAACCAAGCTGATCTATCTTTCAGACACGAGCACTGGCACAGATAGTAAAATTGACCGGAATGAAAATCTACCCACACCCCAACTCTGTGTACCAAGGAGAAAATAGACATATAGACATAAAGTTGATTTCAGAATGTTTGTAAGTGATTTAAATTCAGAAAATAAGAAAAGGATATGATATTAACCACGTATCTACTTAACAGTATGTTTTATGTCCACCTTTGACTGAGATTACATTGTGAAATCAGCCAAACATGACTGTGAGGGTCGTATTCTCAGGAAGAATTGAATTGAATTGAATAGTTCATTCAGAGAAATCATGCCTCATTTCAATCATTGCATACATTATAATGGCGATTTTTAAATTCCTGGGGACCTAAATAGTCATGTATAGTCACGTGGCTTTTCCAAAAAAGAGGTTACGAGAAAATATCAAGATCTTTGTTTCTACTTATTTCTGGCAGTTGATTTACACAATTGCTTAATTTCTTTAGATATCTTTTATTTGGAAATGTATATTTCATAAACATTCTTATGAGTATTATATATGATACACACAAAAATGATTATTTTTTAAAATAGGTCACATTTTGTCCCAATTTAAAATCAACATGAGGTGTGAGTACCATAATTCAACATAAATTTAGAAAATTCCGAACAATGCTTTTCACATAATAGCACACGTGACAAACTATGTAATGCTTGAGGACTTAGAACATATTATTATAAACCAAATATATCCTGATTGGTCAATGCCTAGTCACGTGTTCCGAAATAGATTTACTATTTCCCTTCGAAAGTTATATTCCCTCAAATGTACATTTGAGGGAATATACATTTGAACTATTGCCCGCTCATTGCAACTTCTATTACCCTTGGAAACGTCTGCTCATCATCACTGCGCAGATGAAAACACAAAAATGGAGGATGAGCACAAACACAAATCAACTCCGTTCACCATGACAGACATGGGTGAATGATACAATATAACCACTTGGATAATCCAAAAATGACCAGCCAAAAATATGACGCACGTACTGACCTTTATCTTTTCCATCTCTCAAACATTGAGTGATCAATTTTTACCCTGTAATCTCTTCTTTATGTATTAGTTTGAATGGTTGCATGATATCAATTATTGACGCTGTAAATCGAATTTTCCCGGGACATTTCTTTCAAATTTTCAGAGCGTAAAGATAATGGAGTACTTCGGTAATTTCCGGCAGTGTCCAATGTTGTTTGTCTCTTGAATTACGTCACATCACAACAAACAGCCAATAAAAGTAAAGGATCGCGTAGCCTAACAAAGCGTTGTATTGTTTCTACAGGAGTTTAAAGAAACGTCATGGGATTTCTCGGTAATCTCTGATGTGACGTCATCGGGAGTGACATCACATTCTCAGAAAAGGCATTTGACTTCGGGAATAAACATTTGAACAACGGAAATAGCCGAAGCACTCCATTTAATATCGCTCGCTTGTTTTATGCTTTTATCAACAGACGCTTTCTTGAATGTGTGGTTTTAGTGATTGGAGATGAAGCTAACAACAGTACGCATCGTTTGAGGTATGACATGTGATATTTAATGATAAACTGACTCCAAAATCAAGGAAATATATAAATTTTCCGAAGACTTTTTGTCTGTCCTTGAGTATATAAATTGAGCCTAGACACTACCAAGAAGAGGTAATCTGGCAGAGGTCCGTGGTTATGATAATCTTTTTTGCTTGTTAAATGTGATTGAATTTGTCAAGTGAGAGTCTCAGAAATTTATTAGAAAAAAGCCTGTGGCTTCAGGAATAGTATATTTTAGAGGATATTCCCTCGGTAAATAATTTACGCTACTGCCCTCAATGGCAGTCACTATTTGTATACTAAGTCAGTAGATAGGTGGTTAATATCATATCATTTTATTATCTTCCTAATTCAAATCACTTGCAAACATTTTGAAATCAACAAAAAAAATATCCAATTATCATCAAAAAGAAACGTGATAGTTCAGCTAACTCAGGGTTAGTTTACTTGTCTACGAATAATTTAGTCATGTATGGTATCAGAAATTGTTGCAACAAGACCCAACTGTTTTATTACCTATCCATGCAAACTCCCGTGCAGTGATATATCACTGCGGCGGGCAGGTATTTTACCGTAAGCATGGTAGCTTCGTAATAAACAACTGACATGATTGGTTCTAGTCCCATGCTCAGGTCGCATGATTGTAAAATTTAGACAATTTCATTGGTTAACTAATAAACGACACGTGCGGTAAACCATCATCAAAACAACTTTTACTCAGAATTCCTTCCACGGTGATGTCTTCTCATATTTCTAGTTGAAATATTTTGACAAAATAATTTGGGGAACATTCATTCTATTTTATAAGTTGTTTCTTCTTCTTGATCCTTTTAAGTGTCCGTGTGACACTATTGGCACTATAATGCTGCCTTTGGACACTGGTTACTCAGTTATTCACTTCGGTACTATTATCACTTATACTTTTCACTTATACTTTGCTAAGTTGGAGAGAGAGCGCTAAGAATATATTATTTCAATATTATGACGGTAGTAGAAATATAGTTAATCCTGTATTAAGTTGTAAAAGAGTCACTATCTCATGAGTTTGGTATAGAGTCACTGTCTCTTTCTTATTTTGTTTGCTTAGAATCTTTTTGTATTTTGCAGATAGCGATGCAGCGCTTCTGTGATTGTTCTGTTGGTGGGCCCGTTGATGTTTGTGTTTAGGCCTAGTATGAGTTGTAAGTCTATGATTTGCGGGTGTTGTTCTCCTAGTAGGATACGAACTCCAATGCAGTGTCTCGGTATAGACACTGCGGCGGGCAGATTATGGAATCCCCAAAATTTGGGGAAGATAGTCCCCCTTTTTGTCACAGATGTACTTGATTTTCATACAACTTATAAAATATATGTTCTTTTATGTTCACCAATCATTATTTTGTCAAAATATTTCAAAATTATTGAAATATGAGAAGAAATCACCGCGGAATGAATTCTGAGTAAAAGTTTTGTTGATAATAGTTTACCGCACGTGTTGTTTATTAGTTAATACGCGCAATTCAACCAATGAAATTGTCTAAATTTTACAATCACGCGACCTGAGCATGGGACTAGAACCAATCACGTCAGTTGTTTATCACGAAGTTACCATGCTTACGGTGAGATATCTGCCCGCCGCAGTGATATTATCACTGCACGGGAGTTCGAGTAGGATAGTGTCGATGCGAGCAAGTAGTTCCTCCCTTTTGTGTGAAAATTGGCCACATATAATGATGAAAAAGGAAGCTATTTTCACCAAATATTGGAGATTTTCTTCATCTGCCCGCCGCAGTGTCTATACCGAGACACTGCATGGGAGTTCGCCATCCATGGTAAACGTAAAATAATAATACCCCGGGAATGAATGAATCAATATAAAAAAATGCTCACTTCTGGGAATCCCAAAAACGATCGATTCAAATTTAATTCGCTTTATTAAGAAAATAGTCGCAAAAGTTCGATGAATGGTATCATATTGAAGAAAAAAATATTCTTCACTAAACAATACCTTCACTTGCGTCGTCATTGATACCCAATAGCTCCAAATATTCAGTTCTTTTGGAGCGATTCCTTGCCGCCATCACTTCTCAAGTTGCGGAAGTATATATTACACTGCACGAAAAGTGCTACAGCAAATTAGCAAACATTATTATTACATGCATGGACCAACTTTGTTCGCTTTTTCCAGTGGTAAATTACCAAATGAGCAAATGATTAATGCAATATATAATATACCAATATAAGAATTAAGTAGGACCAAAATTTGATTGGACCACCGACCCTTTTACACAGGTGTAAAAGAAATTATGGTCCTCTGGGGATTATGGTCCCCTTTCTTAAAGCCCCTTACTGGCCCTGATTGTGGATACGATAATAAGGGAAAGAATTGTATTTGGGTCACCATATAAATCAATGGAAAGTAGGACCATACTTTGAAAGGACCTCCTGCCCTTTTACACCAGTCTTCATTTTAGGATTGTTTCGTTCAACTGATCACTCGATGAGGATTTTCAAGCTTTAATATATTTTCAGAAGTTAACATGGTTAAGAGGTTCATATCCAATACTGTTATGGACTGTACTGGCGGATCTGGGGGGGGGGGGGCAGGGCCCTCCCCCCCTTTGGTGGGCCCAGAAAAAAATGGGCCCAAAAATTTTTTGAGCCGAAAAAGGCCTTAAGGCCCTAAAAAGTGGGCCTTTTTGGTCATAAATGGGGCCTACTAAGGCCTTATTTTTTATCTTGGGCCAAATTTTGAAGAAAATGGGCCTAAAAATTTCAAAATTTGGGCCCACTTTTTGGTTTTAGGGGCCCAAATTTTTTTCTCAGACCAGAAATTCGGCCCCCCCCCCTGTTGGTTCCCAGATCCGCCCCTGGGACTGCATATTAGAAGGCCTATTTATCCCGCTATTTATATAGCTCAGAGCTATTTGGATCTTATATCGTTGAAAGACCTCTTGGCAAAATTCAACATTTTCTGAAGTAATCAAAGTAATTAAAACTAAAAATTGGATGATTTTGGATAAGCAATGTGTGAGAAGTGGAGGTGAATCTTATCCGGGCCACTGATACAGTCATGTACTCTGCTTTATTTGATACACATATCTACACTCCAGTTTGCAGTTTGTTTACAAAGTGATAAATTATACAGTACATATCTACCTCTTGAAGCCCTGTTATAAATAACTTTTAAGCAGTATTTGCCATCATTCTCAGAGACACTAGTTGGCTCGTCAATGCGGAAACAAATTTGAACAAACAATACAATGCAAGATATATACACGATGTAGACAAAATACTAGTACTCCCAAAGTTCATTAACTTTTTTCTATACGATGCCATATTTCGATCTGGATACAAATCAATCTGAAAACACGCAGAAAATGACACAGAGGAGGCATATAATCATAGGCGTTGCAGTGACTGCTTTAGTGGTTGTCCTGGGTGTGATTACTGGAGTACTCATCTGGCATTTTACCAAACGTAAGTGATATAACTTTCATCGACGTCCAGAGAGAAAATTTTTGACTTCTCGACTACCTACTGTAGTCTTTCATTAAGACTTACGATGTCCTGGAGAATACTGAACAGAATTAACCAGTCATAATATTAAGCTTACTAAGTATGAAATGGTCTCTTAATACGTTTTTTCAGAGTAGTAAAAAGTATTCAACTAGGCTACTCTGTGTAATTCAGTGACTAAATATAAATATATAGACATGAACATGTAACATATCCAACTGCTAAAAGCTGATTTTATAGTACAGTTTCCACTAATCTCACTAAATCTCATTTTCGTGAGATTTTAAGATATTTGCAAATAAGACCTCTGGTGACTTACTTTGCCTTCTTTTAAACGGCATATTTGAATTCTAATCAGTGGATTGTTTTCTACAAGAATAATTTTGATTATACAGTTATGTTATTTAAATCATTTTCCATGACTTTTTAAAAAACTTGGGCCAAATCTCCATTAGTGCAATATTTAAATTCTTTAAAACCCCTGGTTTATTAGTTTAACAACCCAAATCTTGATGATAAATTACAATAAGTATGCTAAAGGTTCATCACATGCTATTAATTCACTTGATATATTGTTTTGTTTTTTCCTCACTGCCCTCGCCATCCCTCCCACCCCTCCTCTTGTGTATTCTCTTTTTTGTCCTCTTTTATTACTGGACATAACATATCGCTCAGTTTATCAGACTCTTATATTGTAATAATCAAACACAGTTTTGATTCTTTTGACTCGATTGATATTTATTTCTGACATGGCCTGCTGTTTACAGCTTCCATATATCACTGAACCCCTCGATCATTATCATGTTTGTATTCGATTTGTTGGGAATATACACTTTTTAAGTGTCAGCCACTCATGCATTGTATATTTATGTGAATTCAAAAAAGAAATAAACATAAACATATATCAATCAAGTTTTAAACAGATTCAACGAACACTTTTTGATAAATCTTGAAATAAAGTCACTTTTCGAAGATCTTTATATGGAAGTCCGGGCTGGGTACAATGTTCACAAAACATAGGCCGGGAACAGGATATGCATGAGGAAAATCATCTATAATTAGAATTCGTGTGTCCATTCTATTCTTTTTTCTATTCTATTTCTTGCAACTAGAAATTAACTATATTATGCATCATTAATACCCTTTTTGCAAAAAGGCTACTTGTTTACCAGTTGAGATCCAGTGGAGCTCTAATGCAAATATAGTTCAACCTTTATGTGTAAACAAAATGAACTCGTGGCATGTTGTATATTTGAATAAATATGTATATGTAAAAAAATAAATGTATTTCAAAATACAAAACAAAGTAAAAGTTATAAAACACAACAGCAGACTGAACGAAACGAAACTTCCCGCTGAAATCACCGGGTATTGATTTTTCCCTTGGCTTAACGTCAAAAACCATTATGCTACACGTTAAATTTTGTGCGAAATCGTAAATCTTATTGAATAAAATGTTTTACTGTAATGTAATCATGGTAATGTATTGTATTTTGTTTACCAACAAAATATCCTGGTAAATGAAACCGCAATGAGCTGATGAGTGTTCAGCTCCTTTTGGTCGCTCAAGGTGGGAATGAGGTTCATTGTGTGTAGTTCCTATTGGTCACTCTATGATGTCACTGTCTTTTTCTCCTATTGGACACTATAGATGACATAAAAGTATATGCATAAGAAGCCCATTGGATTCAGCTCACAATGGTCACTCGATTTGTGTATGAGGTCCACAGCAGTTTAGCTATAATTGGTAACTCAATGTGTGTATGAGGTCCACAGCATTTAGCTATAATTGGTAACTCAATGTGTGTATGAGGTCCACGGCATTAGCTATAATTGGTAACTCAATGTGTGTATGAGGTCCACGGCATTTACCTATAATTGGTAACTCAATGTGTGTATGAGGTCCACAGCATTTACCTATACTTGGTAACTCAATGTGTGTATGAGGTCCATACATGTAGTATCTAGCTCCTCTTGGTCAATTTAGGCCGGTGTATGAGGTAATATAATATTCTGTTCAGCTCCTGGTCACTCTATGTTGCCAACTCCCGATTTAAATCGGGAGATTCCTGTTTTTTAACCCATCTCCTGCGCAATTTTGCCATCTCCCGATTTTCTAATTTTGTAATTTTTCATCATCTCCCGATTTTTTCTCCCGATTTCCCCCGATTTCTACAAAAAACTTCGCATGTTTTAGGTAAAAATCCCCCGATTTTGTCTGTGTCCTCCCTTTTTTCCTCCTACCTCCCGATTTTTAACTTGAATCCGAGTACTCATCGATCGTCTCCAGTATCTTACATATAAGTCAATTAACTCCAGCGACATCTAATCATGAAAAACAAAGTCAATCTAATATACAGGGCGTATCAAAAAAACGCAACAAGTAGTTATCTCGTAAAATTCCAAAACTAGTGATGACTACATGAATTTCATTTGATGTACCATAAAGCCACACCTCTCCTCTTTGCAATGATATGTCATTCATTCACATGTGGTAATGGTTTGGTGAGAAATCCTTCCATGGCTGAACCATGCATGACGTGGACAGATGAGCACATCTTTATGTGCAAGGAAGTGGTGGCAATTTGGAGGGGTATAGGATGTATTCTTGCAAGAGTATGAGTATGAACACTTAACTGTCTATGTCACACCTGTCACACCTTCTTCTAATGCCTTCTATGCCACTTGTACTGACTTTTGCAATGTTTAAAACTTGGGTCCGAGCTGAATTTTGCCCCACTTTGTAAAATTAATGATTATTCGGCCGGCCATGACTCTCTGTGGATGAATGATATTCCATTGCAAAGAGGAGTAATTTGGCTTTTTGGTACATTGAACGAAAAGGATGCAGTCAGCGTTGGTTTTATGTTTTCTTCCAATTTTGCATCGGGCTCCGTACACTGACTTTTGCGATGTTTATAACTTGGTCAAAAGCTAATTTTGGCCTACTTGGCAAATAGAATGATTACTCGCCCAACTATGACCAAATATCAATGAATGATATATCATTGTAAAGAGGAGACACATGGCTTTATGGTGTATTGAATGAAATCAATGCTGTTATCACTGGTTTTGTGCTTTTCCGAGATAACAATTTGTTGCGTTTCTTTTGATACGCACTGTAAATGTCCAATCAACAACAAGGAAATTAGCGCACGCGCAACAATTTTAATCAGTAAGAGCGAATCCATCCTTTATTACGATCCTAGCGCATGCGTATTACGTAGATAATCTCCTGAGTGGAGGCCAAGGAGGATTGGCTCCCAGAATCGAAGTCGATATTTTCCAACAATGAAAACGCCGAGATGTCGTTATTTTCTGAAATTATAACCGATTATAAATTCAAAATAAACAGTTCAAAAGATTCGAACCAATATCTCGATCATTTCCTGTGAGTTTTGGAATTTTTCGTTAGGAAATAAGACCAAAATACACGATTCAAATGTTGAAGTGAACAAAATGGCGGCTGTTGGAATTCAAATTTTGTAGCACGACATGCCCATATATGGGACAGAATATCGATGTTGCACTCTGGGAGCCAATCCTCCTTGAGTGGAGGCGATAAGAATCTGCGCAAGTATGTCCGTGAAATGGGGTAAGAATAATTTTGTCTATTTATGCACGATTGCGTAAGCCTACCAAGATTAAGCATGTATATACATTAAGAGAAATCATGTTAAATAAGTTTGAATGATTCTAAGTTACCATTGAAGTTTGTCAAAGATTGAGATTTATCAGTCACATTTACGGTAAGCTTTTTGGTTTTTCCATCCTGGACCAAGGAGGATTGGCTCCCAGGATGCAACATCGATACCGATACTCCCTATGTCGTGACTACAAAAGGCCATCAACAGGCACAAATCAACGTTTTTGCTATAAATCAAGCAACAATGGTCTGGACGACCTGTAATAAATACTTGTAAGTGATGTTATCATAACTAAATTAATGTCATTGCTGAATTTATAAAATAAGTTTCCATATGTGAAATAAAAAATAATCGAAAATAATGAATTTGGGACGGAGGGGGGAGGGGACGGAGGGGGGGGGGAGCAATATGTATATAAGACATGATTAGAGATGTTTCGCGACTTTAAGTCCTTTTACTCCAAATGTCCCCATTTTTCAGTCTCCAGGGGTATATCATCCAGTTTCTTACTAAGTTAATGAGTTCATTTTTCAAATACAAGAATTCGTGTGAAGTTGTTTCACTTTATAGAATTATTACTCCCCCCCCCCTCCGTCCCCTCCCCCCCCCCCCTCCGTCCCATTTTAATTATTTTCTATTATTTTGTATTTTACATATGGAAACTTATTTTATAAATTCAGCAATGACATTAATTTAGTTATGATAACATCACTTACAAGTATTTATTACAGGTCGTCCAGACCATTGTTGCTTGATTTATAGCAAAAACGTTGATTTGTGCCTGTTGATGGCCTTGCGCCTTTTTTAATAGATCTCATACCTTAGATGCGTATCGTTTCAGAAAAAATCCCAGAAAACCTAACATATTCTACCATACCGTGCGCCTATCCATTTAGCAATTCAATAGTAAACTTTTTCTTGAAAAAATAAATCTTCCAGATTTGTTGAATTTCCTAGCAGAAATTGCCTGCTCCCCCCCCCCCCCCTCCGTCCCATATTCACGATCACCGGGCGTGCCTTTAAGTTACTGTGGTTCTATGTGGTTATGGCGATTTTTTTGCCAAAAGGGTCATCTCAATACAGATTTACATTATAGACGTAAGCCATCTTTGAACCCTGGGGTTTCTCCCCCTCTTAATCAGGACGATAGGTTATCTCAATACAGATTTACATTATAGACGTAGGTTATCTTTGAACCCTGCCCCCCCCCCTTGATCTAACTAGGGACGAGTTACAACATTAGGAAGAGTAACATTCGCTATCTGAGCGTAATAAAAAAAACTAAATTTTAGCTTGATCTTTTCCGCTAAGGCACAAACCACCCTATGCAGAGGCGTTGCTTTGCAGAAAACACCCGGTATGGGTGGGTGTATCAGGTGCGCGCGGTGTAAAAACATTTTTTAAAATTGATTCGTACTATTTATATACTAAGAGGAGTTGGGCCCTCGATTGAATGCAAAAGATGATGTCCCTTTGTAGAAGGTTCCTAATCAAAAGGAAGGTGTGTGAAACTAGAAATCGTCAACTCCAATTTATAGTCATAACGACATTTTCGATTTATCAGGGTCAAGGTCGAATACTGATTATCGACCCATACACGATCACTGTGAGTCAGACCGAAAAACATGGAATATGTGAAATAGCTAGGTACATGTTTATGTTGTTTATATAATAAGAAAATTCGAGTTATTTGAGTTATCAACGATTACGTTTTTCACAAAAATGGCGGCCATTTTGAAATTCAGCAGTCATCTTGAAAATTTCTTCTCAAGCGGAGCACCCTTGTCCCTAGACATCAGCATGTAAAATTTGAAACAAATCACGTCCACTGGTATTTGAGTTATCAAAGATAACGTTTTACGAAAATGGCAGCCATTTTGAAATTCGATAGCCATAGATAGATACAAAAAATGATGGCGGCCGTATTGAATTGAGTGGTCATATTGAAATGAAAATTCCTTCTCGAGCAGAGGTCCTACACCCATAAGGCTTAAGCCTATGAAAGTTGAATCGAATCCGGCAACAGGTTTTTGATTTATAGCCCGGGCTCATCAATGGACGGATGAACGGACGGACGGCTTCTCTTTATCTCCATCGAACTTCGTTCGGTAGGATAATTAGGTTTAATCGGTCACCAGGCCCCGACATAGAAATCAAACATGAATATTTCCTACTGAATCTCATCAAATTCCATTTTGCTATATTAAACAAAAGGTCCCAAAAGGTTGACCGCTTTACAACACTACTTTTTTGAATTATTGGGTATACTTTTTGCTTTTCAATAGACTAGGGGTTCTAAAAAGGCGCAGTTTCACCAGCGTACGTTCCTAATCGTCAGAATTGACAATTTATCCAATTCGCAAGACTGCGTTTAGGGGATTCGTTCATATGTGAGGGGGGCTTCAAGTCTTCCTGACACATTACATGAACGAATCCACCCAACGCGGCCTAGCAAATGGGGTAAATTGTCAATTATTTCGATTGGGAACGTAAACATGCGAACCGAAGCGCAACTTTGCACATGCTACCGAAGCCGTCCGAAACGTTCCGAAATGATACTTCAAAGTACCTATACAGAATAAACGGGAACGAATTTTACTCAAATCCTAATACACGAACGTTTTGGGTGGTTTGAGAAATACTGATTATCGACCCATACACGATCACTGTGAGTCAGACCGAAAAACATGGAATATGTGAAATAGCTAGGTACATGTTTATGTTGTTTATATAATAAGAAAATTCGAGTTATTTGAGTTATCAACGATTACGTTTTTCACAAAAATGGCGGCCATTTTGAAATTCAGCAGTCATCTTGAAAATTTCTTCTCAAGCGGAGCACCCTTGTCCCTAGACATCAGCATGTAAAATTTGAAACAAATCACGTCCACTGGTATTTGAGTTATCAAAGATAACGTTTTACGAAAATGGCAGCCATTTTGAAATTCGATAGCCATAGATAGATACAAAAAATGATGGCGGCCGTATTGAATTGAGTGGTCATATTGAAATGAAATTCCTTCTCGAGCAGAGGTCCTACACCCATAAGGCTTAAGCCTATGAAAGTTGAATCGAATCCGGCAACAGGTTTTTGATTTATAGCCCGGGCTCATCAATGGACGGATGAACGGACGGACGGCTTCTCTTTATCTCCATCGAACTTCGTTCGGTAGGATAATTAGGTTTAATCGGTCACCAGGCCCCGACATAGAAATCAAACATGAATATTTCCTACTGAATCTCATCAAATTCCATTTTGCTATATTAAACAAAAGGTCCCAAAAGGTTGACCGCTTTACAACACTACTTTTTTGAATTATTGGGTATACTTTTTGCTTTTCAATAGACTAGGGGTTCTAAAAAGGCGCAGTTTCACCAGCGTACGTTCCTAATCGTCAGAATTGACAATTTATCCAATTCGCAAGACTGCGTTTAGGGGATTCGTTCATATGTGAGGGGGGCTTCAAGTCTTCCTGACACATTACATGAACGAATCCACCCAACGCGGCCCAGCAAATGGGGTAAATTGTCAATTATTTCGATTGGGAACGTAAACATGCGAACCGAAGCGCAACTTTGCACATGCTACCGAAGCCGTCCGAAACGTTCCGAAATGATACTTCAAAGTACCTATACAGAATAAACGGGAACGAATTTTACTCAAATCCTAATACACGAACGTTTTGGGTGGTTTGAGAAATGAAAAGCTGACAACTTTTTTTCAAAATTATTTTTAAAAAATCTCTAAAATAACTAAAGTCATGAGATAGTAAATTAGTGATAAAAACATATTTTCAAACTTTACATGAGGACTTTAAGAGCAGTGGAAGCGTTCTACGATCTGTAATAAAAACTCATAAGTGACGTGAGTTTTTTAACATTTTTTTCATTTCAAGTAAACAATGATACAATATTTACTAGAAAATGCAAAAAAGCACGCATGACTCAATGAATCTTTTAACATACGATAAGTGACATACTAATAAGTACTGATTGTACAATTTGACTTCGTGATGTGAGATATATTAAGTTTGTCATTGCCATATGTTCCCCCGTTTATCGCCTATGAGCATTGTTCAGGAGTACCAAGCTGTTATATTAATAGAGACAATCAATTAAACAAACATTATATCATCGGTTAAGTGTAAAAATAGTCCTTAAATAGGCTAAAGAATGGCTAAATATATTGATGCAAAAGTAATATTATACATTGACAGGGGTTGACCCATAGCAATTGCAATTTTAAATCGAGGTTTGGAATATACAGTTTGAAATCTGTTGTTCCAATATTAAATTGTTAATATGTAATATTGAGTGAGTGCTGGAATGAATATTCGCAATGATGTATGTAACAATATGTCACCAAAGGTCAGATGTTGAAGACAGCAGGTAAGTTATCCAGCCTCGCCTATAATATGTCACATACAATCAATCGTCCAGCTCGTTGTGTCACTCTTCATAGAGAGTCAGGTTTGGTACTGAGTTCTGCAGAATGAATTCTAAGGAGAACGTGTCGATTGTTATAGCAGCAATAATCACCATCGCATGCGCTGGTACAATAGATCATGTTGTATGGGGGGCTTCAGCGGATGGACAAACAGGTCGAATGGCAAGTAAAATATTCGTAGAGCAGGATCCTTATACTGAAGAAACGGTCTTTGATGTCTACGAAAACGGAGTAAATGGATTTGATTACCCAGATGACTTGTCTATTGAAAGTGAAGAAATGATTGACGCAGGTGGCTATCCAATGGAATTAAGTGAGGAAATCGAAGGAGAGCACTACGAAGTTGAAAAGCCTGATCAAGTTGAAGAAAGAAAAACTGTAGAAAACGTTAATCCTGTGTGTCCAGGGTATTTTCGAGATTTAAATGACTGCAGGAGTTACTTTATATGTGACCATTTTGGGAAAAGTGTAAGAATGAACTGTCCCGGTGGCTTGTGGTGGTCCCCCATAATCTTAACATGTGTTTCTCCTGAGAATGAAGTCTTTTCCAATGACAGTTACGCCAAATGCGTGGTCCCTGAAATCACTGAATCAGCAGATCCAGTGGCAGACTCTCCACCTACACACCCAAATGAACCAACTGTAGCTTCCAGTCAAAATTCCTATGAAGACGGATACGGTAAGGATGGTGATAAACGAACCACAGTTTTAGTGATCAACTGAATCAATGGCACAAAGAGAAATGTCATAGTAAGACCCTAACCGTGCATTTTGGTTTCTATTTTTCAGCGAAAGGTTACGTTTACGCTACATGTACCGTTCGACCAAATGAAGTACCTCCCGCAGGCGAAACACAGCTCATCAAGGGTACTGTAGACTTCAGACAGATGGCCGCTGGTGGCAAAACTGAAATAAAAGTCAGTCTACAAGGATTTGATACAACTGATGCTAATATATACCATGGCTTCCATGTTCATGGTACTGGAGATCTGAGCAATGGATGCCAATCTACAGGAGGTCACTACAATCCGTTTAGTAAAACCCACGGTGCACCTTCAGATTCTGAACGGTATGTATACTAACATGAAGATCTTGTATAATAATCCATTGATTTTCTTCACGAATAAGACCCGGAACAGCATTTGGATATACACTAATGCCTTAGTCGCATTTGATCCACGACAACCGTATGGGGGCCGTAGTTTCCCAACATTTTCAATATCGATTTTGTGAAGCTACAGCCGCCGTACGGCCTCTGTAGGACCTTCGTAGAGCAAATGTGACTAATTGCTTAATCATATGTGATGCCCTTTTAAATTTGCCACTTTTTTCAGTATCTCGCGAAGAACATCTAATTTATGACAAATAATTTGTCCATTCAAAAGTAATGCTGTTCTTGGTAAAATAAAAAACACCCATACACATTACAACGGAGACATGCGAGAAGAGTCGGAGTAATATTAGGAATTTTAGTACTAACCATTATTTATAAGGCATTCACACATAGCTAGGCAAGGTTTGTCCGATTCCATCCAATCAGAACAGAGTATTCACATAATGAACAGTGTATGAAATATCAATAACACATGCAAGGTCACTAGTTAAACAGTTGTCATGGCGATGAATGGACTTTTCACATTGGATTTGATGACTTGCCAACTTGACCCTTGCAAAAGATTTAGTGATTTCGTTCCTTTTGGATGATTCTGTAGAACATGTGTGAAAAGAATTTAAGCCCAAGACTCAATGCATTGTAGCTGCTTCATTCCACTAAGGCCTTGTTTCCTAAACTGCGCGGTCATGCAAAGGTTTGGAAACAATGCCTTCATGGTATGTCAGCAAGCAATGCACTGAGTTCAGGGCTTATGTATGTCTGTATGTATGTATCTTTATTACGAACACAATCACTGAACACAATTGCTACACTCCCCTCCATAAGTTTAGAAGGAGTGCTCTGCATTGAGAGCATATCAAAGTCTATCAAACATAAACATGCTTTAATAAGTGATGACTCCCGGATGGCGAACTTATGGAGGGTAGTATACTTCTCTATTATTTAAGGATGCATACTACGAGCCAACCGCGGCTGCTTCTGCGTGTTTGGAAAAGCGGGTGTACGTTCCCGTTTAGCCAAATTCTGCAGTAATCATCACATTTTCTAATTGCAGACATGTCGGTGATTTGGGAAACATAATGGAAGATAACGTTGGACTCGTACAGACTACTATTACTGACAGCCAGGTTTCCATTGTCGGTACTTACTCAATATACGGAAGAGCCATTGTAGTAAGTTACGTTGGATACAGATAATAGGGAGTTTAAGATACTCGTTTTTTAAAACTTGTACGTGAACGTGTAGAATTATGGTCCTCTGTGGATTAGTTCTCTCCCAATTGAACTGTTTGCTTGGCCGATTCTCTTAAAACTCCCTATCGTTGATATCCAAATGCACTTAACAAGAGCAGAGTAATAGTGCAAGGGCAATAGTGAAACTTAAAGGTAGAGAGGTGTCATGGATAAAGAAGTACATATCATTATTGATTATTCTTTGTTGCATTTTTTGGAACAATGATAAAATATTGAGAACCTTTACTGAATATTTCTAAAACCACCAGTCTTGGCATTCAGCCAAGACTGGTGGTTGACTCATCTATTTGGGTGCTAAGCTTGTATTCGCGAATGCAACTCTCGGTTGTCGGCTACCGGATTAAACTACTATGACTAACTCATTTAAACATGAATGGAATGGTGGCAGGTTCTATTTATATATGAGTGAGTTGCCCATAAAAATTAGGTTAATCCGGTAGCCGGCAGTCGAAAAGATGCACTCGCAAATACAAGCAAGTTAACCAATCAAGTTTCTAGGTAAGCTACATGGAAGTCAGCTTAAAACGATTTTCCTAGAATAATCAATGGTTGACTCAAATATATACAAATGTATGTACGAATGAAGTTTCCACCTATTACCGTAAATTTTAGGTTCATCAGAAAAGAGATGATTTAGGACGTGGAGGCGATGCTGGAAGTAAAGCAACTGGGAATGCTGGGGGACGACTGGCGTGCTGTATTATTGGACAAACGGATAGTAGTTCCGCATGGGAATGATTCATTGACTAAATGTATTTAAGAATGATTTCTATGAACGCAAATATGGTATCATAAAATCCTCAACAACATTTACTTAGTCAGCTATTATACAAGTTATCTTTCACAATATGCGAAGTACATGCTAGTTTTTCTATTTTAATCACTGGCAGTAAGTGTCAGAATTAATCCAGTCCGTGTTTTAATTAGGCATGGTGTCCACGAATGACTTGTAATTATTAAAAAACGTAAACGTATATACGTAACACGTAATGCATCGAGAGGATGTCTTTTTCATACAGGTCATACGCTATTTGTACAGTAGTTTAAGTTTTACTTACGTGACTGTTATACGTTGTTGTACATGATATTTATTCTGAAATGTTACTGTAAATAATGCAAATAAAATATGTTGAGGCAATCGTAAATAAAATATAAAAGCCATGTAGTGTTGTGATGTTTATCTCGGTTGACCAAGGGTTGGAAACGTGTCTAGTATTTTCGTTCGAAAAACAGGTAGGTTTTTACTTGGTAGTCCCTGAACGTTTCGTTGTTTCAACACAAATATCAGAGCTTGCCAATGGTAAAGCGATGGATGTTGACCAGATTCCTAATGATCAGTTTCTTAAAAAGGGGAAAACTATCATTGCCCAACCACTTTCGGATCTTTTTTTTGAAAAATTACTAAAAAATAGAAAATAAAACTACATACAACTACCTAGTTTTGAATAAAGATGGCGATTCTAATATATTTCCTGTGTATTCTACGAAAATACTTTAAAAATACGCGTTTCCATCCCCTGTTGATAAGAATCGACAAATATTTTACAGTCTTATTTTTTAGATGTTTGGCAAATACAAAAAAGCAAATCAAAAAATAAATGTTATCATGATGCCCTCGCACAACTTTATATGCATTGCTAAATATGAAATGAAATTGTGCTTTTCAAATGTGCTTTGAAGAGTCAGTTCTCTTCCTGTGGCATAACTTTTACTTTCTCAGTTATTTGAGAAATCATTGAGTAAATGTGTCCTCTTTCAGAATCAGTATACATTGATAACGTATCTATCAATATAAATTGAGCCAAATACCCACAGTTTCCATTACCATAGGTATATCAAAAGAAGGTGAAATCATGAGCTAGGGGATATTTAGCGTTTTTACTTCAATCAAAAAAAGATAAGGAAAGTCCACATAGAATTACGCAATTGGGCATTTATGGTAGTGAGTTGCATGCAGCTGTTAGTGGAATTGTATCAAAAGTAATCACTCTAAGAGTGAGGGAATATTAATGGTCGCCTGACAGACAATTTAATAATCATAAAGATCTAATTTCTCTAGGTAAATAAATTAATATTTTAGAGAAAACCTTGCTTCAGTACCATCACCCGATTCATATCCCATGTTAAATGTCGCAAAAATGTACTGAGACGAACATGCAATAATCGTGGTGACATGTTTGACGATGGTAAACGTGATTGCATAGGTGACGATGGTAAACCTGGTCACATAGGTGAAAATGGTAAACGTGGTGACATTGGTGACGATGGTAAGCTCTTTGGGATTTCCATCCAGCTTTTTTGGCCAAATGTAACGACTTTCAGTTAGGCCTATATCCGAGTCAGCATCAATAGTTTGTACATAGGACTATGATTCCTGTGTTAGCAAGTCAAGTTTTGAGTTTACTCGACAATCAATCTCAATTACTATAATAAATAGTACAAATACCTCTAAACCATTAATCGTTCCTCACTTCAATTGAACAGAACTAAAACAAACAAAAACGGTGGGATAAGACACCATGTTTGTAAATGACTAGTCATAGACAAAACAAAAATGTTATCAAATTATAACGTTTATTATCTGCAAGATTTGTCTGTTCATCTATACACTGAGCAAATAAATGTGGTTTCTGATTGGAAAATATGGACAAACATAGGTACATGATGTCATGTCATAATCTATTACTTATTTAAATATTTATTCTGTTTAAGTGGCAGCGTTTCACTAATTCATTTTACAGATTAATATACTTCAATAATTCGATAAGTGGCAGCAAAGAATAAGGAGTATAATATGTTGCAAGCAACCATTACAAAAAGCACGTTTCCCTAACAATATTTTCAATATCTGAAGAAGTATTTAAGAGGTTTGATCAATTTATAGATTTTTTGGAAAATCATGAAATGCCCAAATTCATTCATTTTTAAGAGAACAATTCTTCCAAATATTATCGCGACGATACTCTACCCTTTGCATTCGTTTGACTTCACTTCTTAAAGGAGAGCTTCGTCTTCAGTAGTTTATAACTAGACCAGAGTGTAAAGAATAATAATCTTATCTGCTATAAAATATGTGAAATATACATATTTCACATATATACTCCCGGGGAATGTATATACTGGAGAACAACTAATACCCCGAACGAAACCTTATGCAGTGTATGAGGTGACAACATAAAAGTAAAAACATGCAAAGGGCTTCCTCGGAGTACAAAGCTCTTCCTCGGAGTACAAAGCTGGGAGTATTTCAGATATGAATTGCTGTGAAGTGCTTGCTTTATGGGAAGTAATAACTAATAACCTTGAATAGGTACGTCAGAAATCAAATAGTCCATCAAATAGTGCACTGTATTGATATGAATACATTTATTATTTATTCATCGTTAACTTTGTTGAAGCTTGTTTTCTCAACGATTTAGCGATTGTTAAATCAAACAGAATGTGATAGGACCAGATCCAAGAGCAGGGTATAGAAGTATAATAACTGAATAATAAACCTTTCAAATAAGGTACCAACAACAGAAGTATTGAATATAGAAAATTCATAAGAATACAACATGAATAGTAAAGTGAGCACATAGCAATATTCCAGGCAAATATATATGCGTAGAACGAAACATTTCGCAGACACTCGAAACAATAGCAAATAGCACAAAGGGATAATATGACCACGAATGGTTCCGGACGGAATCGTGACGATAGTTGTGTATCGAAGGATAATGTCATTGTGTCAGGTTCTGATGTTGACTCGGATATAGGCCTTCGTGAAAGTCGTGTCAAGGCGTTACATTTGGCCAAAGAAGCTGGATGGAAATCCCCAAGAGCTTTACCATCGCCACCTATGTCACCACGATTATTGCAGCGTCACCATACACCTCAAAACATATTGCAAAGGTCTCCTACTTCTCCATTAGCTGGGTCTACAACGACAAAATTCTTCCAAAAATGTAGAGATCATCCAAAATCAGCACAAGAAAAGAGACAGTCAAACTTGGACATTGACAGCAAAGCTGCTGGATTCAGTCTCCCACCGCTTACAACGGATACGCTTATTAACCATTGCTTGAATGTAGCAGTCCCTGAGTCCTTCGGCAAAGTGAACATTGTTCGGGATCCATTACCATCTGCATCAGACACATTTATACAGGTTTTAGCTTTTGACGACAATAAAACAAAATCTTCTGATACTAAGATTGTCGAGGAATCAACAACCAAAGACGTTCTTGCAACAAGTAAACATCATCCACACCAGCCTCCAAAACTCAATATCAATCTCACCTCGCGGGTGAATTCTCTCCGAGGATATGAGAGCAATCCTGGAAGTCCTAGGTTACGGAGAAAGTTATATGAGCTAGATCACCTCGAACTGTCACATAGATTACATAATATTAGTAACGAAAAGAAAACTTTACATAATTGGACCGGGCGACCTGGCAAAAATAGTTGGGGATCGAATCAGACAATTGATGTTATCGATGGCTGCACACCATCATTGGATAAGGCGCATTCGGGCAGCGACAACGCGCTTAATAGTACGAACATTGCCACAAAACATGCAATTGATAATCATGTGAAATGGAATGAAAACATAGACGTAAAAATATTAGAGCCATTACCGAGACAAAGAGCATGGACAATGCCAGACAAAATCATGAAACGTCCACATATTTTGAAATCCAGCTTGAAGAAAAATGACAATTTGTGACCTTGAAACAGGGTCTTAGTCGAAATATTTAAAAGTAGCATCGATGCACTGTAATCTTATCGCCTAACTACTTAGATATATTAGAGCTAACCAAAATTTTCAAAAAGTCCTTGGATAAGCTTTAATGTCCCGTTTATGCGAACCCCTCCTCTTTTACTATTGAATAGGATTCTACAATGTGAATCTACTTGTCGAGACTCGATAAAAATGAGTTCTTCTGAGATAATAAGGATTTTGTATCTATCCCTATAATGACGTACAACATGTTGATATACAGCTTTTAAGTCAATTCTTTCCCCATGTTAAGTAAATACACCCTTGCTGAAATCCTCATTTTCTCAAAAGAACTCAAGCTGATCGACCCTCAACAAGTAAATTCATGCTATGTGAGATAGTAAGCCTAGCTATTGCTAGAATTTTCAATAGTAAGACTAGTGGGGGCCCACTAGTGGATCTTAAATAGGACATGGGCTTACTTTTTAGAACTTTTTATTGGCTCTATAATGGTAGATCATTGATCAACAAGGATATCAAGTCAAACAACTTCTCATGAATAAATAAACAGGGTTATGTACCGGGGAATATTTGTATCTCCCAAGAGACACAAGGATGCATGGAGAAAACTGATCGTGCACAAAATATGTATTTCATACCTACTTAAATTGGATCTTTAATAATGATTGTAAAACATGTTGAAAATTATTTTTTCAAAAGTTTTATGGTGTAGACCTTCGATGTATTATTTGAAAATACAACAAATTGATTATTTTGCAACTGACTTAGCAACCCTTTGTTATGTGGTTAACGCAATACAAATACAGGGTGGGCCAAAAAGGTAACCCAAACAGATCAACTCAGTCATTCAGCATGGGTTTAATGTCACATTTGGCATAATTAAACCTTGATCAATCTTCTTTCATTCTACAAGGTTCAAATATGGCCACGATTTTATGGCCATTTAACAGAACGCTTAAAATGTCGGTCTCGTCTGTGGAGGCAAACGTGAAAGCATCTGGGGAAGGTATTCTGACTGCTCACAGAGATCTTGTGCATAGGGTAGTCAGGGGGAGGTGCGATGGGTGCGTACGCATCCCCCATAACCAATAAAATAGAACCACTAGACAGAAGAAGGAAAGAGCTTTAAATGCATTTTATTTGATCAACTTTCACTTTTCTCATTGTTTTAGAAAACACATCAGACACTTCTTTTGTTCTTGGTATCATATGTTCGGAATGAACGAAACATCTACCCGAACAACCTCATTGGAACAAAACGATATATACACAACGTGTTTATGTCTCTCAATATTGTATCTGTACAAAGGAAAGTTTGGTTGATTTAAAAAAATTGTCTTGTTAATGAAATAAAAGGTTTGATTTAAATTTTGGGGTTTAATTTTTGTTTTAATTTTTTGAATACCAAATTTTCCTTTGTGTAACTATAATATTGAGAGGTTTAACAATGTTCGGAAAGATATTTTATTTCATTCTCATGAATCGGTAGAAAGGAACAAAAACAATTGCACCAAAAATCAAAAAAATGTTAACAAAAACAGTTATAAAAATTATATATTTAAATAATCTTCGCATTAATTTGTCGTCAATTAGTGGCCATAGGACCGTGCTTTTTTACAGAATGTTTTCAATATAGATTGGTGTAAGAGAAAAACAATGTTGAATTGAGTTCGCCACATCGATACCAGCCTTTCAAAACCTTGAATAGATAGCATCAAAAAATATTTTTTGTCTCATGCCGCGATCGCAGCCCTGACTGAAAACCGAAAAAATGTTGGTGATCGCACCCCTCCCCCCTGACTGAAAGCTAGCTACACCCCTGTTGTGTAATGGGTCTCATCTTTCTAATCCCGTTTGAACCATGGACTTCTAATCACGTATTTGAAGTCCATGTTTGAACTAAGTTTACACTATCTTCACTTTGAAATTGCTTCAAAATAATTAAAACAAGAAAAATGTGTTTTTGTGTAGCTTGACTTTGACTAAAAAACTTTACTGAAGTATACATTTTGCACTTATTCTTCAAAGTATTTACATACTGTATAGGTTCCTGAGAAACTACATCTTGCTTCATCAAGCTTCGGACCTATCCTCACGTAGTGATTGAGCGTGGGCACCGACGAGGGAGAAACTGTGGTAAATATGAGAAATGATCTTCTATGCTTGACTGATGATATAGACTAAATAATGACAGTCACATAGTATAATTTCTGTCATTATTACACTTTGACTTTAATTAGCTCTCAAGAGCTTTCAATTCTAGGCTCGGTTTCAAATCCAAGAAAAATCTGGGGAAAGGCCGGGGGGGGGTACTGGTCAAAATTTTGTACAGGGGAGTGTCCGACCCCGGGGGAAAGGGGAAGGGCGGTCGCCCCTAACGCCCTCCCCCTTCCGATGCCGATGATATCCAGTGACCAATCCTCGAAGATGAGGCGAAAATATATTAGTTTGGCTAGAATAGCTAGTACACGCCATCTATTCAATACATACAGAGTGTCTTAGATGGTGCCCGAGATGTGCCGAGTCGGTTGACTGTGAGAAAAACGAACTTTAGAACGATGTGATCGTTCGTTGAATTAACGTAGGTCACGTGACACAACATGGACCATGGCTAAAAAGTTAGAAATACTTCTGCTCTTCCTATTTATACATTTAACCGTGCTATTTTATGTTGGTAAGTAGAATATTTATTCTCATATTCTGAGTTATAAATGTTGCTAACATTTTAATTAACTTAAGTTGTCAGTAATGTGCCAAAAATCACATATTCAGCAACTTTACTGGACATCCTTCCTGCTCTGATTTCGAGTCCGGTTTCCAGAACAGAAGCAAATGTAAGACATGTTATGTAGACAGTGAGTATGATCACAATTTTGATTCTTCTTTGGGGTAAGGGTATGTGTCATGGTAAGGGGCAAATTTGAAGTATCTTTAGCACAGGCCCGGGAAGATTTAAATCCCCCCAGTCACTGTATAGCTAATGTAAAAAAACACAGGCTCACTTCGTAAACATCCAGTCTCTTCTCTAACAGATCAATCTCACCATAAATTGGCGTCAGAAGGGGGAGGGCGTGGCGGGGGGGGGACCGACCCCCCTTTTCGAGATGTTAAGATTTGAAACCGAGCCTAGAATTGAAAGCTCCTGAGAGCTAATAAAGTCAAAGTAATTGGACAGAAATCATACTATGATCAAGCAGAAGACCTTATCTCTCATATTATATTAATATATACCATAGTTTCTCAGGAACCAATAGAGTATGTAAATACTTTGAAGAATAAGTGCAAAATGTATATATTAGTAAATCTTTTTAGTCATTTAGTCAAGCTAGTTTTCTAAAAACACAATTTTTTCTTGTTTTTATTATTTGGAATGTTGTGTTGAGATAAGTTCAGAATTCATCAGAGAGGGTCTTGAGGGTCAGAAATTACTAGTATAAGTCTAATAGAAAGCCATTTCTCATGATGCTATTTCCTTGTTATAAGCAATTTTCTGTTGTGGTTTATAGTTATTTTATTTTAGTTATATGCTATGGTTGTTTACTTCAGAAACTTTATCTGCCATATTTGATTATTTCCTACAGTAGGTAATTAAATATAAATAAACAAGACTTAGTTTTAGTCAGTGGTTTAATGGTCCTCAGTCTATATTGTACATAATATATTAATGCTTTAAGTTCATGATTTTGAATATGAATAATGTAATGTTTGAGAGATGGTGACCTATCTTATCAAAATTCACATTGGGTACTTTAAAACGTCAGTGCATTTAATTGATCATCTTTTTCCCATCATATTTTTGCTTCCTGGTATTATATTATTTTGTCAACTTTCAAGTTTTTGACACACAGTCTAGAGCTCTGTTTTTCATCTCAGGGCTTCCATTAAAATTTCTCACAATAAGCTAAATAAATGAAAACAACGGGTAAAATTAATGGAAATCATAAATTTAACACGGAAAAGTTAGAAAGTCCCTAAAAACAACAGTCGATTTTGTGAAAAGAACCGTTGAAAATCGCCTGTTGCCTGCTGCTAATGAAACCCCTGCATCTTGTTTATATTGTTATTTATGGCTTGATTTAGTTTAGAATTCTTCTTCATCTTGTGTTAAAGGTACTTATTTTTCATATTTCGTATAATCTAATTACTTATATGTTTGCCTCATTTTAACTTGATTTATCCCATCTTGTTGTTTTTTTACCCTTTCTCTTTTTGCTTCCTTTTGCCTTGGTCTCCTTTGTCTCCTTATAATCTTTCTTGTTGATTTTTCATCTTATTTTAATTTCTTTTATTTTGAACATGTTGATTTTTTATCAAGTGTCAGTCCATTTTGTTGACTTTTTTTCTTGAGACTCTTATTTTGGTATATAAACAATAATTATTATTGGACTCGAAAAGTGTTGACAACAATCATAAAAGTATACATCTTATTTGTTGTCAAATTTGATTCATCAATAAGTGTTATTTTTAATAACTTTTGGTTGTGACTTGCACAATGAGAGAGGAGTGTCAAGTATTTGCCAAACACATATTAAAGTTGATGATTTGAAGTTTGGCACTGAGACATGATAAATGAACATAAAGATTTCAAAGGATATCACAGATGACCTTAGATCACTCAATGGGAAACATTGATGGTGCCAAGTGTTGTAGTATTGTAGTTTAAATCATCTAACATGTCTGTGTGAGTCAGTGTTGCTTCACTTTTGTTTCATGTACCATTGTAACATTTTAATAATTTATTGCTTAAATTAGATATCTTGACAAAAACTGAGGTTATAGATGTTTACGGGTGTGTAAGTGATTCAATTTTAAAGCCATCATCTTGAAAACAACTTCAATAGATGCTACAAAAAACTTATTTAATGTGTTGATGAAATCAGAAGCTGTTTTTTTTGTATAATCGCAGTGCTTTCAAGTATAATAGTCGCATTTTATTTTATACTGAGGCAATTGCATGATTTTGCTATGATTTACTTTTTAGTAAACTAAAATTCTGGAAGTTGGCTAGAGTCTCGTTGTTTATATAGATAGCATCAAAAAATATTTTATGACTAAAAAGGCTGATTTGAGATAAGGTACAATAAAGTCCTAATTCAGAATATTTAAAAGGCAAAACATTATAGTTAAGATGTTTTTTGACACCTCATGTTTTTGAGGGTAAGAATGTGTAACATAGCTGGTTCTAAATAATGTCTATCTGAGCTTGGGGTTATGTCAGATACACATTTTCCTTAAAAAAGAGAGGGAAAAATTTCTTGGCCAAAGACTCCTCTGTTTTGGCCCATACATTCGAGAACCACATTATCAAGCATTATGCTACAAAGCAGGAAGCTCTAGTGTACACTGTATAAGCAGCGTAGAGAATTAATGTGTTCTCTGATTCTACTCACAGATTGTGTAGTCAGTGGCTAATTTAATGCTGAAGCCAGAAGTCTGTGAGAGGAAACCCTTAGAATACTAAACCATGATATTTAGCAGTTGGTTCATTATGTTCTATAGCACTGCTGTGTAAGATAACATGTGTGAGATGAATAAAGGATCAAACCCCCATCTCTGACACCTTCTCTTCTTATGGTGTTATAACAGCTAAAGATAAGAGATTCTGTTATGGAAATCTCCCTAAAGGGATTATTGAAGTAGAAGTTGAAAGTCAGCGTGGTTCTTTTATTTTAGAAGAGGAAGGAAATATCTTAATACACTTTATACATGTGGGTTAATTCTAGAAACAACAGCCCTTACAACACGTTTCATATTTATTTCATTTTTATTGACACAATGTACAGTGTTTATATGAACATTTTGCCAAAGTTGTCGAAATACACATTTTAAATCGTGGAATTTTTTGTTTTTATTGATCGCCTGAGGAGTAATCCCTAATCATTTTTTATCTTTAACATTCAATATTTTGTGAGCACAATCGACTGAATCCAGTGTTTATAGTTTCTTATGATTGTTTAACATGTGGCCACTTCACATTCTTGCGTTTAAATGGCAAAACAGTGCTTTCAATTGAGAAATATAAATAAAAGCTTTTTTTGTGTTAAGTTAAAAAGTCCACCTGGAGAGGTGAATTTTGGGATAAAGGCTTAGTTTTTTTGGGGGAGGGGGTGATATTTGATATAATCTCATCCAAGTCAAGGTCACATAAATAATACACAAGTCAGATGTCAAAATTATTTGTTGACTTGAATATTGAGTATGATTTCTTTTGAGAGGTGGTGAAAATAAAATAAACAGTTGTTTGTCAGTGTGTACCCTTTGCATTCGTTCGACTTCACTTCTTAAAAGAGAGCTTCGTCTTCACTCTTTCAAACTAAAATAAACCTGTGAATTACCGCGCCAATCAGTGTTCGTCGGCCAATTTTGACCGACGTTCTTTATATGGTCATTCCTTCTGACGTCATCGTTGAGCCCGGAATTGACCAATGAAATACGCATATTTAATTAGAACGCATTTGGGGGCGGGGCTACTAAACTGTAATATGGTCTCTACTAGGCAGAGTGTAGTTTAACTAGACTCTACACGCAGGGTAGTCAGTGTGGTAAATTCTAGTGTTATTTCTTTACAATGTAATGGTAGATCTATTCAGGAGGCATTACCACAAGGTCATGTCAAGTGTCAACCGACTCAACCTTTTCTATAGATCATATTTAAGATATTGTGAGACACTTGATTTTGTGGGATAAGAGACAATGGCAATGAAGTTGATCAGTAAAAAGCCAAAAAGAAAAATGGCTTTACACTTTAAGTAGGGTGGCATAACACAACCTCAATTCACATGCTTCATGTTTTTTACAGTTGAGAGTTTATGAAATATTAAATATCACTTCCTGATACTGTTTGTTAAGATAACATTATCTCTTGAAGTTGCTTATTTCCTAAGTAGTAGTTATGTTATTATATATTTATTAATGCGTCATCTTAAAATGGTATTTTATGATATCATTACGTTGTTAATCAAATGAGAAATCACGCCATGGGAAAATTTATCTCGGCATCCCCTCTATATTCTTTGCATTCGTGGATTGAAATATAACCTTTGAACTCGCTGAGCCAACTTGAGTTTTTGGTGAATGAAGGATGGTTTCCTAATTATAGTCATTTTCTATTTATGGTCATTTCCTCTGAAGTAATTGTTTTCCAAGTATTAACCAACATTGAGCATGTTTTAAACATTCTTTTTCGTTTGTTACAACCTGGACTGGGACAGTCACCAGTAGTAGGGGCAGGGCTACTGATTTGTAGAATTGTCTTTACCATTCAGAGATGACTTTATCATTATGATTATTGTACATCCTTCTTGACAACTCATTCCATAAAAACTCATCCCTCATCCAAATGTCAAACTGACCCAAAGACAACTTGGCCCTGTCAAATGGTATTTTTAATGTTACCCTCCCTATAACTCAGGGGATAACTCATCTCCTGGAATTCTGCCTGGACAACTCATTCTCAAGACATCTCATCCCCTTGAAATCACTTCCCTGGACATAAGTTCATCCCTTTTACAACTCAACCTTTTCATCAGTTGCATTTTCTAAATGATTGTGGGTTTATAAAAGAGCAGTGATCATTGCCATTCTTGAGACAACCACAAGTTAACTGTTAACCTATAGCAAGCACCATATGGTAAGTAATTTTACCAGCAGATCTTACAAGCAGAAACGCAAGATAGCTGTTAATAGTGGCTAACATTGAAAGTTGGAATCAATCTTGCAAGTAAAGCAAGTATGACTCAATAACACTTGGGTCATCTGGTTTTCATAAATCAGCAATTTGCTATTTTTGTCCTTCACTTGTATAAAACATACTGGGTTTCATTGTTATGAGCTGAGACAAAACTTCGAATTCATGACCAAATCTGTTGCCTTGTATTTTTTTCTCAACTTCATAATCTAGGCTGTTTTAATTAGGTATCTGTTCTTGTGACTTCATAAAATGGTTTTGAAATAATGATTTGTCCCATATGGCATCCTCATCTCAGTAACCTCATTATAGTGTAGTCTTTGATGAATTCCTGTTTCCTGTTATGTTTTCCTTTTTGGTCCTGTGCCTCATCATTAATTTGGCTCATTACCTTTTTCTCAACCCTTTTGAATTAGTCTCTGGGTGGTTCAATAGCTTTTTGTTGTTAGTTCGGGTGATTTCATTAGAATGTTAGTTGGTTCTTAATGATTTCATCATTGGAGGTTATTTCACCATTCACATTCAAGTTTTTTATCTGGCTATCTACAATAACATAATCATATAACATTCTTCCTGTTCTTCAAATTTAAGTAGACTTTGCATTATGGATCTTCATCACATTCAATATTAAATGAATATTGAGAAATTCTCAAAATGAAAAAGGGAGGGGGGGGGGCTATAAATAAATATTACAACAATAATCGTGACCACTGGTCTTTGATTTTTACTGATATCTTGTTTTCCAATCCTCCATTTTGTTGTGTGCCTTCATTTGAATTCTACTTTTCCTTGGGTTCATCATTGTATGCAATGTTTGTATGTTAGGGGCGGGGTCAAAATATCGATGTTCATATGGAGACGAAAGTACTTTCGCGAGGGGGGAGGGGGTTTTTGGGCACTTTCGTTGACCAAAAAAACATCGATAATTCGGATCTGATATACAAAAAATAATTGGACTTACCCACTTTTTCTGGCGCTATGTTCTGATAAAAAGGCTTGTTTTCAATAGTTCGTGAGCTTTTTTGTGTGATAGGTCCGAAATATCGGTAGATAAAGACGATAATTCGATCATTTTTCAAATAAATTCCGTACTTTTCCCTCCTCCTTTTGAAGAGTTCAATGCAGTTAAATTGCGAACGTGTGTTAATTCACCGTAAAAAGGTATAAAGGTTACATGTTCATCAATGTAATCACGGGTTCCAAATCATTTGACAGTCACTGAAAATCAATGTTTTTTTGAAGTGACCTAAGCTTTCGTCTAGAGGGGGGGGTGGGGGGGTTGTTGTCCAAACGAAATTACTTTCGTCTCCATATGAACATTGATATTTTGACCCCGCCCCTTAGTTGTGCATATATAATTAAGGCAGATAAATGCCGATAAATGTTTTATTATTTGCAGAATGAAAAAGCAATGTAGAAGGCAAACTATACCTCATTAATCTCTTGAATACCAGAGGATTAATTATTATCCGCTAGTTTTTGGCATTTTGCGCTCTAAAATATAGTTTTTGATAAATATTATTTCATGTTCAGTTCAGGAAGAATGTGGCACAGCCTCATGAAGTTCCAATATGTCCAACTCAGTGTTAACCCCAACATACACCAATACTCCCCATGGAGTCCCATTGAGTCTCACTTTGTCCCATGGGACTCATAAGTAAAGATTTTCATTGGCAAATTGAATGCTTTTTAAATGTTTTTGAAATATTACCTTTTCAGAAGGGCTCAGAAAACATTCAGAATATGGATGAAAATTGAAGGACCCGCTTTTGCACACAAAGTAGAATTTGAGGGCTCAAAATAGGCAAATCTTCTGGTGACAATTCCTGATAAACCAACAAATTAGTGCATATATAAATCATGTCTAAGCAACAATCAGGATGTGTCAAATATTACAATAATGTTTACCAGCAGGTTTGTCCTTGAAAAAATTTTTCTTTGATGTTTAGATAAAAAATTTGATGTTTAATGCTTTTCAGACTGTGATACGACATCTCAACCTGAACGTTACCCAGTATGCAGAAGAGGAAAGTTTGGCTGGAACTGCCATTTTACATGCAACTGTACAAATGGAGCTAGTTGTGATAGCTTCACTGGAAAGTGTGACTTCGGCTCAACCTGTGATGGCTTATCATGGGGCTGGGGATGCATACTCTGTAAGTATCAGAGGGGGTAATTGGGATTCACAGTAAAAATCCCATCTCTTGGTTCTGGTTTTGGGAGCTTTCAATAGAACCTTACTTTATATTTCAGAAGTCAAAAATTTTTGGCCCAAGCTAGTATATTTCTTACCCTCCGATACTTTAAATAAAATAGTTGAGTCAAAATAGTTGAGGCTTCATGTTTCTTAATTGCAGAGCAGTATACACTTCCATCTTTAGACCATCCAGAATTTCAAAATGTCTACCATCAACTTCTGAAATTATTTCCAAGTATATTACAAGCATTACTGAGTCGGGTTATATCTGGTGCCAAAGACACCTTGTGTAACTCCACTTACGTAATGCTGGTAATATACTCAGATACTGAAGAAAAAAGATATAACCAGTATTTGGTAATGCTCGTAACATACCCAGAAAAAATTCCCGGAGGTGATGGTGGACATTTTGAATTACTGGCCTATCAAAAAATTGATATGTATACCTCTGCAATCTCTTTTGGCTTTGAGAGAGTGTTTCAGTTGATGTTTACAGTCAATTAAATTAAGAAATATACTGTATGCATGGATAGTGCAAAAAAAATTATACTAGATTTAAAATCTGGCTGTATGTATATTTTCGCATAGAGGGAATTTCAAAACTAAATTGTTTTCTTTGATGACATCAAAATACTACTTTTCACAGTGGTACAATGGAAAACTTTTAAGTGAGAGTTGTCTTTTTTTAACATTTGCAACTGTTCTAAATGGCCAGATATTTGGCCCTAAAGTGTCAAAATATGGACAAATTTGAAAAAACAACAATGGGGGAAAAATCAGTTGGTATGGTAACTTGATGTTATGATATAGCAGCCTCTCAAGATATACAACATTATGTAATAATGATTTCCCATATTCCTTATATAATATATATATATGAAAGCTATTCTGCTGTATGTAGTTATTATGATAATGTTTCAGCATCATCCTGCTATTATGACAGACAGAAAGGAAGATACTATATAGGATGTTTAAACACAACTAAATTTGATACACCATGTCAAGCTTGGAGTAAAGATACACCCCAAGAGCACCATTATCATGAACGAAGCTATTTTCCTGAGGGTGACCCAGAAATCATTCGTCACAATTTATGTCGCAATCCAAATAAATATCTGGGTTTGAGACCTTGGTGTTACCGAGATTCTGAGTTTGGTCGCAAAACTTATGGTTACTGTAATATCTCTAAATGTGGTGAGTACAATACAGTTGTTACCTACTATGCTGAGAGCTGTTATAATGTCATTGTGGAGTATGTTTGAATAAACTAATATGCAATAGACGAAAACATGGTCATTCACATAAATATCTCCTGCAGTGTATAGTGTCAAGAAGGACAAGTTTTCATTGTTCAGTCGATTGATTTCAAATTCTCCCAACCTTTAAACCATGTTCTGTGTATTGTTGAGTATCTTTGAGGAATTTCCCATAGTAATCCAATGGTATAGTTCCAAGCAGATTTTGAGATAACAGGAAAGTGAATCATTAATACACACCTTATTGGGTTGTTTTGGTTTGTATCACAACCGAATAAGGTGTACTCTCACATAGGGTGCGAGATTTGAAGACAAGTGACATTTACATCCTAGCTGGTTTCTACAATACGGCGACCAAACTCCATGGCAGTGCTAGTTTCCAACATATCACTGCGGCGGGTGATGTGATTGGTTCTTGTCTCATGCTGGTATTGCATGATTGTAAAATCTAGACAAGTTCATTGGTTGAATTTTGCCTATTAACTTATAGACACACGTGCGGTGAAACATTAACAACAAAAATTTAAACTCTTAATCTTAAGTTGTGTGAAAAATGACTCCATCTATGATGAGAAGTGGGACTATTTTCTCCAAATTCTGATTATTTTTTCATCTGCCCACTGCAGTGTCTATTCCGAGACACTGCATGGGAGTTTGTACATCACCTTCTACATGTATCACAGGCTGGTACCGAAAGATTTGTCCGCTGTGGCAGAGCATGCTAATTTTCATAAATTCACTAAGAATACTTCACAGCTCATATGTTTCATTATACCGAAGAAAATTACTTACTCTATGCAATGGATGTATCATGTTTGGATAACCTTCACTTCTGTATGAAATCCCATCACACTAGGAGTAAAAGCTATTTAAACAGCGCCAGAGTATCAAACTCTAAAATGCATATTTGCAACTGCTCCATTAAAGCGGACAAAAAAATTAAACATTATTTTTAAAAAGAAATTAAAAAGACCCAATACATCCAGATCTCATTAATACATTCAAAGTTATGCTTAAATCATACATAAAAATTATCTTGTCACTATATCATGCCATTAAAAAGTTGAAAAAGAAATGGTACATTTTGGAGTTTGATACTCTGGCACTGTTTTCAATAGCTTTCGTTCCTAGCGTTATTGGACTTCAATTAGAAGTGAAGGTTACCTGCAAATGATATATCCATTGCATGGAGTAGGTAATTTTCTTTGGTATAACAAAACATATGAGTTAAAAAATAGATCGTGTAGTATTCTTAATGTTTTTGTGAAAAATAACATGCTCCGTCACAGCGGACAGACCTTTCGATACCACCCTGTGTACATGTATATAGAAAGTCAAAAGTCAGACAAGATTTTGAAAAAATCTCGAACAAAATCTCATACAACTCTAGAAACCAATTTTTGTTACATCATGGTGTGATGTCTTCATGATCAGAAAAAACCTTCATGCAAGTTGTACAAGCATTTGTTTGACTTATACTGTATTAATGTAAATCTTAAACACTGCATTCACAAATACACGCGTTCATATGATTTACTAGCATGGAGAGTGTAAACTCAACAAACCGTGTACAAAATCTCTCAGATTGTATGAGTACCAGGGGCATAGCAAGCTTTCAGTCAGAGGGGGTATGATTGCCAAAAGAATTTCGGTTTTCAGTCAGGGGGTCTGATTGTGGCATAAGCAACCCCAAATTTTAAGATTTAAATTTGAGAAAAATTGATGCAACTTCCTTCAAAATTGAGCTAGAAGATTCAAATAAAACGCATTTAAAGCTTGCTCTTTTCATCTATCAAGTGTTTAGCAACACCTCTGTGTAATCTGCTTAATGTTATTCTATGTGTTAGAGATATCACATAAATATAAGATATCCAATTTGATACAGTTTTAACACCTGAGGGTAAGATAGAGGTAACTTAATGCTAAGCTACTGAACATGTGAAGATAATAGAACTATTATTAAGTCTGATATATTAAAATTGTGATTTTATGTTAATACATAACTATTGTCAATTGATCAAAATGGACCCAATTATTTTCAGCGCACTTTTGTTAACTTCTCACCACTCTAATAATAATGCCACCACCCATCAATTTTCATTTAGACTTTTCCACCATTCACTTTTGAAAAGTAGGGCGAACACTGACCTTATTAATACTCATACAGTTCTGCCTTGAATCATGTATTGTAACTTTCAATTTTAGAATGTCCAGATTTCACATATGGCAGGAATTGTGTGAAGGAATGCCATTGTAATGACCCAAATGAGGTCTGTGATAGGATACTAGGAGGTGCCTGTCATAGATCTGGATGTGATGTAGGCTGGTCAGGAGTGGATTGTCAGACAGGTAACACCTATGTAGTGTTTATGTTTAGAAAGATTATGACCAAGACAATTATACCATGGTCAGAGCAATATCAGGTATATAATAGCATGTGATAAATCACATATTTGGGACAGGGACGATATCGGGTTTAGCGAGATGATATCAGGGATAATATTGATATTGGGTAAATTCAAAAATTTTACAATTTTTCCCCAAAAATTCACTTTTTCAAAAAACAACATTTTTTTCAAAATCATTTTTTCGAAATTTTTCATTTTTTCAAAAAAATAATTTATGCTCTTGACCATGGTATAACATTGTTATTTACCTGTCGGTATGATATGGGTAATATCCCTTCAAACATATTTACAAATATTTTAAAACCTGCTCATAACATGCTCATATTGAACCAGTTTTTATATTAGCTTGAGCAATTCTCATATACACTTTTATTTTGCAGCAAACAGGTCAAGCATTCCTAGACCCTATAGTCCACCTAGTCTGCAACAAAGGGGTAAGCACTTCATCCAAGTGACATGGGAAGATGATGCACCTGATGCATACAGCTACATTATTGAGTCTAAATCTGCATCAAATGTCACCTGGTTTAGGTATGTATCTCAATGTACAGGGTGTCCAATAAATAAGGTGAAAGATATTGTAACTTTCTTAATATTGCACCAATATTGATCAAATTTTCAGAGTTTGTAGCCCAAACCTTTTTACCTTTATTCTGTGAATTAAAAGCGTCTTCTATTTGATTGGCCAGAGTTGTGGTTGCTATAGCAACCGAAACAACAAAAAGGCGGGGCAAGTTTGTTTACGTCACAACTTTCCAAAACATATTTATTCTTTCTGCTAGCTTTATTCATACTCCCAGTTCTATTACTACCACAAATACAATATAAAAAAGTCCTAAAGTCCCATTGTTGTGAAAATAAGCTATTCAACATAATGTCCATCTCTAGCTATACACTTCTAATGCCTATTGACCCACTCTCTAAACACACTTTCAAACCCATTCTTGCCCATTTCCTGAAGTCTTGCCAAAACATGTGATCTGAGTTCATTAGTGCTTCCAAATTTATTTCCTCTCAAGTCAAGCTTGAGTTCTGCATATAAGTAAAAGTTATTAGGTGCAAGGTGTGGGGAATATGGAGGGTGTGCAAGTAGGGGTAGCCCCAGTGCCCTAATAATTTCACTAATAATGAGCATAGCTGTGTGTGAACTCAGATCACATGTCTTAGCAAGACCTCAGGAAATGGGCCAGAATGGGTTTAAAGTGTGTTTTGAGAGTGGGTGAATAGGCATAAGAAGTGTATAGCTAGAGATGGACATTATGTTATATAGCTTATTTTCATAACAATGGGACTTTAGGACTGTTTTTATATTGTATTTGTGGTAGTAATAGACCTGGGAGTATGAATAAAGCTATCAGAAAGAATAAATATGTTTTGAAAAGTTGCAACGTAAACAAACTTGCCCCACCTTTTTGTTGTTTCGGTTGTTATAGCAACCACAACTCTGGCCAATCAAAAAAAGGACGCTTTAAATTCACAGAATAGAGGTAAAAAGGTTTGGGCTACAAACTCTGAAAATTTCATAAAGATTGGTGCAATATTAAGAAAGTTACAATATCTTTCACCTTATTTATTGGACACCCTGTACACGTATATAAGTAATATTATTGAAAGTTTTAAAAAGTGAATGTTTGAAAATGAAAATTCTAGCCTGTTCATATTAAAACGAGACTATAGAAATCTTTAAAAGCACAGCCTTGTTGAAATCTTTAAAACCATACCCTCATTGAAATCTTTAAAACCATACCTTCTCTACATTTTAGAGTCCCCTTTAAAGTAACACTTGGTATTCCTCTCACTATATTTTGTATTCTAATGTCACCACTAATAGTTATGTCACCACCAATGATGGTTGGCAGGTGTCGGCTGGCGTTCGGCATCTATAACAAATACTTCCAATATTTTATATAAATAAATGCTGTTTAGACTGACTTCATTTTTTTCAAAATCATCTACAAGTTCTCAGAAGTTCAAATCTTACTTTAGATTTGAGATTTGACCTTCAATGACCTTCTCAGGTCAAAAAGGCCTTTTTTCAACTTGATTCAAATTGGTCTCCGTTTTCTTGCGTCTGTGATTGGCATCTGGCAGGCAGCGGTTGGCAGGTGGCAGTTGGAAGGCAGCTGTTTGTAGGCAGCAATTTGCGTCGGGCATTTAGCAAATTCTAACAACTTCCAGTAACTTAAACAAATGCTGTTAAGACTGAATTCAATTTTTTTCAAAATCATCTACAAGTTCTCAAAAGTACAAATCTGACTTTAGATTTGAGATTTGACCTACAATGACCTTCTCAAGGTCAAAAAGGGTAAAAAGCTATTTTTTCAATTGGCTTCAAATTGACCATTTTTTCAAATCATCCACAGGTTGTCAGAAGTTCAAATCTGACTTCTCAAGGTCACAAAAGGTCAAAAAGGTCTTTTTCAACTTGCCAATTTCAATATGACCAATTTTTTTTCATAATCATCTGCTAGTTATCAGGAATGCAAATATGATTTTTAGATTTAAGACTTGACCTTCAATGACCATCTCAAGGTAAAAAAGGTCTTTTTTCAACTTGCTTCAAATTGACCTATTTTTTCAATGCCATCTACAAGATGTTCAAATCTGACCTAAGATTGAACTAATAAGATTGTGAGCAGCTATATGACATTTTGTCATGTTAATGCCTTGTCTTTTGTTTTTCCCACACTGCTACTTCCTTAAATACTGCATGTAGTATTTAACCACTACACTTTGTAACCTCAATACACCTTGTAGTTTCTTCCCTGCACTTAAAGTTACACACTCCATAAGGTTTACCAAGAGTTGGATTTTATAGTAAATTGTGTACAAGAACATCAATACTTTTTCTTATAGGCACAGGAAAGCAGGCAAATACAGACGAGAATTTAGGTTAGATGGGCTTACAATAGGGGAGACAGTCCAGTTTAGAATGATTGCGATCAATAGGAACAGTTTGCTGAGTTTTCCCGGGCCTGTTGCTGTACTATCTACATGTTCAGGTACATACGTGAGATCAACTTAAACATACAACCAGCTGTTAGTGAACTTTTTAGACCTTTTAGATAGAGTATAAAATTGTTTGTGGTAGCCTTTAGATCTAGTTTTGACCACTGGTCTACACATCTTTTTTTAGTTTTAATTTTTAGTAGTCATTTGGGAAATTCATTATTCTTATATTATTAATATTATTAAATAATTTTACCGAGACTTCAAAATACCATGCCTAGATTTATTTTTGGAAGATGTTACTGTACAAGATGTAATTATAACGTGTTTTTAATTATAACGAAAAATAACGAATTGTCTTTGTTGTTATGTTTTTATTCTGACTTTTGACCAAGTTAATTATTGTTGTTTGAAAAGTTTAGCAATTTGTCTTGTGGTTAATTTGACAGCAATTAAGAAAAGAAGTTCCTCGTGGAACTACTGCTATATCATTGTGTTTCTTTCAGCCCCCTCCACTGGCCCTAGAGCTGTTGAGCTGACCACCTATCTGGACATAAATGATGCCTCTCAGGCTAGAATACATGTCAAGTGGCAGGTAACTATAATGGATAAATAGATCTTGTGTATACAGCCTACTGTACATATCAGATGTGTCTCATAGAACATTCCACTACACTTTTGCAATCTGAAATTCAACCTGCATGAAAGACAAATCTGAATAAGATTTGCTCAAATGGATGAAACTGGGACAGAAATTTCTGAATGTCTTAAACCTCAGAGATTTTGGAACACATATAGAAAATAATCATCCAACATCCTGGATACAATATATTATATTGTATATCCCCTCATGTTTCCCACATAGGTATAGGATGCAGTGCATTTATTTCTCAAATAACATTTCCAATAAGAATGCCCACAGTAAAATTCAATCCGTTTCCAAAATACATCAACTGATCACAAGTCTACTTTCGTTGACCCCTTCTGCATTCTTACAATTTACTTTTATCTGCCTTGTACATTACTGTGCATGGAACATTAAATGGAGTTCAAATCACACAATTAAAGAGCAAATTAACCACAAAAAGAATCAGACGCAGTGTAAAAGTGAAGAAATCTACGTCAAAAATCCTGTACTCTTTTATTTATTTTATTCATTCCCATAGGCGCCATCTTGGAGGGTAGTAAACTGTGAAAGTATACTGCTATATAGGGTCTACTACAAAACCAGGACAGAAACCGACTTTACTCTTTACAAAGATGTTGGTGGCAGTGAGAACTCAGTTAATATATCAGGGCTTGACACATGTACTTTGTATGATATAGCGGTAGCGATCATCAACAATGGACACCTAGAGGGAAGAAATTCATCACACTCCAGCATACAAACAGTTATGGGCAGTAAGTAAAATGCACAACAGATTTATTTAAAGCACAGGAAAATAAATATGAGATGCGTACCATGACCTTTGTGTATTGTTGCTGGTTTACATAGACTTCACATTTAGTTTGGCCAGTACTGTTTTCTAATTTGTAGACGCTGGAAAGATGTTGTTTTAGACCTGGCTACAATTAATTCTAATTTGTATAAATGATATTGAATATTACATTTATTATCAGAATATCATATTACTTTTGCAAGGACCAGGTGCAGTAATGAGACTATTTGCCCAAGCTGTTTCAGCCTCTCAGCTTCGTGTCTTTTGGAGTGCAAATGTCCAACAAAACTGCAATATACGGGGATATATGCTCCAGTATAAGTTATTGCAAGAGCTAGCATGTGATCAAACCAATGACACTGCTTGGAGTCAGACGTTTTCTACATCAGATGAACAGTACCTGTTGATCGGTTTAGAGGCCTACTCAAGGTATAGCATAAAAGTCTGGGCTTCTAGTTCTAATGGAAATGGACCTGCCAAAGTCATCAATAATGCAGAAACATCAAGTGGTGGTAAGTTCAATTGATATATCTTCATGTTGTAGCTACTCGTGATTATAATGATATTATCAGTGTAGGTACAAAGTCATTATATCACCAACAATAATGTTATTTGATTTGTTTGGGAGAGGAGTCATTATCCCACCAAACAAAGTTCGAGGGGATATTGGAAAGCAGTCCGTTTGTCCGTCTGTTCATCCATCAGTGGTGTACATGGTGTAGATATCCAAATGTTGGTCTGAATTTATCCATGTGTAAAGATTGTATGCTTCTGTTGCTCTTTATTAAAACAAATGGGACAGTGTATTTATATATTAAAAGACGCCAGTCTGTACATTGTTCGTTCGTTTGTCTGTGTGCCTGGGCAATAACTCAAATACTGATTGACCATCAATGAATAGCAAATTTTAAAGATTCTGCCTTTTATTCTCAGGTCCATGGGGAATGCCAGTTAATGTAGCAGCCAAGAATGTAACATCAGAGAGTGCTCTCCTCACATGGGCCCCACCACCTTGTAATGAACGCAATGGATTGTTCAAGAACTACCAATACAGACTCACTAATTTGAATTATAGTGACATTGACATTCAGCGCACTGGTAAGTACCCTTCACTATGAGATTAACCATTGATTTTAATTTACTCATAAAAATCCTTGATTACATGGCGAAGATGTTTTAAATTACTGTGATCAGGAGATAAGAAAATACCAGCTGTACTTCAAATGAAGCCTTTCAGATAAATTATCATTTTTAAATTATGTCAGCATCATAATGTTATTCACAGCAACCATTTTTGTGACACATCTTCTTTTTGGTGTTGTCAGTTGGTGTTGGTAAAATTTAGTCTAACATATTTGTAACCATTTACAATAAACACCCATGTTGTTTACAATTTGTCATATTGGATTCACTTTGTATATCGTTATTATTTGCAGGTATAGTGTCATCAGAGTTCCACACATACAAGACCTTTAGTAACCTTATCCCTTACTCGACATATGTCTTCGAGGTCAACTTTGAGAATGATAAGCAGCCAGGACTCTACAGTGAAATAATTTTCAGAACACATCCTTCAAGTAAGTCTCCAGACACTTTTGGTATAAAGTCAATACTTCCTAAACCATGTCTGTCAGGTCACTTTTCATTTTTTCAATATAAATTTTTGGATTTGATGAAAAATTGTAGTAATTAAAGACGCAACATGTTCATAGTTTAGGCACGATTGGAATGCTGTTTGTATATTTGTAGAAATGAATGCTGCATTGCATTGATTACAATTGAACAAAATTTTATTTGTAGCTCCTGGTCAAGTAAAAACAGTCTCCTCAGCTCATGGCAAACAAACATACAGCTCTATTAGCATTCAATGGGTCGCCCCCTATCCTCCCAAAGGACGCATCATGTCGTATGACATCAAGTTCAAGACAACTGAAGGTCGAGCTGAATTTAAGAAGATTATTGGATCAGAAACTCGAGTTGTCATCGGAAACCTTTGTCCTGGCACAGAGTACCAGATATGGGTAAATAGAGATTATGATGAGGTTCAGGATATTGGAATTATCCCGAGGTCAATATGATATAAACTATTTGCTGCTCGTATATCTGGAATATTGGACACTTCACAAAACCAAGTACATTATCTTATCTCTAACTACAAGTATTTCAAAAGTTTAATTGTGTGAGAGTATGCAAAAGGATTGTTCAAATACTAGATGTCCAGTAAAGGAAATTATTCCATGAAACTCTAAATAAATCTGAAGAATACATCATTTTACAGTCAAGGAAATTATTCCATGCAACTATAAATCTCAAGAATACATCATTTTACAGTCAAGGAAATTATTCCATGCAACTCTAAATAAGTCTCAAGAATTCATCATTTTACCAGAATATCCAAATATTGTAATTTTTATGAGCTAGCTTTTGACATTTCAAAGGCTACTGTCTGTGTCTTAAATTAATGGGTTGTTTGGTTGTAGGTTCGAGCAGCTACAAGGGAAGGGGCTGGGGAGTGGAGTGAGGATATATGGGTTTCTACCTCACCTGGAGGTTAGTACGTATATTATGGGCATTTACCTTAAATGTATCTCATAGATTATGTCCACATTATATTTCAGATTTTTTATTCATAGAACTGATACTCTGATGAAAAAACTGGCAAATGAAGTCATGAAGGACATTCGGGAAACAATCATGAAAAATTTTCATACATTCCTGTGGTAACACGTCGGCTAGATTCATTTGAAATTTGATGATTGTTTTGTTCACTTTTCCAGCACCAAGTGACCCAGAAAGTCTACGCAATGTGTCTCGAAGTAGTACTTCATTAAAGTTAGAATGGATGGAACCAGCTAGATGTGCCTTCATTGTGAGATCGTACCAAGTACAGTGCATGATACCAAGTCTTCCATTCCTACAGTCAAGACCTACCACTGAGAGTCAGCCTCAGCAATATGAGGTATCTGACCAACATCAAATGTTCACTAATCTCCAACCAGGGAGTGAATATGTGTGCCAAGTAGTGGCCAAATCTAACTTTGGAGATAGTCACCCTGTGGAAATAAAAGTATGGACTTTGCCTGCAAGTAAGTTTTTGTTTACCCAATTTTAGTTACTTACAGTACACAATCTCAATAATCATTAGGGAGTTTAAGATATATAAAATGGAATGGCCAACCTATACGTATGGCCAATCGTCCATACAAATGCATCACTTAAATATCTCCCGTTCATGTTTAGGTTGTGAAAAACATTGCAAGCTTAAACTCCCTAATGTTTGAGTCCTCACCCTAAGTGGTGATATATTGTTTAGCCACAGTATTTTTGTGAGTAAAATAAGGAATCAGCATTGCATTCCCAACATGTCCCATCATGTTATGTCTTGTATATTAAAGTCAAAGTGGACAGATTTCATAGTCAGTTGCTTTACATGATTCAACTCAATTGCAAAATTATGAAAACTGTATTTGATAAATGTTGATGCCTATGGAATCACTAACATATCCATCAATCTTTCATCAACTTTTGAATAATGATAAATGACCTGAACTAATCCCAATATCCATTATATGGGGGTCCATGCTAGTTTACACCATTGGTTGACCTACTTTTGCCTAACTCACTTAAGAATACAGTGTTTATATCACATTGCCTGAATGAACATGGGATATTTATTATACTGTTCTCTATGTACATAAAAAAGTATATTTATAGATAGATATAGAATTATTGTATGGAGTTATTAGATCACTGACTATACATTTATGTTAACAAAAGTGTAACATTTGACTGTTTTGTAGGTCCTCCAGATGTGGCAGCCCCTGATCTTGTTTCTGTATCTGAAACGTCAGTGATTCTGCAGCTCCAGCCATTCCAGGCGCATCAGCACAACCTTGTTGAGTAGGTTTAATTATTAATCAGATTTAACCAGAATGTCTCATTTGCTGTTCAAGTTCAATAATTGACCCGTGGTTAGTTGCGAATAAAGTTAATGTGATATACTTGTATGTTTGAATTATTAATGTTAATATCTATGGATAATGTTCAATATGGAATTTGTAGTCAGTAACTTGTTTTAAATCCATTCACCATTCAAAAATTCTATTGCAGTAAATACCAAGTGGTTGTGCGACGTGTTGACTCAGACACTATTGTCAGTAGGAGACGGCGAAGCTTAGCAAACGAGGAACTTTCTGATTTTGCTACTGCTAAAGAGAATGGCCTAAACTACTACATTGCTGCAGAGATTCGCAAAGACCAGAAGGATCTCTTTGCTAAACCTATTGAGTTTACCCTTGGTGATGGCAAATTCTATGGTATATATTACAATGCTCCCTTGGAGAAAGGAGGACAGTACAACATCTCTGTAGGTGCCCTTAACTCCGCAGATGGTGTCACCTTTAGTAAATACACCCAGCTGCCAGTACTTGTCCTTCCAGGTAAGGATTCTTAATCAACACATTAAAGTTAATGCCATTGCAAAAATCAACAATTTTAAAAAGAATTTTTTGAAGACTGTGTTTGTAAAAATAAATAAATAATGTTGTTTACTTTATTCAACACCATTACACTCCCACACAATCCTAAGATTGTCATTGTCAAAGCCTGTACTTTAATAGATCAAGAGTTAATTAAGGAGCACCCATTTAGAGTGTTGATATACACATGCAAACACAGATTGTGCACATTATGTTTTAAAATGTTGTTTCAACTTCACAAACATCTAGTATTATTGAGCACTGTTTGTTGTAACTAATAACTGAATACATGTTTGTCTATTGTATACATAAAACTTTTATCTTTTTTGGTGGCAAGTATCACATACTGAACTTAAATATATGTTTGTCCAAATTGGCTAAATCTTACCTTTCAATAGAAATAGAACCCTGGGAAAGACTTCTCTCAAAACATTCCTTATTTATTTGTATTTTTGGTCTATGTGGGTTTTTTTAGGGAGTAGTCATTAAAGATATACATTTGAGCAATATAATAGTGATTACTTTAGTTGCTTACCTTCATTTATTACTAACCATATCTCTTTTACCATTTTCTTGATCTCACCTTAGTTGGGGGATAATTCATGGGTCTTTTTGGGGGAGGGTTGGCGGGTAAATACTTACAAGATTCGCTCAGATATCAAGAGCTACCTCCAGCCTCAATAAAAAATGGAAGGAAATTGATGATTTTCTGCGCATGCGCGTTGACCTACATTGAACTGTATTTCCTGGCAACCAGTTTTGTTTACATGCAAACTTCAGAATTGAAATGTTATAATTGACTAACTCCCATAAAAAACACATAAAACCAATTAATTTATTATTAATTGTTATAAAGTTTCGAGTAAGAGACATTACTGGAACAATTGTAGTTATGATAAAGTATTCTATCTTCTAGAGTTCATACAGATTTCTATGAAGTACTATATAAAGGCAGCTCAGTTAGAAGCTTGACAAAATCTTAATGGTTTTCTGGCTTGTATAAGGCACTGGATAGTTCCTGTATCTATCATAGTGACTGTCAATATTGACTGTATTCACACCGGAATAGCCTGACACGATACCGTTGTCACAAATGGCGGACATAACCGTCACTTCAATTAGATTTTCATGAACTGTATGTTTAATAGAGCACTTTAGGATTGCCTTAGGATTCAAAAAGTGTTCTGGTAATGTAGGTTATGGTATAGGGAATTTTTTTTTCATAGTTTTCAGAAGAACAAATTATGAAAATATTGAGATGATTTTCCAATACAGAATTTATCCAACTTCATGCAAATCTTCCAAATATATATCATAAATTCATCACAAAAAGATTCATGATTTGTTCCTTATATACCTTTATATGATAAGCATCCCATTTTGGGGACAAGGGTTAATGGGAGTTGATACTTATCACTTGCTATCCATTGTTTGTTGTGTTGTAGTAGTAACCCCACCTCCTCCAGGCTCCAACAATGGTGTCATAGCAGCCATAGTTACTACTGCCATTCTTCTAATTCTTCTCATAGTAGCAATCGCATTTATCTTCTATAAAAGGTAACTTTCACTCCATGCAACATGTTTAGTTGTGAATCAAATATTTGTGTACCATCCTCTGTTGTAGCTGAGCTGTAGTTGTGGGGGAAGAGAGGTGGTGGGGAGAGATGGTTACAGATAATTGATGCTCAATTAAAGATGACATAGTGGTCACACTTGTAACTAAAAGAATGCTGTGAATATTGTAAACTTATTTGAGTCCATTTCTCAAAAAATGTAATGTTTGCAAATTATCCTTTCTCAGATTTATGGAGTTGATGCCATTAATAGGCAATTGATTTTGGATTCATAAATTTAAAATGTTTTGGAGAAATTGACAAATTTGGTATAAAATTATGGAATATTCAAGGAAAATTATTATTATGAGTTATGGCCACTAGTACTGTGTATATTTATTTTAGAGGGAGCATTTCCAGCAAATATTGTGCCATATTATTTAATTGACGATATTAACTTATAGCTAGAATATTGCTGGAAATTCCTTTTATTTGATGTTGAAATTCTTGTGTTATGGACAATGATCCCATGACAATGAGATGATCTGTGAAATGAAGCCCTCTGATTGGTCAGTTCTTGTGCTGTACCAATCTGTATTGCTACTGAGTCCCCATTGATCATCTCCGTAGCTGTACAGAAAATATTGGTACGGAGGGGACAATTTCAGTAGCAACAGAGAATGGAGAAAATTTCCTTGGGATTATCTTCTAAGTAAAATGAATTGACCTAAGATCACACGATAAGAACGTTATAGGATGATTTGAAGTGCAATACAGGAAATATTCTGCCCTCGTGCCAGTACATAATATCTCGATATTCTGTATTGGCAGAATATATCCTGTATTGCACTTTAGACCATTCAATAACTTAAAGTCCAGGGCAACTATATAGCTATTTGGCATATTAAAACACAAGAATTTCACAATTTTTATTTATTTATTTATTTCATTTGTGTGAAAAATTAAGTCAATATGAAGTAACTTTGTCTTCAGATTGGATACTTTATCAGGTTAGTTATCCCATCGAACGAAGTTCGGAGGGATATAGGGAACGCCTCCGTCCGTCCGTCCGGGCAATAACTCAAATACCGTTGGCCTGATTTTGTTCATATTTTGTACACATATACCCTATGGGGGTAGAAGTTCTGCTCGAAAGCCGATTTTCAAAATGGCCACTCATTTCAAAATGGCAGCCATTTTAGTGCCGATTTTACAGTAATTTAGGTGCAATATGTAAAACTGTAATAGCAATATGTTTTAAATGTAAAAAAATTATAAAGGACATTAATAAAGCTACAAATGTAGGTATTAAAAAAGCACATGGCAGCCATCTTGAAAAATGGCGGCCTTTACTCTTTATTTTACGATTTTTGCTGTAACTCGAAAAGTAGTGGAGCGATTTTGTTCATATTTGGTATGTGAATACTATAAACATTGCACACTGTCTAAAGACACTTTTGGTAGAAGGCGGCCATTTTGAAAAATGGCCGCCATTTTAACGTTTTTTACTATAACTCGAAAAGTAGTGGAGCGATTTTGTTCATATTTGGTATGTGAATACTATAAGCATGGCACACTGTCCTATGACACTTTTGGAAGAAGGTGGCCATTTTGAAAAAAAATTTGAAAAATGGCTGCCATTTTAACATATTTTACTATAACTTGAAAAGTAGTGACGCGATTTTGTTCATATTTGGTATGTGAATACTATAAGCATGGCACACTGTCTAAAGACACTTTTGGTAGAAGGTGGCCATTTTGAAAAATGGCCGCCATTTTAACGTATTTTACTATAACTCGAAAAGTAGTGACGCGATTTTATTCATATTTGGTATGTGAATACTATAAGCATGGCACACTGTCTAAAGACACTTTTGGTAGAAGGTGGCCATTTTGAAAAATGGCCCCATTTTAACGTAATTTTCTATAACTTGAAAAGTAGTGAAGCGATTTTGTTCATATTTGATTTGTGAATACTCATGAGCCTTGCACACTGTCTCATGACACTTCGGATAGTAGGTGGCCATTTTAAAAAATGGCTGTCATTTTACATTTTTAACTATAACTCGAAAAGTAGTGGAGTGATTTTGTTCATATTTGATATGTGAATACTCTAAGCATGGCACATTTTCTAATAAAACTTTGGGGAGTAGTCGGCCATTTTGAAAAATTACAAGTACATGTGTGCGATTTTTCAAAAATTTTATAGGTGGCTTCTTAAAAGCATATTATTTCTTCTGATGACAACTTGGCTAGTGAGCAACCATTTTGAAAATGGTGGCCTTTCTGGTGTGTTGTTTTATGATATTTGCTATATATTTCGTTTGTAAAAATGCCAGCCATTTCTGTTCGATGGGATTCGCTACGCTTTGGCGTTGCCGTTGTTCTGGTTATTATCTTGACAGCCTGATTCTGTTTTCAACTACACATAATGTACTATACTCTGCAGTCTTTTTTGAATTTTTTTTGTTGTACATTGAGTTGCTTTTCATGTGGACCTTCAAATATTATAATATACTTAAAACTTTTAGTTAAATCTAAATGTGCAAATTGACTTCTTAAATATGTTCAATTTGATGACATAACCTTACAATCAAAACATGTATTCGCAAGTGAATGAACCAATTAAATATACAGGAATGGCCAAAAAACCAATACCCAAGTTTAAAGATGAATAATTCATATGAATCATGCCATGTATTATATATCATGTTAAAGATAAATCATTTCCTAACAATATGACACCATCCGATCGAAAAACCTTTGTTTTTTGTGGATTTAAAGGCTAAGATTAACACAGTGTATAAATATACCTCTAAGTTCAAATTTTTCTCTACTTTCCACAATTTAGAAATCTACAGGGAATAATTTTTTGTCGCTCGTGATACTCCTGGTGTCAATTTCAGGCTCTAACTCCACAAAAAACAACGATTTTGATTATCTTTAAAATGATATACATGTATAAAACATGGCATGATTTAACATATATCATGATGTTCATCTTTAAACTTTGGTATTGGTTTCTTTGGCCCACCCTGTAGTAATGTTTAGAGTTAAAACAATAATTGATGTTGATGTCACTATAGGAGACAGCAACCAAAGAAAGACTATGCCTTGGCTGAGAGAGATGAGTCTCTTATATCAACAGCAAGCAAACCATCAGCTTCAGGTAGTGTTTCGTTGTTACATGTAGACTTCTGTTTTAAAGATATGCCAAATTTTTGCCACAATATAATAAACTGCTTTACTGTCCATTACAATCTCATGCAACGTCTTCATGCTGTTGTCACCCCAAACCTTTAAATATCTAAGTGAATACATTGAAGAGTTACTAATATATAACATTTGAGAGACAATAAAATGATTATAAGACTATCAGTCTTTCAGGTCTTTGTGCAGTTCTATGTTGACTTGAAAGTTTAAATGAATTTCCATACAGATATCTTAAAACATGTTTTGGCATAAGTATGAGCATTTTATTTTAAAATAATTGATTGTTGTAGATAGATTTCAACTTTTTCTAGATAATCAACTGAAAATTGTATGTTAGATGTACGTTTGGCCCTAAAAGGGTATCAGTACAAATAAATCCTATTATATATATCAATATCCACTCATGGATAATGATATTTTTTTAATAGTTAATTGTCACCACACAAATCCATCAATTGTTTTTCATGAATACTCCATTTATTTGATTGTTAGAATCTGCTGGTGACCTCTCTGAGATGTTACCTCTGACTGGAGATGTGGAGTCTGACTCTGAACCTCTGTACAGCAATTATGACATTCACAAGGCCATTAAAATAGATGACCTCTGGCAACATATCCAGACTAACAGGGAAAGCAAAGACACTGGGTTCAAGCAGGAATACCAGGTAAATGTACATGTACAACAGAGCCATCAATATCACAGGATCCAATTATAATACCTTTTGCATGTGATATTTTCTTAGTAGCCGTTATAAGGTTGGAATAGGTCCATTAAAACAAGATCTTTCATTGTCAATTCATTTTTGCTATCCTGGAAAAATACATGCACTATTCAAATTAACTCAAACTGAATTTTTCTATGACTTCAGAAACTGCCAGCAGGGTTAAAGGCGAAGACTGAAATGGCTAAAGCTCCTGGAAATAAGGGAAAGAATCGTTATGCCAACATTGTGGCCTATGATCACTCTAGGGTGATTCTAGAAAAATTGGAAGATGACCCACATTCTGATTACATCAATGGTAACTACATCGATGTAAGTAAAAGCACATGAAAGCTTACCTACAATTCAAAGTTTAAACTCAGCAACAGGCTTGCATAGACAGAAAAAATGAAGTTTTAAAGTGCATTGAAAAATCCCTAAATTTGATTTGCAAAATACTTTCTTTGCATTATTATTAGTTCATTTTATTTGCATAATGATTCTTCATTAAGTTCAATTATAATTCTTAATTTAACATTACATTATTTTATTGATTCCAGGGCTACAAAAAGTCTAAAACTTATATCGCAACACAAGGACCAAGTCCATTAACTAAAAATGACATATGGCGGTTGGCATGGCAACAAGATGCCTCAGTAATTGTCATGGTTACAAACCTCATTGAGGATGGAAGGGTAGGATTTCATTTATATAATATTCCTCCAATTTGAATTGATTTTTCAACTCAAGTCATTAAAAAGTGTAATATATTGATTAAAAGGGGACAGAAAAAGTGTAATAGTTTGAATGAATGTTTATTTGGTTGATTCTTTAGAAAAAGACATGTCAAGGAATATATGGGGCAAAACTAGTATATATATTGAAAAAAACCTTCAAAATATGATACATGTGCTATATGGAAATTGCAGAAAAAATGTGAGCAGTATTGGCCAGACACTGAGGAAGGTGCTGGTTGCTATGGAGAAATCACAGTGCAACCACTACAAACGCAACGATTCTCAGACTTTGTCTTTAGGAAATTCACTATATCTAAGGTGAGTTAAGATGTAAAATTTACCAATGATTATAACAACTGGGATGGGCAAAACACTCAAAATGACACATATTTAGGCAAAATGACTTGCATGATTTTAGGGGACTATTAGAAGTTTAGGAGTCGGATCAATATTTCAGTGTCCCTCTAAAGAAGCAATTAATTATGTAAGGGGGGGGGGTTAACAACATTTTTTAGTTTCCCGGGGTTTTGTCTTCTGCAATTTCTGGTTTAACAGGCATAGTATGATCATTAAATATACTTAACAGATAATATGTACAGTATAAAGAGAGTTTGAAATGTTTTGTAATATAGCAGTAACAGATATTGTATGCAGTGGGGTTGTTCTTCTAATATGCATGCATGCAATTTAAAATTTTGACTTGTTCAAACCAGATGTGAATCAACATTTTGACTTTCGTTTGAAGGGGGGGTTAATACCTAACTATTGAAATATTGACCCAGCCCCTTAGCACTACATCTATTTATTTGAAGTTCATTTTTACATGTAGTTCTGAAATTATAATTTTCAAAGGTAATGTTCTTACAGGGGCAGGAGAAAAAGTCAGTTACGCAGTGTCACTTTATAGGCTGGCCAGATCATGGTACCCCAGCCTATGCTACTGCGCTTCTACAGTTCCGACGTAAGGTATTAGAATGCTTCCAGGCTAACAGGGGACCTATGATTGTACACTGCAGGTGAGTTCTTCAGATATCAGGAATGACTACAATGTTTTTTTGTTTTTTAAAGCTTGAGTTATTAGATTTAAACTGATTTTAAAGGATGGAAAGTGAAGTGAGCATTTCCCTTAGAAATGACTGTATTTAAAAAAAGTAACATGTACTTTTATTACAGTGCTGGTGTGGGTCGTACAGGGACCTTCATATCCCTGGACTATTTGATCCAACAGGGTGAGAAAGAGGACAAAGTGGACATATTCTCCTGTGTACACTTGATGAGGACCCAGAGGGTGAACATGGTACAAACACTGGTATGCACATTACTACTAAGTTAACTTATTTTGTTGGTAAGATGTGGAAGTTTTGGTTTATGTTGAGGTAACATTACATTTTTCCTTGCAGATCATCCATATTTTGGAATCTCTGCACCATGTAATACAAGAATACTTCAATTTAATTATGAACCATTGTCTTCTACTCCTTTGAGCAAGGCTTTCATTGACTTTAATTTTACCTGAGTCCCTTTCTGTATTGGATACTTACCTACATCCCTGCTACAAGAGTTCATATATTTCTCTGGTGATTTCAGGATCAGTATATATTTGTACACAGTGCTCTGCTTGAACACTTTAAGTGTGGAGATACCACCATAAAGGTAGGAGATCTGGTCAACACTTACACTGTACTATGCGATAAGAACCCTATCACAGAGAAGTCTTGGATTGAAGAGCAATTTGAGGTAAATTTTTCTTTTTGATATTTTCATCAATTGTAATATTAAACATATGCAAATTGTCCAGCATTTAATGCAAATGCAAAATTCATTCTCCAGAAGTTTAACTTCATTGCATTCTATCTTTCTCTCTGCAGACCTTTGGTTCAGTTGATAACTTTACTTTTCTAGTTAATGACCCTGATGAGTCCAACCAGAAGTAGGAGGAGTATGACAATGAGTGGACTGGAACCCCAAAATGAAGACAAGAACAGAGATAAAGCTATTGTACCAGGTAATAATTTTCTCTATAAGTGTTTGCAAGAATATGATTGTGTGTGTGCTATTCAGTTTTTGTCTCCCTTATATGGAATCACCACTCATCTGTTTGATGCAATGTCAACAATTTTGGAAAATGAAAACTGCCATTAGTCCACTATTGCTCATGTCCATTTTATGGAGTTTACACTGCTTAATCACCCCATTTATTCCATCTCTTACCTTTGCCCTTTTTAGGGGGAAATTGACTATTTTGATGTACATGACAACATTTTTTGAAAACGAGTCAGCCTAACGAATGGTGCCATTTTTATAAATTATTGATGGATGAAAAATTAACCGATTTTTGTTGCAGGAGACCATTGTCGACCATTCCTCTCTACCCAGGTAGATGGGCTCACTGACTACATTAATGCAGTCTTCATAGATGTAAGTATATTCTCATATATGGAGCAGCATGAAAAAGATGTAAAGCACAAAGAGATATAAAACCCATTCATTGTTTTATGACTGGTTATTAGGTAATTTGTAATTTATTTTTTAAAGAAAATTGTTTCATGATCAATCAAATCGCTATTTCCAAATTACTCATAAGCATGTATGCAAATATGAAAGATTTATAATTGGAATGTTTGTTTGTTTAAACATACAATAATGTATGCTGTAGGGCTATAGAAGAAAGTACCAATACCTGCTGACTCAGATGCCTTTGCCTTCTACAGTGATAGACTTTTGGAGAATGGTGTATGATCACAAGTCCTCTACCATTGTCATGTTAAATGAACTGGATAAAAATGATGAAGTAGGGATGCATTTGTTATTACATGGAATATTTTTTACATTTAATTTGAATAAAAGGATTTGGATTTCCTCTACATGCTCGTTTCCCAGATATTTTTACAGTTATGGATTTTTTAGAGCAAAATTCGCTTTAAAACATTTTAAACTGATTTCTTAAAATCAAAGTCTTTAGAGCCCTGAACAAATGAACCTCAGCAAAGCAATTATTTTAGAGCTTCAATATACCAAAATAACTAGTTGATTTTAAAGGAGTGACATTAAATCTCACTTTATTCTGAAGCAACATTTATTGAGTGCACCTGTTACATTGTAGACATGTGTGGCATACTGGCCAGAAAGTCCAGGTGAACAGAAGTATGGTCCCTTCACTATAGAACTCACAGACCTGGACAACAGTCTCAATGATGTCATCATACGTCAGTTTAATATCACATGTTCATGTCAGTCGTGTAGTTTCAGAGTGAGTAATACATTTAGATGTAGTAGCTTTATATATCGTGCACATAACTTATTTCCACATTTTGAGAAAGCTAAATGTTAATACATGTATGAGTATTAATTACTGAAATGACGATTTACATTAGAGCAATAAATGTTAGAAAAGGGGGTTTTAGAATATAAATTATGAAGGCTCAAAAAGAATCATTTTGGATTTATTGGTTTCCACCTGTTATCCAACTCAATGATGTCATCTTATCTGTTAAAATAGTTATCAATATTTTGAATTAACAGTCTATTGAGGTTAGTAAAAAAGAAATTCTCTCATATCAAGAAATATTTTTTTGACCAAATGTTTGTTATGATTTTAGCCTAGGCCCTTCACAATGAATTGTATTTCATTCACTTGAATTCATCATGCAAATAAAAACCATATACTAAAGAAAAAAATTCCATTTAGGGTAAGGCTGAGACAAAGACGATATGCCAGTTCCAGCTGACACGCTGGCCTAAAGACTCTGACCTCCCACAGAGTGAAGATGCCATGCTGACATTGATAGAAGCCGTCAATAAGTGGCAACCTGTAGAGAAACCAGGACCAATCACAATCCATTGCATGTATGTATTGACCAATCAGGCTTTTCTAATATTTTCTATATGCACTAATCACTAATTGCTATTATCTTCCAATTAAATTGATTGATTTGTTGTCAAAAAAACGTTTTAAAGATTTTGTATGTTGATAATCCTCAATTCAATAAACTTTTTTGAATAAATAACTTTCATAGCTTTCTAATCAGTTTCTCAATTTAAACACTTCTAATGATATACTATAAAATATTTATTAAGAAACAGACATGTCAAATTTCCATATAGGTAGCTTTCAAGTTATATGCTGTGTGCAAGTCTAAAGAGAATTCACGGCATATGTACATATGATTAGAGAGAATGCCTACTGTATAAAAAACTTTCAAAGAAAAAAGTTCATATCATATTGATAAATCTTTCCACGCAGGAATGGTGCCAGTCGCAGTGGTCTGTATTGCGCCCTTAGCTACAGCAAAGAGAAGCAGGCCTCTGAAAAGGAAGTGGATATATTCCAGGCAGTGAAGCATGTCAGGATAAACAGACCTGAACTAGTCAATTCTCTGGTGAGTTTTAGTTTGAACTGTAGCTTTCAGTATTTGTAATAAATATCAGTCAATCTTTATGGTCATTTTCCAGTGAATAATAGACTAGATATATTTTACAAGGTGTAAACATTTGAAATGTGTAGTTTTTAATCACACTTTGAAAAGTGCTATATTGGCATAGTTTTGTGCTGATGGGCATGTATCTTTAAAGACAGGTGGCCAGGCGCGATTAAATCTTGTCATCAACATGCAAACTTCCAGCAAAATCTCTTATCCATTCAACTTGAACTTTTGACATACTGTTTCAGTATTTTCACTTTTTGTAATAAACATCAGACAATCTTTATGGTCATTTTCCAATGAGTTATAGACTAGATATATTTTACAAGGTGTAAACATTTGAAATTTATAGTTTTTATCACACTTTGAAAAGAGCTATATTGGCATAGTTTTGTGCTGATGGGCATGTATCTTTAAAGACAGGTGGCCAGGCGCCATTAAATCTTGTCATCAACATGCAAACTTCCAGTAAAATCTCTTATCCATTCAACTTGAACTTTTTACATACTTTTTCCTGTGTATGCAAGGGCAGACTAGTGACAACATGTGATTTAGGTTTATGGCATGCTGGGTAAAAAACATGGCTGTCATTTTGCTCTCCAGAGTGTGCTATTTATCAGTGTTTGTTCTCTTGTTAAAAAACTAAAATGAAACATGTTTACAAACAGTCAATGACTGAATTCTGAAGGACATTTAGAAATATAATCATTCTTATTTGTAACTTTCAGTCCCAATACCAATACTGCTACCAAGTTGCCTTGAGGTACATGGAGAAAACAGAAGAAGAAGCCAATACAGATGAAGTGATTTATGCCAACACAGAGACTGATAACAACAGCTTGTACATGAATGTTGGCTAGAACTCTCATGTACAAGTGAATGTGTACATGATTGTATCTGCAGCATACGTTTGGGTAAAAATTCAGTCTCACTCAGTTGGCACGTGCAACCTGTATTATAACTCAGACAATCTTTAACATTGCAATTTGTAGATGAGCACTCCATTACATATCAAAAATCTGTGTTATGTATGATCTCTGTCATCTGTGTTTATTATGTGAATGTTTTCATATATATGAGATTTAAGGTAAGATTTTGTAATACCTTTTTGTAATGGCAGTGGTTGAGATTTATTAAATTTAAAGTGTGCGCCAAAGTTTAAAACTGCGCAGGCGCACCGCTCTCGCTAAACTATATAAAGAGATTGCCCGGTACACGATTCAGAGGTAAGCCAGGAAGGCGAACGATCTTCGTCTCGTGATGATTTCCCATATAATCTTAACCAGGGAAGTTTCAACATTGAAATTGAAAATTACTATTAGATATACTTTGTAGATGTTATTTATGAAGCTATTTAGTGTTTGCATCAATCAAATGGCTCATTTTGAACATATAAAACGTATTTGTGTTTTGTTTCCCAGGGAATTGTATTGTATGTAGTACACACATAAATAGTGTACATTATACGTGAATAGCCTGGTTTACATAATATTGAAGGGCATGCTGATTACATGCACACGAGTACATGAATGAAGGCCTAATATTGATATACGTAGCTTGCATACCTAAATAAAAAATAAACTCTTCTAATCCCCTAATGTAAACACGGCGGTATACGTAGCCCGATTTATCGGGGACTTTAAAGGATTGAAATAGTGACAATTGATACAACGAAATAAGCTATTTATGGCAATATGAACTTATAGGGTTCACACATTTTCTGATATTTATTATAGAACTGATGTACTAGTATTTATACTCTAACTTGCCGATTTTATGATACCTAATAAGGCAAAATTGTATTACATCCCAATATGAAGTGACAGCTTAATGATGTCCGTTGGAAGAATTTGAAAATGATCGCAACTGACCTCTAATTTTTTTTTAATGTTTGAAGGATATACCTTAAAGGTGTGAAAATGAGTTACAGAAAAACTTAAATACTCCAAAGTTTCTCTTTCGGGTGAAAATCTCATTTTTTCAATACAATACCATGCCCGCTTTTGTCAAAATGACACAAGGGGCCTCTGGCTAAGAAAAAACACTTCATCAACATATAATTTTAGGGATTTTATATTGATTGTTGCCCACTGGGATCTTAGAAAACCATAATTGAGAAAAAGTTTGATACTGTGACAAAAAATTCCAAACCTCCATTGAACATCATTAAAAATGATTATAAAAGGTGCTATTGTTTTTCCAAGCCAAATAAAAAGCTAATCATTTCATTGTTGTAAAACCAAATTAAGATGCAATCGATAATTGTAATAATGCAATATCAACCACAATTTGAATGTGTGATATCATGTGAATATTGTCTAAGCTGGGCATAATAGTGTGTAGGAAGATGAAGAATCTCAATGCTTATTTGAAAACACTTCAAGAGAATTTTTGTCTCAGCTTTACATTCGATAATATCAATGATTTAAAGTATTATCATCAAAGGGTAAAGATATGAAAATATATTCAACAGTACAAGGTATCCTTAAAGTTCAAGTAACATTACTGAGATTAAACTTTTTATGGGACACCCTGTAATTTTCTTTGAATTGTTTACATTGTGTAATGTTGACAGGCTGTGCATGCCTGTCTGGCTTATTAAAGTAGCATGTACATCTACATGATGAAAGATTCATTAGCTAATCAGTTAATACACTCTTCCCTACCACTTGACCAAATTTAAAAGGGATACAGGCTACAGTGAAGTTGCAAATGGAGCAGGTATTCTCTTTTTTTGTCTATAGGGCTTTCTGGTAATAAAACACCGCAAACTGATTGTTGAATCTATACAATGTATAAGAACACTTGGAATATATGTAAAATCTAGTATACCTTCGGAAATATGGAAATAAACATATGTCCTCCATTTGCAACTTCACTGTACTGAGATTAAACTTTTTATGGGACACCCTGTACCCTGTATCCCTTTTAAAGAAATACAGGTTACTGTATGGGGGTAAGGTAGAGTGAAATACTGTTATAAACTTGATTCATTATTTTGGCTCAGAATGTTCCAACACATTCATAACATTACTTTTGTTGTATAGATGTCAGGCAGAGTGCTTTAGATAGTTCATGATATGTGCAATATTGCTATCTACAGTAAAACCTTTATGAGGAAATACCTCTGTATATTATTTGAACACTTTTAGCAACGTCTCTGTTTATTTTAGAGGAACGTATGTTCATATTTTATTAACTGTTATTTTCAGCCAAGTTTAAGAGTTGGATGAGATCAGAATATCAATGTTTACCAAATGTCAACCTGAACTTGATGTTAAGCCTCCTTTATTCAACTACTGGAAATTCTTTCAAAATAATGTGTGTATTTTTAGATTCTCTGAGATTAGGTGCTAATGGTTTTAGAGCATCTGCATGTTGGTGACTATGACATTTTGATCTGATTCCAAAAGAGTAGTATATGCTATCAATGTAAATAGTTGTATATGATGTAGCATCACATTTATTTTTGTACTTTAAAGTTGCATTTTTGAAGTGCGAGCAATTAATAATGTATTAGACATATTTTAGTATGAGAACCGTGCCAAATGCTTATGCCATATATTTAGTTTAGTAATCTGTCAAAGTGCCTAGATTGACTGCTGAAAGTTTAGGATAAATGTTACTATGTATTTTCCACACAACGTATGTCTTATCAAAATAGACCGTCTGAATTTTTGGCAGTTCTGTGCAATTTAGAATCAAGCTACATGCCTATGTATGCTATATGTTACATTTGTCTTTATTTTCCCTTTGTCACTCTGAAAGATGGCCAGGGAGTCATTTTATTCCTGGGAGTCCAGGGACTTTTGGTGCAGTAGATCAGGTGTCTACACCTGTACACATCACCTGTGTGGCTATGTATCTATAGGTCCAAGGTCAACACTTTACAGATGTCCTAGTCACCATCCTCTCATTTGGGATTATCTCAAACATTTTGCACTGAATTATATCCGTTTTTGTTGAGGAACATATTTTTGGAAGTGCAATATCTAAAAGAAAAAATTGTTTTCACCAAACAGATTTTTTGAATTGTGATTTTAAAAAAGAGGTTCTTCACAGTAATTAAATTGTTCAACATCAAAATCTGTAAAAATTGACGCGAAACATATGAGACAACACCTAAACAGCAGCATATCAGGACACATTGTGAAATGTCTATTCTAAATATACCTGGCTTTGTATAGAAAGTATATTAATCAGCTATTATGATTGTACTTCGAACTATGTATGTAAGAACCAAGGTGCCAATATTTGACCAGGTGCAAAATTCATATAATCAAAGTCTCCAATAGTTAGGCCCTTACAAAAGCATTATCTGTTTATTTAATAGTGTTATGCAGAGCCCACAGGGTGATTATCTAAATGTAAAAACTTCTGTCGTGGTCAAAGGATTTGAGTAAAAGAAAAAGCCTGGTTACCAGGTCTTTTTTCAACAACAAATTATTTCTGCTATACACCCTGCTGATGGGGTTCTTAGTTGATGTGATATCTGAGATGATTATGTTCATTTGTCATAATCATAAAGTCATAATCATGTTAATGATTATGTTTGATTGTAATTAGTTAAAGTTTTTAAATTGTTAAAATAATGATTTGAAAAAAAGTTAGATGAAAGTTCACATTTTTATTATATTATTTAATAATGTTAACCTTATCATATGTATACTCATGTACATAGCCTTGTTTAGGTTCATCCAGGCTCATACATATCCAAAATCCAAATATAGGTGGTATATATATGTGCATACACCATGCGTTATTATAAAAATAATGTGATTGTAGAAGAATCTCTTTGTTTTGGAAAACATTCATTTTTGTGTATCTTATCTCATGTATCTCATGTATTTTAACTCATTATTATTTTATAGGCAAGTTAAAGAAGTTTATAGCAATAAGATTTCTATCCTCAGCCCAAGATCATAATTAATGACAAAGATATATTTTTGGATCATTGGCTTATCTATTGAAAAGATTGCCTCTGGCATTTTTGATCCCACTTTAAATATGAATTTGAATTCAAAATTGTAACCTGTTTTATGGCCTTATGTTTATGTTTATTTGCCATAAACAGGTAGTTCTGCATTGATGGTGATTTACAAGGTTTGCTCTGAATCTGACATAAGAATGATGTATGACTGAGTTTAGTGCTTTGGTTTAATGCCTAGTGCATAATCTGATATGTGCATCACTTTCAAGGGCATTGACTTGAACATTTCATTTGAAGGTTAAATATGTGGCAATGATATTATGTTTCCTCTATAACCAAGTGCTGTCAAATCAATTTGTTTTACTTTTATTGGGGGTAACTAATGTTTAAACAAACAAGTCATGTTTTTTGATTAAGTGGTATACTAAGAATTAAGAATTGAGAGAATGTTCGAAGAAATTTTTAACTCAGATCTGGATATAGTGATAAAAGAACAATTAGACTAATGGTGCAATACACTTTTTTCATTTTATGTAAAATAAAGTGGGAATTCTATGTTAATGGTATATGAACAGTTGAAACATTATGCAATTTAGTATTAATTTCTGATCAGTATGGTCTAGATCTAGAGATTCAGATCTTTAAACTTCTTTATCATACATTTCCTGTATATTTTGAAAGTTGTTATTCAGATACATCTTGAAACAAAATACTGTACCTTTTCTATAACCAGAAGTAATGTTTCTGGTTTAAGCATCGTGGAATTGTTTTGTATTTATTCCATGCCATCCACTTTCTTAGAGTTGCCATATGCTTGACATATGAATTATGTAAATATGTCATTAGTATATTGCATTTGATCAGTGTGTTAACGTCCATTACTGTTTTTTCTACATTTTGGAACAATCAGTTCGGTGCCAGCTGATAGTATTAAATGAACAATCGTTACAATTGCAAACTCATTACTGAGAACAATGCACCATTTATTGTATCTATCTCTCTCAAAAATGAGGTTGGACATTATTACTCATTCTTAATGTTTATTTAACATTTTTGTAAAACAAGATGAAAGCATAGCTTTTATGCATTTGATGATTCCATCAATGCTGTATCATTCTAGCACACCGCTCTCAAATGACGTGACTTGACACATCAGTTCACAGTTATTGGTCCACAGCAGGATGATGGTGGTGATGATGATGGTGGTGATGATGTCATCCAATATGCTTGTAAAACATTTGATTTTAGCTATGGAATTTAGATTGTAGATTGCAAATATCCCGCGAAGCAAACAAATAAAGTTCTGGTTGTAAAAGAATTACGAAGAAATAGTCAAACATCTCTGAAATATACAATCTCAAATTACATTTTTTGGCAGTGATGGAACTACATTAACTCAAACGAGGGGGATGATCAACATCCATTTCAGTGTCATCCCAAGCAAAGATGTTTTCTTATGAATTCTCTTAATTTAGGAGATGTTTGAGCATTTCTATGAACAGGGTTAGTTTACAAGCTGTATCAGTTTGCATGACAAAATACTTGGAATCCAGGTTTACTTGAAATCAAACAAATTTTGGCCACCATCTTGGATGATACTAACTTCTGCGTGCTTGCTGTGGACCAGTGATAATGTAAAACATGTCCTCAGAAGATTCCTCAAACTATTGTGGATGTGTACCGAACTGTAGGTAGATTATCAGAAAAATATTTTGATTGTGGCTTAACTAATTTTCTGATTGAATTTCCCTTTTATGTAACAAAACTGATTGCTGAGTTTACATTCTCACACAGATATTTGTTCGAAAATTGTTTTTCTAATCTGAGAATTGAAACACAAGTCATTGTTTATTATGTGTATCCTGGTGCTTTAAATCTACTTAAGATATAATTTTGTCCTGTAACTAGACATGTATGTATATCTACATGAAGAGCTATAATACATAATTGTATACTGAAAAAAATATATATCAAAGAAACAGTATTTTGAAATCTTAATTATTATTTATCTCAAAAGTGTTTTTATGAATGCCTCCATTGACCAGAAATATTATGAATTGATGTATGTTGTACACGTGTATATCCAAATGGCAGGTTTTAAGTATACACTTGAGTTCTTTATTTATTTATGAGGATTTAAATACTGGGGTTGAATGTCTCCTTTTGAACAATTTAGAAGTCTGGGCACCTGTTTTGATAGCATTTTGTCCAGGGCCTGCCCTACATTCATGTCACCCTGGACAGCAAGCAAAGACTGAATGCAATTTTGAAATTAATATGGATGGTTTTGCAAATTTTGTACAAATAAAAGTTTAGGTCAGGCCATCTACAACTGTTTTTGATGTTATGAGTAATTGCCATCAATTTTTCAATTTTTCTTCAACATGTATTGTAATGGCTTCAGTATGAATGAAATGTCCCTTGGTGTTCTGGTCCTGGATTGTGATGTTGGTTGTCGATTGGAGAGGGAAGGGGGGTGCTAGGCATTATTTCTTTTCACGTTCATGGTTTTGGGATATATCGGGTCTAATTTTCTTATGACAGGTTTACTTAGAGTTTGCTTTTCTTGCTAGGTTTCTTTACATTTTTTTGTCCTTTCCCTTTGGCATTTGTGCTTGGATATTTGTGTAACTTAATTCTAATCAGTTTATATTCATGCCAACAATCTGAAGGAAGTGCAAATCGCATTGCAATTAAGACAATTTTTAGCCAGCCTCAATACAAGAGAACTTTTCACTAATGCTGTTGTCAGTATTCTATGTTACCTCAATACAAGAGAACTCTCAGCCTACACTGTAGTCAATGTGTTGCCTAAATAGAAAAGAACTTCCAGCTTACATTTAACTTAGTCAGTATGTGACCTCAGCACAAATAAACTGTCAACTTACACAGTAGTCAGTATGTGACCTCAGTACAAGAGAACTGTCAAATTACATTGTAGTCAGTATGTGACCTCAATACAAGTGCACTGTCAAATTACAATGTAGTCAGTATGTGACCTTAATACAAGAGAACTGTCAAAATACAATGTAGTCAGTATGTGACCCCAATACAAGAGCACTGTCAAATTACAATGTAGTCAGTATGTGACCTCAATATAAGAGAACTGTCAAATTACATTGTAGTTGGTATGTGACCTTAATACAAGAGAACTGTCAAAATACAATGTAGTCAGTATGTGACCCCAATACAAGAGCACTGTCAAATTACAATGTAGTCAGTATGTGACCTCAATATAAGAGAACTGTCAAATTACATTGTAGTCGGTATGTGACCTTAATACAAGAGAACTGTCAAAATACAATGTAGTCAGTATGTGACCCCAATACAAGAGCACTGTCAAATTACAATGTAGTCAGTATGTGACCTCAATACAAGAGAACTGTCAACTTACACTGTAGTTAGTATGTGACCTCAATATAAGAGAACTGTCAAATTACATTATAGTCAGTATGTGACCTCAATATAAGAGAACTGTCAAATTACACTGTAGTTAGTATGTGACCTCAATACAAGAGAACTGTCAACTTACACTGTAGTCAGTATGTGACCTTAATACAAGAGAACTGTCAAATTACATTGTAGTCAGTATGTGACCTCAATATAAGAGAACTGTTAAATTACATTGTAGTCAGTATGTGACCTTAATACAAGAGAACTGTCAAAATACAATGTAGTCAGTATGTGACCCCATTACAAGAGCACTGTCAAATTACAATGTAGTCAGTATGTGACCTCAATACAAGAGAACTGTCAAATTACAATGTAGTCAGTATGTGACCTCAACTGTCAAATTACATTGTAGTCAGTATGTGACCTTAATACAAGAGAACTGTCAAATTACAATGTAGTCAGTATGTGACCTCAACTGTCAAATTACATTGTAGTCAGTATGTGACCTTAATACAAGAGAACTGTCAACTTACACTGTAGTCAGTATGTGACCTCAACTGTCAAATTACATTGTAATCAGTATGTGACCTCAATACAAGTGCACTGTCAAATTACATTGTAATCAGTATGTGACCTCAATACAAGTGCACTGTCAAATTACATTGTAATCAGTATGTGACCTCAATACAAGTGCACTGTCAAATTACATTGTAGTCAGTATGTGACCTCAATACAATAGAACTGTCAAATTACATTGTACAGTCTGAAGTCAGTATATGACCTCGGCACAAAAAACTTACACCGTAGACCGTATGTGACCTCAATACAAACTGTCTTGTTACAGTGTAGTCAGTATGTCAGATTACAAAATACAAAAACTCACACTACACTGTAGTCTGTAACTTTAATTCAAGTGGACTGTCAAATTACAATGCAGTCTGTGTGTGACCTCAATACAAGAGAACCTGCACTATAGTCAATATGTGACTGAAATACACAAGGATTGTTAGATTACGTCACTCGGTCAATATCAATATGTGACCTCAAAACACAAGAATTGTCAGCTTACACTTATTGAGTATGTGCATACGTTACACTGGAGTCAGTATGTGACCTAAATACAAGAGAAATGTCAAGATACACTGTAGTCAGTATGTGACCTCATTACAAGAAAATCGTCTCACTGTAGTCAGTATTTGCGTTCGAAATCAAGATTGTTCACTTACACTGAAGTAAGTATGAGATGGGAACTGTCAGATTACAATGTAGTCAGTACATGGCCTCATCACAAGAGGTCGTCAAAGTGACACTCATTATAAATAATAAAGAAACATGATGTGATCTCCAAAATGCTATATTTACTTATTAAAGTATATTTTAGCAGCTAGGCTGTATATCAACAATAAAAAATAAAACTACAATACTTTCTTTTTGAGTGTTGCATGCAGTTATACATATTGAGATATTGCATAAATAAATGCTTTGTTTCCAAAATATAATACAGTGTTTTACATTATCGTGAATGTAAAGTCTTGTCTTTTTGAAATGTTCATATGGCATTCTACATATTTTAGATCGCATTTAATCTTCTCATTTTGGAAAAAGCCAATGACGAACAAAATATTGCGTTCATGACTAACATATTGTTGGAATGAAATAAATAGTCAATCAGAAAAGACAAGTACACTCAATATTGTCTTAAAAACGTTTGAACTCATAGAAAACCTTTAATTTTCATAAACTATTATTTTCATGAAACTATTTCCTCCAAGCTTTCAGAGACAATAAAATAGTTCATGATACTGCAAACAATATCAATCTGGTGTTTCACTGCGAGATCAACGTACATAACATTGCCCGGATAACAAGGCCCGGTTGTTCCCCTTTGGCAGATAAAACAACGCTGTTCATAGTCGTATGAATTTCCCATCATTTCTGGCTGTGATAAATTCCCTCTAGAAATGTTCATAAGTCATCCTTAGGCACAGTTTGAAAAGGGTTCATGAATATGAACAACGTTGTAGCAAAGAACCTTTCATAAAAGATTAGAACGCTATTGACCTGATTTTCAGTTACTATGTCGATTGTGGGGTGACCATTATAGTATTATGCAGCCTTCGTAATATTTACAAAATTTCCAAAAATGGCGGAAAGGCCCATTGGAAAGGCGTTTGTTTTTAAATTCTGTTCTTCATTACAAGGTCGGTGTGATAATATCAATAATTATTCATTTTTGGTCTTGATAACTCCTGTGTCTGGACTTGACAGCTAAAATGAAGGTAATATTCCGAAATAGCCAAAGGGGCTATGAAGAATTAACAGAATTGTGAATTATAACTTTAAATAACAAAATGAGTGTGAAATTGTAAAAATGTACTCTTTCCGCCATTTTGAATTTTGTAAATCTTAAGGTAACAACATTTATCGTAACAGTTTCACCACAATTTTCTGTGCTTTGCCGTAAAGACCAGTCGTTCAACAGTGTTGGACGAATACTAGTTTTTCATAAGAGAATCATGAAAGGTTCTTTGATTGATTCACTTTAATACATGTGTTTAGCGAAACCTGTCAGAACAGTGCTGCCCTCTTTATTTTATATATCAGATCTGTATGGACTAGATAATTCTAGGCAGTTTTCTTCCACTTCACATACGACATCAAACACACTATAAACGGCAAATAACTGCAATGTTCGAATTATTCCTGTTATACAAAGTAAAAATGAATATCTGATTGTGAATCATGACAAAATACATCCCTCTCATAAATTTTGGGCAACGAAATGCCATCCAGCTTTCATTAGAAATACAACTACATCAGTTAAACTGCGAGCGATGTCTTATACTATCAAATGAGAACATACGATGATAGTTGTTTCTATATTTGGTTCTAACCTTGACATTCTTTTTTTTCTCTCCATATGCATAACTCAAAATGTGAATAGAAATGATTGATTTCGTGCTCGCTTAGATTTCCTGAAATAACAATAAGGGAAAGACGAAGACTAAGATGAACAATGCAGCTAAATACCCAATACTGTTATAGAAATGGCGATATCGCTAAATGCCTTTATAATACCGACCAGCGCCGCTGTTCTGTTCTGATAGCCTTGATTTCTTCACTACTAGGAACAACCACATGCGTCAACGGCAAAGTTGGGTAGCTGGGCAGTAATGACTGTATTGTCGTGATCAGTGTACGTCAGAGATTTAGAACTCAGCTTCGAGGGATTGCAGCACATATTGAGGCTTGGTGGCCTGTTCTTAGCCTCAGCAAAGTCTTTGATTAAATGACTATGGTACTGGTACTTTAACGATAGTGTTCCTGTAAAACACAATTTAACAAATCGAACGTTAGCGTGTTATTATCTTATCAACATAAGAATCTTGAATGAATATGTTACGGACAAGGAAGCTGTTTTTCCAAGAACAATCAGATTTAAAACAGAAATGTTAGTTTTGTTTTATATCTCTATATTTATCCATTCCCTAAACACACCAAAGACGCCCCAAATTCAAAAACAAAAATAAAGGAATTTGGGTTTTCAGCCTTGGTAAGAAGTCTTCACGATGTCACGATGATGGGCTGTGGTGTCACTCAGGTGGCAAAAAAGAATTTTTCAAAATTTGTCATTTTTTTCTCAGTCGTACAAACATTTTCTAAATACGCTGGATTTTCAAACTAAGCCCTATCGATGGCCTATCTAGGTTGAAAATATAAGTTTTCATCATGTTTTAGATATTTATGTGCCATCGGATTTAATGAGAACTAAAATTTTAAAATGCTCTGGACAACTTTCGGTGCAAATGAGTTAATCTCTTTCACATAGCACATTTTGATAACATTTGGTTGGACTATATGATATAAGCCAAAGTGGATTGTACTTAATTGAGGCCTTTAATCTATAGATTGTATATGTTTTTTACAAAACGTCATTTTAATAACATTTTGCCGTCAATCTGAAGAAAGGATTTTGACCTTACCTCTTCCACAGGATCCTGTACAATAGTTGACAAAATAACCCCTGGGACTGATGATCCAATCGTGCCAACCAGCCTCCTCAAAGCTGATATAGAGTTCTTGTTTACAGCACCTTGTTTCTCCAGGACTACAGTTAATAGCTGCACTTCTTTCACGCCTGTGATGCCGATTCTCACCTAATGAACATAATTTGCAGTGGTTTATTTGTCATGTTCTATAGTATAGTTTTGAGCTAAATGCCTATGAAGAGAATGGCATTTGGTAACCAAACCACAAATTCCAAATTTTGCTCCCCAATTTACCAAAAACGACTATGCCTATTTAAAGTTGTAAAAGTAAGACTATGAAACTAAAAACAATCCTAAATAAAGACGTCTATTCACTTTTCAAGTAGAAACACACCTTCTCTGATCTTTAGGCTCATAATTAGTATAAAAGTATTGAGAATGGTAGATTCTTAAGATCTGATTTTTAGTCCCGATCACGACAAATGTTTTTCACAGATCGGGATATGATGAATCGAAGTTACACTGTCACGTAATTTTATAGGGCTCGCGGGATATTCACGAAGTCAAACACCTTTATCCCGTATGAGCACTTTGTAGCACTGAGCTACGGGACAGTCAGGTTTTCAAACCCACTGTCCCGTACCAGCGCTTGGTAAAAAAATTTGCTGCGGGATAAAGTGATTTCAAAACTTGACTAATGCTGATCAAAGTATATGCTATCAAGCCATCACATACATGTATCTCTATGTAATTACCATACTATATTAACCCTTGCAAAAAATTCCATTTTTCATCTTTGTACTGAATTATATCAACATCAGTCTTTTATCTTTGAAATGTTGCTAAAGTTTATTGGGAGGGGTGGCATGTACACACTTGATTCAAAATGCTATTGTTTGTGTGTGAGGGGGGGGGGGCATCTCCAGAGTTGACTCACATCATGGTCTATAAGAATCACAACTGTCACAAATCATCATTCCATCTGGTATCATTTAAATATCCTTGAATATGATTTGCAGTATGTACATAAATCCTTGTGTGCCATCCTGTATCATATATTATGCCTATTGTTAATGTTGCATATGTCTTTTTATTTTTTAATCAGCTAATATATATGTATATAAACACTGGTGAAGTAATGTGGTCATTCCTCAAGCCCTCCATATCATTTATCATCCTAATTGTTCATATGTCAACAGCTCCTTCCAGTGAATTAAATAAAAGTTGTTCTTCACGATAAATACCGGTGAAGTATTGTGGCAATTCCACATGCAATCTGTTTTTCCATCTATTCCCTGCTGTTATTCCACCATATTCTATCTATATGTTTTTGACATGCTGATTACCCATGCCATACATCCTGAAATAAGCAAATAATATTTAAATTATTTTCTTTTCTGTATTGTGCCTTTTGTTCATTTATCATTCACTTATGTCCAGTAAATTGAATAAAGTACTAGAAATATGCAAACTCCATAGCGCAGCAAATGCCAAAGAACACTAAATTCATGAATCTGTATGCCACAACATAATATTTATCATCTACCTTACCCTTGATTTGCAAATATAAAAAAAACATTAAAATGTTACATGTATATCAGAATAATCACCAATTCAAGTATTTGGGTGACCATTTGTATTAGATCATTGGTGTGGCGGGGGGGGGGGGAGGCATGATGGGTGCAAACCCTCTTCCCCATAACCAATAACAAAATGGCTCCATTACTTTTTGAGTAAGAATAAAAAGAGTAAAAAATGGTGGTCATTTTGAAAAATGGCTGCCTTTTACCCAAAGTGTCATTTGACAGTGTGCCATGCTTATAGTATTCACATATAAAATATGAACAAAATTGCTCTACTACTTTTTGAGTTATAGTAAAAAATGTAAAAATGGTCGCCATTTTTCAAAATGGTCACCTACTACCCAAAGCGTCATTAGACAGTGTGCCATGCTTATAGTATTCACATATAAAATATGAACAAAATCGCTCTACTACTTTTTGAGTTATAGTAAAAAATGTAAAAATGGTCACCATGTTTCAAAATGGTTGCCTACTACCCAAAGTGTCATTAGACAGTGTGCCATGCTTATAGTATTCACATATAAAATATGAACAAAATCGCTCTACTACTTTTTGAGTTATAGTAAAAAATGTAAAAATGGTCGCCATTTTTCAAAATGGTCGCCTACTACCCAAAGTGTCATTAGACAGTGTGCCATGCTTATAGTATTCACATATAAAATATGAACAAAATCGCTCTACTACATTTTGAGTTATAGTAAAAAATGTAAAAATGGTCGCCATTTTTCAAAATGGTCGCCTACTACCCAAAGTGTCATTAGACAGTGTGCCATGCTTATAGTATTCACATATAAAATATGAACAAAATCGCTCTACTACTTTTTGAGTTATAGTAAAAAATGTAAAAATGGTCACCATTTTTCAAAATGGTTGCCTACTACCCAAAGTGTCATTAGACAGTGTGCCATGCTTATAGTATTCGCATATAAAATATGAACAAAATCGCTCTACTACTTTTTGAATTATAGTAAAAAATGTAAAAATGGTCGGCATTTTTCAAAATGGTCGCCTACTACCCAAAGCGTCATTAGACAGTGTGCCATGCTTATAGTATTCACATATAAAATATGAACAAAATCGCTCTACTACTTTTTGAGTTATAGTAAAAAATGTAAAAATGGTCGGCATTTTTCAAAATGGTCGCCTACTACCCAAAGCGTCATTAGACAGTGTGCCATGCTTATAGTATTCACATATAAAATATGAACAAAATCGCTCTACTACTTTTTGAGTTATAGTAAAAAATGTAAAAATGGTCGCCATTTTTCAAAATGGTCGCCTACTACACAAAGTGTCATTAGACAGTGTGCCATGCTTATAGTATTCACATATAAAATATGAACAAAATCGCTCTACTACTTTTTGAGTTATAGTAAAAAATGTAAAAATGGTCGCCATTTTTCAAAATGGTCGCCTACTACCCAAATTGTCATTAGACAGTGTGCCATGCTTATAGTATTCACATATAAAATATGAACAAAATCGCTCTACTACTTTTTGAGTCAGTATAGTAAAAAATGTAAAAAAGGTCGCCATTTTTCAAAATGGTCGCCTACTACCCAAAGTGTCATTAGACAGTGTGCCATGCTTATAGTATTCACATATAAAATATGAACAAAATCGCTCTACTACTTTTTGAGTTATAGTAAAAAATGTAAAAATGGTCGCCATTTTTCAAAATGGTCGCCTACTACCCAAAGTGTCATTAGACAGTGTGCCATGCTTATAGTATTCACATATAAAATATGAACAAAATCGCTCTACTACTTTTTGAGCTATAGTAAAAAATGTAAAAATGGTCGCCATTTTTCAAAATGGCCGCCTTCTACCAAAAGTGTCATTAGACAGTGTGCCATGCTTATAGTATTCACATACCAAATATGAACAAAAACCCTCCACTACGTTTTGAGGTACAGTAAAAACCATTAAAATGGCAGCCATATTGAAAAATGGCAGCCTTCCACCAAAAGTGTCATTAGACAGTGTGCCATGCTTATAGTATTCACATACCAAATATGAACAAAATCACTTCACTACTTTTTGATTTATAGTAAAAAAAAGTAAAAATGGTGGTCATTTTTCAAAAATGACAGTCAGTGACATGGTATGATACATGATATGACATTGAGTGCCATGGTATGTTACAAATATGATAGTAGATGACATGGTATGTTTCAAGATATGTCAATGAGTGACATGGTGTTACAAGATATGACAGTGAGTAACATAGTATGCTACCTGATTTGAGTGAGTTACGTAGTATGATACAAGATTTGGCAGTAAGGGACATGGTATGATACATGATATGACAGTGTGTGACGTGATATGTTACAAAATATGACAGTGATTGGCATGGTATGTTACAATAAATGACAATGAGTGACATGGTATGTCATATGATATGACAGACTGTGACATGGTATGATACATGATATGACAGTGAGTGGCATGGTATGTTACAAGATATCGACAGTTAGTTGAATGGAATGATATAAGATATGACAGTGAGTGACACGGTTTGTTACAAGATATGACATTGAGTGACATATGTTACAAGATCAGACAGTAAGGGACATTGTATGTTACAAGATATGACAGTCTGTGACATAGTATGATACATGATATGACAGTGTGTGACATGGTATGTTACAAAATAAGGACCCACAGTCCTGTGCTCACACAGTTTGGAACCTTCAGAGGAATGTATATCCTGACTTTCAAACAAAACTATTGATTTGGATTTGTAGTCTCCAACTTTGAGAAATTTAGATAGCACAGTAGTGTGACCTAGTTTGATGACCTTTGACCTTGAAAATTTTAAATTATTCAGAGCTCAATAAGGTCTTTCGTGATTAAGCTGACCAAAATTTACATCCAAAAATCAATTTGAAAAATCAACCTTTTTGACCTTTCAAAGGTCACTGTACTGAAGGTCAAGTAAAGGTCAAATCCTAAAACTAATCCTAAAACTCCTGGCAACTTGAAGATGATTTTCAAAAAAAATTTGGTCAAGTGAAGCAAGTTGAAAAGTAACTTATTTTTACTGTTTTTTGACGTCAAATATCTCAAAAACAGTAAAAATTTGATGTCGCATTATATGACAGTCTTTGACATGGTATGATATGTGATATGACAGTGAGTGATGTGGTATGTTACAAGATATGACAGTGAGTGACATGGTATGTTACAAGATATGACAGTTAGTGGAATGGAATGATATAAGATATGACATTGAGTGACACGCTATTTTACAAGATATGACATTGAGTGACATATGTTACAAGATCAGATAGTAAGTGACATTGTATGTTACACGATATGACATTCTGTGACATGGTATGATACATGATATGACAGTGAGTGACATGGTATGATACAAGATATGACAATGAGTGGCATGATATGTCACATTATATGACAGTTTGTGACATGGAATGATACATGATATGACATTAATAACCCAGATGCGAGTAGAAATTATCTTGATTTACGTCATTAAAAATTCAAAATTCAGTCAAAGTCATATTTGAAATCTACATGTTAAATTACATCTAGAAATGTGGTTTTAAAAAGTTTTTATCAACT